GGCGGAGCGCGTGGGCGGTGAAGGTGCCATGGGCCGGGAGTGCGGTGGCGTCAGCTCGAGGAGAGCATCGACGGATTCGGGCGAGGTGGCGAGCGCGCCCGACTTGAGGAGGGCACCCCAGCGTGACGCTCGCACGTTGCAGAGAACCACGCCGCGAGGAATGCACAACTCCGGCGCCGTCGCCAGCGCGGTGGGGGGGCGGGGAGAGCCGCCGCCGCTGGGAAGTCGGCGGCGCCCGCCATTGGAGTCCGCTTGGGCAGTTGGGCTTTGGGCCCCAACCGCTTAACCGCACGAGCCGCGGCTGTCACGTTTCGCTAATTATCAGAGCGGAAGACCGCACGTGACACTGCAGCTGGGACCCACCATTTCCCCGGCCCCATCTGTCATAGGCACATCTCTTCCTTTTAAACCCCCCTCAGATCCGCCACCGTTGGCCACACTTGTTACCATGGCTTCTTCCTCTCCACTTCTCCTGCTGCTACTGCTGCTCCCGCTCGCCGCCGCCACCGCCACCGCGTCGCTCCCGCCGCTGCCGCTCTCGACGGCGTCGCGGTGGGTGGTGGGCGCGGACGGGCGGCGCGTGAAGCTGGCGTGCGCGAACTGGGCGTCGCACCTGGAGCCCGTGGCGGCGGAGGGCCTGTCGCGCCGCGGCCTTGGGGACATCGCGGCGCGCGTGGCGGCGATGGGGTTAAACTGCGTCAGGCTCACCTGGCCGACCTACCTCGCCACCAACGCCACGCTGGCGAACCTGCCGCTGAGAGCGTCGCTGGAACGCCTTGGTATGCCGGAGTCCGTGGCCGGCGTCCGGGTCAACAACCCCGGACTCCTCGACCTGCCCCTCATCGATGTGTTCCAGGTGAGCGTCTCTTCGAATAAGCAAACACGGAGTAAATGACAACGTTGGTTTCTCCAAGTTGTTAAGTAAACTTATTATTAATGGCAGTTCTAAGAAATGGCTGTTTTTTTTTTAACAACCACCATGGGAAATGGAAGCTGTTTCTATTGTTAGCGAGTTCGAGTCTTCGAGATGGCGCCAAATTTTACCGTGTCTTACCGCTAGATGCTACTACCTCCGTTTCAGATTATAAGACTTTCTAGCATTACCCACATTTATATAGATATTAATGAATCTAAGCACACGTATATGTCTATATTCATTAACATATATATGAATGTGGACAATGCTAGAAAGTCTTATAATATGAAACGGAGGAAGCAGTATTTTCGCTGATAGAGTGCAAGAAAATACTCCCTCCGTCCAAGAGTTGTAGGAGAAATTAAGTAAAGGTTAAGGTGAAACCACTTTCATGTACCCTGGTTGAATCCCCATGCCACCATCCGATTCACCGGGATGGGGAATATAACTATGAGGGATGGTTGAAAACTTGGAATGTGGAAATATACTCTAGAAATGTTTATAGAAAATATTCGTGGACTAAATTTAAACACTAGAAATGCTTATATTTGTGGACGGAGGGAGTAGATAACGTTGTACCTAGAAGAACATTTACATTTTTTGTTGTTGAAAGCTATGGGCTCATTTAAACATTTAAGTCAGAGTCCATGTAAATTTTACATTTTTCTGAAGAAATAGCTATTATGATGCATAAGGCTTAATTGTGGAAGCAACAGTATGCAATGAATCAATTGACTTATAGCTAAACCAACTGCAGGTCATGTGGTTTAATTTAACAAAAACAACTTGCTAAGAAGTCAAAATTTTGCAGATTATTGATTTTGAAATCAGATGATCTCGTCACAATCTTTTCACAAGACTTGCCAAAGAAACCTAGGGTATCCTCTTTTTTTTTTGCTTATTTAATAAGAACAATCAATTTCAAGTTGAAGGTTTAAGCATAATCAACAATCTGATCGTCCTTTTCTATTTCAGGAAAAACCAATGGTAATTGTTTGAGTAGCTTTCCCTTTTTCCTTTTGTTTCTCTTCCAAACCAGTTTATGTGAAGATGACATTATTCCTAATAGTCACCAAATTGATGGTCCAAGATAAGGGTGCCTTGAAAGTCTCTAGCTAGATAAATTCTTTCTTTGTAAAATATGTTCTGACGATAGATGGCAACTGGGGTCATTAGGTGGTCTGCTTCCTTTTTTTAAAAAAAAAAATCCAAACCAGGGATGTATTAGTTATCTCTCATTTTACAATGATGTATCTAGTTAGTTGACCTAGTAATCTACCAAAACATGTGTTCACATACTCAGGAGTATATTCTGGGAGAGTTTACCCGTACTAAACATTAAATGAAATAAAGTAAACGAGATTTTTGCTATCAAGTGTTGAATTCTGATTATTTACTCCTTCTGTTAAATTAATAACCATAGGAAGTGGTGTCAGCTTTGGCCAAGAACAATATAATGGTTATACTTGATAACCAAATGACAACTCCAGGATGGTGCTGCAGCGAAAACGACGGTAATGGCTTTTTTGGTGACAAGTACTTTGGCCCAGAAGAATGGTTGAAAGGCCTTAGTGCAATGGCAACAATGTTTAGGAACACAAAAAATGTTGTGGGCATGAGTTTAAGAAACGAGCTCCGAGGCTCCAAAAATGTTAGTTTGTGGTTCAGGTTTGTTACTTACACACTGAGTCTTACTTTTGCTTATAGAAGTATTGAAAAGGCTTTTATGTGTGACTCGTATCATTGGAAAATTTTCGTTTATAATCTATTCCAAACTTAGGTACATGCAACTGGGTGCTGAAGTTGTGCATGCGGCAAACCCTGGCGTTCTTGTTATTTTGTCAGGCCTGAACTTCGACAATACTCTGGATTTCTTGGTCCCAAATCAAATTCAGCTAACATTTACTGGAAAGTTAGTCTTTGAGCAGCACTGGTATGGTTTCTCAGATGATGGAAACTGGGGATCTCAGAACCAAAACGATGCTTGTGGGATGGTTGTTGATTCCATAAAGAAAAAAGGACTGTTCCTACTTCAGCAAGGCTGGCCACTGTTTTTCTCCGAGTTTGGGTTTGACATGTCTGGGACACATGTCGCTGACAATCGCTATCTTACCTGCTTCTTAACCGTGGCAGCTGAAATGGATCTGGACTGGGCTATTTGGGCTCTGCAAGGGAGTTATTATATCAGGGAGGGTACTCTAGCTTATGATGAATCTTATGGATTGCTATCCTGGGATTGGTGTACAGCTAGAAACCCCAGCTTTATTAAAAGGATTAATGCTCTGCAATCACCATTCCAAGGTTTGTACTTAACCTATCTCAGTTTTATTCTTACATAGCAACGTTGTTAGTAATACAACTCTCAAGATTTCTGGAACTGTGCTGTTGTTCTACGTTTTGATAATCACATTAAAAATGGAGCTCTCTGGTAAAATTGAAGTTATAATGAATCCTCAGTTGCTGAACCAACAGAAAAAACCTGTGCATATTTCATTGGTTGAATTGGACCGCTTTTCAGTTTTTCACCTTTTTGGGTTGTGTTGGAACAGATTTATTGGAACATATATGAAATCGGAGCATTAACTAGTATGCACACATTGGTTTAGCCCTCATCATAGAATAACGTGTCCCTTGAAAAGAAATCACTTGGATGGATACACAGGCCGATGTGCAAGAAAGTAAGCAAAGGGGCTATGTAACTTGTAAAAGTCCACTAAAAGTTTGGTCACAACAATATGCACTGTATTTCCTTGAGCTATACATATTAATGAATATTCCATCCTCCAGGTCCCGGGCTTCCAAACAGTCAACAGCCTTACAATGTTATATTCCATCCTCTATCTGGGCTTTGTGTCTTGGTGAAATCTTCAGAGGCACTTGAGTTGGGTCCATGTGATAAATCAAATGCTTGGAATTATACCAAAGGATACGAGTTAATACTCAAACAAACTGGACAATGCCTCCAGGCGAAGTCTGTTGGTGAGAATGCAAAGCTTGGCACCAGTTGCAGCAAATCCAGTTCAAAGTGGAAGCTACTATCAAATTCAGGAATGCATGTTTCAACTGAACTCACCAATAACGGAACCAGAGTATGCTTGGAGGCCAGTCCTGATGGAAATATCACGACAAATCAGTGCAAGTGCCTAACCGTAGATCCGAATTGCAATCCTGAGAGTCAGTGGTTCAAAATTATATTAAGCAGTAAACACATACCAGGCGGCACCTCCATTTTGCAGTTGCCATCTCATGGTCCCTGGTCTCCAACATCATCTAGTTAATCTTGGACTATTTCGAAAATATCCTGTTTGAATTTGATCAAGGACGAATATGACAGAGCAAGTGTCAAGTTCCAGATGGTTATTCAAGGCAATTGGATGACTATAGTATTGCAGCTTGTAAAATAATACACAGAACACCGTATGTGTACAGTAGTAGTACCATTGATTTCTTGTTTTCTAGAGTCCTGTTGAAATATGTCCTATCATATGTGTACAAAAATTAAGAATAAAAGAATGTACAGATAAATACCCTGCTTTTTCTTTGATACTACAGAGAATAAAAGGGATATCTTTTTATAGTTGGTGTCATATGTTGACATGGGTGAAAACATTTTTTAGCCGGGTTGGCCGAAGACATGGCCAACCAATTACTTCCTCCGTTTCACAATGTAAGTCATTCTAGCATTTCCCATATTCATATTGATATTAATGAATCTAAATAGATATATATGTTTAGATTCATTAAGATTAATATGAATGTGGAAAATGCTAAAATAGTTTACATTGTGAAACGGAGGGAGTACATCAAGATTTAGAGAGAAAAGTTACAAATTACAAATTGATGTTGACAGTAGGCTGTCGAGGGCGGGGCTAAAGGAAATAAAGCCGGCGCATCTTAGAACACAACTATTGTTAGCGTGCCGGTAACAGCAAACACCAACTACTGTTCTTGCATCTTGAACAAACCCCGCTTCGCGCCACACCATGATTTTCTCCTTCCTTCACTTCCGCGAACAGACATCAACTCTGCATTGCTTGTCACTGCATCCGCACTTGGCGAAGCCCATGCGAATATGCGATGATGGTGTAAGTCCGCCCGCACATACAGCCAGAGAAACGCATCCGGTGTTGAGCATTTCCACGAACAGGTGGTGGGTGTCCTGTGGGTGCCCCCCTCACGCGCACGGAGCAAGGACGTTGTGCGTTCTGCTCGGAGAGAGGCGAACAGGGGCCCGAGGCGGAGCAGACGGAGCGCGTAGGCAAGGCGGGAAGGGAGAGCCACCGTCAACTCGACGGGAGCGACGACGGATTCGGGCGAGGTGGCGAGCGCGCGGGGGCTTGATCAAAGGAGGGCCGCGTGGAGCTGATGCGCGTCGCACAGAGCCACGCCGGCACACCGCGGGAGGTATGAAAGGCGACGGCGGCGGCGGCGCCGTCGCAGGCGTGGCGGTGGCGAGGAGAGGCGGCCATCGGAGTGCGCGCTTCCGCAGTTAAAGCCCCCAACCGCTTAACCGAACGAGCCCGGGCTGTCACGTTTCGCTAATTATCCAAGCGGACGAAGACCATACGTGACACTGCAACCGGGGCCCACCGTCGTCCGGGCCCACCTGTCATTCACACGTCTTTTTTCCTTTTAAACGCACTAGATCCGCCTCGTTGGCATTCTGCCACGCCATAGTTACCATGGCTTCCTCCGCTTGTCCCACTCCACTTCTCCTGCTGCTGCTCCCGCTCGCCGCCGCCGCCGCCTCGCTCCCGCCGCTGCCGCTCTCGACGGCGTCGCGGTGGGTGGTGGGCGCGGACGGGCGGCGCGTGAAGCTGGCGTGCGCGAACTGGGCGTCGCACCTGGAGCCCGTGGCGGCGGAGGGCCTGTCGCGCCGCGGCGTGGGGGACATCGCGGCGCGCGTGGCGGCGATGGGGTTCAACTGCGTCAGGCTCACCTGGCCGACCTACCTCGCCACCAACGCCACGCTGGCGAGCCTGCCGCTGCGGTGGTCGCTGGAGCGCTTTGGCATGCGGGAGTCCGTCGCCGGCGTCCGGGTCAACAACCCCGGACTCCTTGACCTGCCCCTCATCGATGTGTTCCAGGTAAGGGTTTCTCTTCGAGTAGCCAAAACAATATCCAAGCATTGGTTTGGCAAAAAGATTTTGGAGCTATCCGGCCAGTGTTCTACCCTTCTTAGATTTTGGCATTTTTAAATCTAACCTCGTTAGATTTTGGCAATGTTAACCAAATCTTATTAATGATAGTCTGAAGAAATAGTTCCTTAGTTTTTCTTACCACCACCATTAAATTGGCAGCTAGCTGTTTCTACTGTTAGCAAGTCAAAGATGGTCAATTTTTTACTGTCTTGCCGCTAGAAACTAGTCTTTTGATGATGGAATGCAAGAAAAGTAAGTAGGAGTAACTTTGTGTGAGATGAACAGACTGATTTACAATCTTGATGAAAGCTATGTGTCCGTTTAAACATTTAAGTCGGAGTCCATGCAAATTTTATATTGTCTGACGAAATAGTCATTACGATGCAATGATGCATAAGATTGTAGACTTACATTGTGGCAAGCAACAGTATGCATTGAACCAATTGACTTATAGCTAAACCAACTGCAGGCCATGCGGTTTTATTTAACAAAAAAACTAGTTGCTTAGAAGTCAAAACTTTGGAGATGATGGATTTTGAAATCAGATGATATCATCTCAACCTTGTCATAAAGCTTCCCAAAGAAACTTTAGGATATCCATTTTTGCATAATTAATAAGAACAATCAATTTCATGTTGAGGGCTTAAGTGTATAAGAAAGATCTGATCATATTTTCTATTTCAGGAAAGGCCAACAGTAGTTGTTGCTTGAATAGATTTCATTTTCCCCTTTTATTTTCTTCCAAACAAGTTTAATTTGAACGTGTACAGATTACCTACTAGTTACCAAATTAATGGTCCAAGAGGGTATCTTGCAAGCCACAATACTCTAGCTAGAACAGATCTTTCTTTCTACGGATCTATTCTAATGATTAAGATAGACGGCAACTGGTTGCATTAGGTGTACTACTTTTTATCTAATCCAAATCAAGTATCTATAGTTATCTCTCTTTTTGCAATGAGTTATCCAGTTAGTTGACCCAGTAATCTGTGAAAACAGATGCTCATAGAGTCACGAGTATATAGAGAGTTTATATGTACTAAATATGAAAGGAAACTAAAGTAAACAGTTTTAATACATGATAAAAACTCTGGTTTTTTATTCCATCTGACATGGTTAACATTGAACAACTGTAGGAAGTAGTGTCAGCTTTGGCCAGGAACAATATTATGGTCATACTTGATAACCAAATGACCACTCCAGGATGGTGCTGCAGCACAACTGATGGTAATGGCTTCTTTGGTGACAAGTACTTTGACCCAGAAGAATGGTTGAATGGCCTCAAGACAATGGCAACAATGTTTAGGAAAACAAAAAATGTTGTGGGCATGAGCTTGAGGAACGAACTCCGGGGCCCCTATGAAAATGTTAGTTTGTGGTACAGGTTGTCACTGAAACCTAAAGGCCTTGTTTTTATCTCAATTGATAGGGATTTTTTTGTGTGACCCATGGTATTGGAAAATTTCATTTACAATCTATTCTCATTTAGGTACATGAAGGAGGGTGCTGAATCTGTGCATACAGCAAATCCTGACGTCCTTGTTATCTTGTCGGGCCTGGAATTCGACAACACTCTCAACTTCGTGGTCCCAAATCAAATTCACCTATCATTTACTGGAAAGTTAGTCTTTGAGCAGCATTGGTATGGTTTCTCAGATGGTGGCAACTGGGAATCTCAGAACCAAAATGATGTTTGTGGGATGGTTGTTGGTTTCATAAAGAATAAAGGACTTTTCCTACTTCAGCAAGGCTGGCCATTGTTTTTCTCCGAGTTTGGGTTTGATATGTCTGGCACACACACCGGGGACAACCGCTATCTCACTTGCTTCTTAAGTGTGGCAGCTGAAATGGATCTGGACTGGGCTATTTGGGCTCTGCAAGGGAGTTACTATATCAGAGAGGGCACTCTAGCTTATGATGAATCATATGGATTGCTATCATGGGATTGGTGTACAGCTAGAAATCCCAGTTTTATTAAAAGGATCAATTCTCTGCAATCACCATTTCAAGGTTTGTGCTTCGCCTATCTCAGTTTTATTCTTGTCTAGCAACATTATCAGGAATATGGGAACATAGATTTTTGGAATGTTCTACATTTCGAATTTTATGTGGTAAGATTATATACTTTATACTGGACTGTTCTAATAAAAAAAAAGCATTTGACCTCTTTTAGTGAATCAACACATAAACTTCTGCATGTTTCGTCATAGGATTGGGCCCCTTCTCAGTACTTAATTGTTGGCTGAAATTTATTTTGCACTGATATAAATTTCAGATTATCCACCAGTATGCATGCATTGTTTTAGCCCTTTCATGAAATGACAATATGACATGTACCCTCTTAAGAGAACACTTCGATATATGGATAGTGCCGATGTAAGACATTTAAACAAAATATGGTATGTAAGACATTAGACAAAATAAGTAATGTGCCATGTAAAAATCTGGTAAATTTTAATCATTGCAATATGCACTATATTTCCTTGAGTTAGATAATAGTGCAAACTTATTTACACTCCAGGCCCTGGACTACCGAACAGCCAAGAACCTTACAACGTAATATTCCATCCTCTATCCGGGCTTTGTGTCGTGGTGAAATCATCAGAGGCACTTGAGTTGGGTCCATGTGATGAATCAAACGCTTGGAACTACACATCAACACACGAGTTGGTACTGCAACACACTGGTCAATGCCTCCAGGTCAAGTCTGTCGGTGAGAATGCACAGCTTGGGACCGATTGCAGCAAATCCAGTTCAAAGTGGCAGCTAATATCAAATTCAGGAATGCATGTTTCGACTGAACTCACTAAAAATGGAACCAGAGTATGCCTGGATGCCACTCCTGATGGTATCATCACAACAAATCCGTGCAAGTGCCTAACCGGAGATCCAAATTGCAATCCTGAGAGCCAGTGGTTCAAAATTATATTAAGCAGTAGACACACAGGCACCTCCATTTTGCAGTTGCCATCTGATGGTCCCTGGTCTCCAACATCATCTAGTTAACCATGGCACTATTTCGAAAATATCCTGATTGCGTGTGGTGGATGAATATGACAGAGTAAGGGCCAAGTTCCACCTAGTTAATCAAGGCAATTGGATGACTATATTATTGTAATTTGTAAAATAATACACAGAACTCCACATGTATATAGTGATGCCATTGAATTCACTTGTGCCTTGTTCTATAGAGTTCTGTTGAAACATGTCCTATGTGTACAAAAACTAGAGAGAATAAAAGGAATGTACAGAAAAATACCATGCTTGTTCTCTGATATACTATATAGAATAAAAAGTGTTAGTATTTTACGGTTGGTATATGTTGACATGGCTTAAAACATTGCAAAGTTCACTCAAAGGGATGGTGTCCAGTTATTGAGGTCGCGTGCATGGGTTGTCCACTTATTGAAATTTCTCATGCACATCTCAACTTGTGCATAGTTGGATACTTTTTTTTCTTCTGAAGACTTCACAGGTACTGGCTCAACAACCTCATAAGTCACTGCTTTGATTCGAGGGATGAAGCAAAAAACTACAACAGGAGCATCAGTCTGAGATCAATATTATTTCAGTTCCTCAGCAATTTACTGAATAATGCAGCTAGGAAATCTGCACTTCCCTTCTTAATACATTGGTACACAACTCTCCTACGTGTTCGAGAAAATAAAATTGTATTCTGAATCTGAAATATGCAAACAGCAATCGTGGCGCCAGAGAAAGGCCTTTCCCTATATTTTCAGTACACTCAACTTCTTTCCCTCTTTGTTCATTTCAATGTCGCCTTTCTCCTTTCCTTTTAGTTGAAGGGCAAAATCCTCATTCATCCTAGTTCATATTCAGCACGGCATTTCTTAACTGATCTGATGTGAGACAGATACGGAATCGCAAGCAGTTTACATGCATGATCTGGAATACAACTAGCAACATTCTTAGAGTAAAAGCAAAACCTCTTAACCTGTCTTTGTAGCTGAATTGTTGACAACGGCGTGAGGCTTTGGACGAGCTCCTCATAAACAGGATGCAAATAAATCCCAGTTGTGTGTGCACCAATGCTACACTACTGAATATTGATTGCTTCACGAAAAAATTATACTAACCAACCACGATTAGATCTGGTATTAATTGCAAATGAGGTACTACTAATAATCGATGCAAGTAACCAACATCAATACTCCAGTATCACTATAAGAAGTCCAAACCGAAGCTGTAACTGCAAGGGTTTGGTGGCCATTTTTACTCCAACCACCCACCGACCGACGTGCAGAGATTCTTTGTTTTCTCTGGTTCTGATTTCTGAAATAGGCCAGGTTGGTTTGGCTCATCAGTCGGATTATCAACCGGATTATTAGTACCACGATTCCAAAAGTACGTCTTCGAAAAATTTCTTTATCAGCATTGCTTCTTTAATTCATAAGTACGCCATACATTGCCCATAATAAGCTATCATCCGCTTCTTATTAAAACGGATTATTTACTCCATATTTCAAAAATATTTATTTTCTTTACTATAAGCAATGTTGCCTAGGCTATTTATTTTATATTATTCATTAAGTTTATTTCTTTAAATATTTAATTTATCTTTATAATTAAATTGATAGTTCACGATAATAATGTGCAAATAAACGCGCTATGCACTGCATTGTCACAGACGTACAGTGATGTCGCTTAGCTTGTCCTGCCTTGAAGGATAAAACAGTATTTGGTTGCATTCTTGAAACATCAGCAATGCGATTTGCTCACTCACCCTCATTCATGGCCTCTCCACTTCACACATGTCAAGGACCAGCAGCATAGCTTAGGAGAGATCGTCGTCTTCCGCCCATGGCAATCCCGTGAAGCCTCGCCATTCCCCATGCCGAAGCAACCCCGCCGCCGTAGTACTCGCTATAAATCCACCTCGCCGCTGCTTCTTCTCGGTGTCTCGCATTGCCGGACGGCCGGCGTCGACATGAGGCTCGTGGTGGTGTGGCTCGCCGCGGTGGCGGTTCTTGGTCTGGCCAGCCATGGGCGCCCCGCGGCGGCGGCGGCAGCGACGACGCTGTCGACGGCGTCGAGGTGGATCGTCGACGAGGGCGGGAACAGGGTGAAGCTGGCGTGCGTGAACTGGCCGTCGCACCTGGAGCCGATGCTGGCGGAAGGGCTGGGCAAGCAGCCTGTGGGCGCCATCGCCAAGGACGTGGTCGCCATGGGTTTCAACTGCGTCCGCCTCACCTGGGCCACGTTCATGGTGACCAACGCCTCCTACTCCTCCCTCACCGTCGCCCAGTCCTTCCAGCGCCTCAACCTCACCGAGTCCCTCGCCGCCATCCGCGTCAACAACCCCTCCCTCGTCGACCTCAAGCTCATCGACGCCTTCAAGGCAAGATCATTGTTATCTACTACTTATTTTTGACAATGCGAGAGAGAGAGAGAGATTGACCGACGACGCGCGGCGCGGCGCGGCGTGGCGTGGCGTGGCGTGGCGTGCAGGCGGTGGTGAGTAGCCTGGGGGAGAACGGCGTGATGGTGATACTGGACAACCACGTGAGCAAGCCGGGGTGGTGCTGCGGCAACAACGACGGCAACGGCTTCTTCGGCGACGCGTACTTCGACCCGGACGTGTGGGTCGACGGCCTCACCAAGATGGCCACCATGTTCGCCGCCGTCCCCAGCGTCGTCGCCATGAGCCTCCGCAACGAGCTCCGGGGCCCCCGCCAGAACTCCGCCGACTGGTACAAGTAAGTCACACCAGTTCACCACCCATTTGCTCGATCGATCCTCCTCATCAATTTGCACACCGACCGCCATGATTAGCATCTGCATCCAAGAACCACGCATTGTTCATCGTCGGCCATGTCCTGGATCGATCAGTAAATGAACCTGAAGCTAGTGGTGGTTGGCAGCTGAGCTGACTGACCGCGTCCGCCATTGCTCGTCCCTGCACAAGCATGTGAAGAACAGTAATGGCAATAATCTGATGCAGTTGCAGTTCGCATCATTCATTTCAGTGTACTGTGTACTAGCGCCATCTGCAAAAAATAAAAATAAAAAATGGCGCCAACGATGTAGCGGCTGAGCTGATAGCTGACGACTGCGCGGGAAAAAAATGGCGTGCGTGCATGCAGGTACATGCAGCGCGGGGCGGAGGCGGTGCACGCGGCGAACCCGCGCGTGGTGGTGATCCTGTCCGGCATGAGCTTCGACAACGACCTGGCGTTCCTCAACTCGCGGCAGGTGAACGTCAGCTTCGCCGGGAAGGTGGCGTTCGAGGTGCACTGGTACGGCTTCTCCGACGGGCAGGCGTGGCGGGCGGGGAACGCCAACCAGGTGTGCGCGCGGGTGGCGGCGAGCGTGTCGCGCCGCGCGCTGTACCTGCTCGACCAAGGGTGGCCGGTGTTCCTCAGCGAGTTCGGCGTCGACAACCGCGGCGGCAACGTCAACGACAACCGGTACTACGGCTGCGTCGCCGCCGTCGCCGCCGACCTCGACCTCGACTGGGCGCTCTGGACGCTGCAGGGGAGTTACTACCTCCGGGAGGGCGTCCTGGGCCTCGACGAGGTCTACGGCGTGCTCGACTGGGCGTGGTGCAAGCCCCGCAACGACACCGCCCTGACCAGGCTCCACGCCCTGCAGCGCCCCTTCAGAGGTAGGTTCGCCGCCGCCGCCGCCGGTATCTATCTTCTCCGGCGATGACTTTGGTTTGGCGTGTGCAGGGCCTGGTCTGGCGGAGGCGGCGCCGTACACGGTGATGTTCCACCCGACGACGGGGCGGTGCGTGGTGCGGCGGTCGTCGTCGGTGGTGCAGACGACGCTGGAGCTGGGGTCCTGCGGCGAGGCGGAGGCGTGGGCGTACACGGCGAGCCAGCAGAGGCTGTCGCCGCGGGACAGCCCGCTGCTGTGCCTCCGCGCCGAGGGCGCCGGCCGGCCGGCGCGCCTCGGCCTGTCGTGCGGCGACGAGCTGGCGCGGTGGAGCCTCACCTCGGACTCCAAGCTGCACCTCGCCGTCAACGCCTCGTCGTCGTCGTCGTCCCCCGAGACCAGCAACGGCGGCATGCTCTGCCTGGACGTCGGCGACGATGGCCGGAGCTTGGTGACCAACCCGTGCCGGTGCCTGAGCGCGGACAACAGCTGCGACCCGGAGAGCCAGTGGTTCAAGCTGGTGACCAGCACGAGGAGCGTGGCGGCGACGAACACCATGCTCGCGCAGCTGCCGCCAAAGCTCAGGTCATGGAAGATTAGGTCCCTCTGATGATTAGCCAAATCCATCTTGCACGTGCGCGTGAGCACAAGCTCACCATATACATGGTGGAGTAATCCACGTATCCATTGTTGTTGTAGAATGATCTTGCAAATTGCAATCGCCATGACGCCATCTGGCGCAGGAAGGAGAAGACACTGCCCTTGAACAAGAGCGGTGTTCTTGTGATGTAACAATTCAATTCATGATTCATCCATGCAATTCCTTCCCGTCTCTTATAAAGTTACGTACAGGTTTACCGCGAGAGGGATAATATTTTTGTTTTAGGTAATATTGGCACAAAATTGGAATTGATCTGCCAAAATACATATTCGTATTATAACTGTCTCCGGCAGATTCGAAACTTAGAACAAGCCCAAATTAATTGGCACAAACAACACACGCGAGATGCAGTAATTCAGAGCTAACACACGCTTGCGGGAAGCAATAATTATCCACAGCTAAGAGCCTGAGAGCAGCATAATCTGCTCGAAAGAGCATAAAAATCACACTGAAAATGGAGGTTCAGGAAGCTCTGTACAGAATCTCAATGTTCCTGAGGTTGTCCTGGGACGAACCGTGAGAGAGATCAAAGGCCAGGAAGCCATCATCTGTGTGTTTGAACTCTACTTCATGCTCATCAACACTGCAAATTTCCGGCCTGGTTGCTGAATACGCCCCAAACCGACCTGGCCCTCGGCATTGGATCTGAATTGTGATCTCTGAACAATCACCTGTGCTCGTGACGTTTTCGAGCGCACCACCTGAGTTGTACATGTTAACCAGTCCAAGAGGAGCAAACTGAACAAAGCCACCAAAAACCTGGTGCAAAAACAAGAGCATTTCTCTAAGAAGTAAACATATATCGAATGATTCATTGCTCAAGTATTCACCCAAAAAAAAAAATTGATTGCTCAAGAATAGATTGAGTTCTTAATACAAAGATACAAAAGGCTTGCATATTCGCGATAAAAAATTGATTGCTCAAGTAAGTAGGTGAATGGAGAAAAATCTGACCTTTATCAGCGCTATGGTATATATCTTACATGTCATAGTAGACAAGGAAACCTCCATAGTCTGATGCTTCTGAAGCCTTGAGAGAGAACCTGAAGGCGTAGCTGCAGTTAATAATCGTGAAAAAGATCGATGAAGGAGATGGGTAACAGTTGCAAGAAATATGTGTCCAATGGAATTTACATGAATTAAAAGCAAATACTGCAGTCTCTCCGTTCCAATCATCCCCAGCTATCTCCTCAAGTAACTCCACATCTGATGGGGAGAGATCACCAGTGATGCAGACGGTAGTGGGAACATGAGCATTTTCTTTCACTGGATAAGTCCAATTTCCAGCACCCTGACAGTTAAACACTCCGATGACTCCAGAAAACTTGTTCAAGTTCCATATTTTCAACAGACTGCACAAAAGTTAACTGAGTTAGTATTATTTTTAGAACAAGTAGCAGGAAACTTTTTAGAAAAATTGGTGTGTGTGTGTGTGTGTGTGTACCTTTTGCCATCCATGACAGGGTCATTGAACAGGCAATCGCGAGTTGGACGACCAGCATGCTTTGTTCTTAGAATCAAGCCATCTGGCAGAACAAGTTTTTTAAGAACACTGAAATCATGCATCCCTGGTTTGTCGCTGCATATCAGTTCAGTAATATAAAATCCATAATGAGATCATGCAAATTTCTTAAATGCAAATACAACATCTGCATAAATATACTGCAAGAATTACCTGACATAAACACCACCACCACTCAGAGCCCTCGCAGCTCCATGAAATTCTGCTGATTCATGCTTACTCTTTACATTGGCAAGAATGGAAAATTAGCTGCCAGCCTGGCATGAAAAAAAAGAAAGAAAGAGGTACTGGGGATGCCATAATCTCACATGAAACATATCCCAGTCAGGTATGAAAATTTCTCCCAATAAAAGGCTATTGAATGCCACAGTAGCAATGTGCAGGGTTTGCATCGTTGGCTCCCGAGGCATGAAATCTTCTGATGCTCTAGCAACTGCGCTCTTCAATGAACTACAAAGAACCAAGATTTACGTCAAATTTCATGTATGTCACACATATTGTTCAGCGACAAGAATATGTACCTAAAAATGCTGTCTGTATTGTGACTCATGCAGCAAATTAGGTTGTTTCCTTTGAAGTTCCGAGCGATAGATTCCTCAAGTGCTTGTTGATACTTCTGAGTTAATGCAACACGACCACCAAAACCCTTCCCAAGAGTCTCCATCACATTCTGCACATCTACCTTCACACCATCCACACCCACACTAGAAAGGTAGCTGTGCTGATCATTGTAGAAGTCATATATCATGGCAGGATCAATGATACCCACTCCAAATTTCTCCAAGCTGTCCATAGCTATATCCCTCAAATTTGCAACATTACCGGGAGACTGGACTGGGTAAACTAGCTGTGGATTGTACTTCTTCATCGCATCAGGTGTTGTGAGGACACCACCCCAATACCCATGTAAAGCATGCCATATGTAGACATACCTGTAGTTTCATACAAAGCCTTTTTCTCAGCATATATTATGAAAAGCATATTATAGAACTAGTATTTCAATAAGAATCAAGTACTTGACTCCATAGTGCTCTTTGATTTTCTTGACATGGTCTCCAAGATTCTTGCAGGTTTCTCCCCTAAACTTATCGTTCTCTGTCAGATCGATAAGTCTCTCCGCAAACCTAATAATATTGCAACATGGGTAAGGAACAGATGAGTGCACTTTTATGTGTATAGATATAATATGAGGTTATGACAGTGATTTACAGTTTCAGGGGAAAAAAAAAAGGAAATTGGATAGGAAATCTCACAATAAAGAAAAAGTATACAGTCTATGTTGGTGGATCTAGATTCTCTTTCACAAACAGATAAGGAGAGATTTCAAAATGTATTGGTGTTTATTTAATATGAAATCAAATACTCAAACGTCCATTTCCTGGAGTAAATTTTCTTTGTTAAACAGGAATTTAATATACTTCATGGACCGATCAGCAAGTTGAAAAATGGTTAGACGCTAACACAGTCTGTTCAATAAAGGCCTCATCCACTTCCTTGAATCCGTTAACGGTTTCTTGCCAGCCATCGTCTATAATTAGAAACCTTGGTGGTGCACCTCCTTCACACAAACTATACAACAAGAAATGCTTTATCAGGAATTGACAAATGGAGGATGCGGGTAATAAAAAAGACCTTTCAATTGTTTTCGAATATCACATAAGTAAGATCGATTCATTTGTACCTTTTAAGGCCCTCTTCAATTCCCACTGGGTTGACAGATTTATAAAAAGCATCCCAAGTGCACCACCCAAACCAGTCCAGGTTTGCAGGGATCTGGCATTTGTGATGAATTTCAACAGGACTTGTGAAAAACAAAATAACATAGAACTATAAATGACTAGAAAAGGTTTACATGATTAACAGTCTTATTCTAAGTAGAAGATAGAAGTACAAAGATGAACATCCTTAGCTACACTATACCTCTTTGTCCTCTATATGACTGAAAGTTCCTTTGATCTTAGATAACATCCTAAATGGAGATACAACTGAAGTGAGCCAGTTGCAAATAGAACAAAAATATGTGTCATTGTGGTTATGTTAGAGGATGACATTACTTGATTGATTCCTTCATAAGCTTGAAAGGGTTGTCCCCTGAGTTGATGAATACAGCATCAACTGCTTCCAGTGTCTGAACCTCAGGATCACCTAAAAACAGTCCACCACTGTACTCTTCAGAAATTCCAACCGAAATTCCAAAATTTGCAGTTCGTTTCAATTCGAACACCTCAGAATCCAGCAAATCCAGAATAAACCTACCGCTCTCGAAGCAAAATTGGAGCTCATTCTCAGGACTCCCCTGGAGGCTGGCTCGGAAGCCGCCGTCAAGAACCGGCAGCATGAGCGCGTACAGCGCGGCACCCGCCTCGCTCCTCGACTCCAAGAGCAGCATCTGCGTCTCCGCTGGCACGCCGGCGGCGTCCTCGCCCACCGTCGGGATCATCCACCAGATCTTGAACCTGAACAGGGACAGCCACTTCCACCCACTGCACACCAAAACCCAACAACGAATCAGTACCACCGCTGCCGGCCGCGGCGCACACCGCAATCTCTGCTCTGGGGGCGGGGGCTCTACCTGGCGAGGGTGCCGAGGGAGAACACGTGGCGGCTGGACGGGGCGGGCGCCGTGGCGCCAAGGAACGCGGCGCCCCCCGGGGAGGCGACGACCGCGGGGCGGCGGAGGGCCACGCTGGGAGGGGCCCGCTCCAGGAGCTCCCGCCCGCCGACCACCAGCGACCCGCGCTCCAGCCGCGCCATCTCCTCGCTCCGCGGGCACGCGACGGCGGCGGAACTGAGGCTGGGACGCGGCCACGGCCGGCATTGCGCCGGGACGAGGCCGCGGGGGCGCGAATTATTCCCGCGCGAGGGAGTAGGAGGAGGGGCCCGAAGCGGCGACCTCCAGGGCGCCGTCCCCGTCATCGCCATGTCAGCTTCGAGCTGGGATAGACTAAGATATCCGGTAGTACTTCCGCTGCCATGATCGGGACCCCCGCGTGTGGATGGGGGCGCTCGCCGCGACGCGAGAGAGACGGCGACGCTCGGCTCGCGTGCGCGACTACGCGGGGGGGACGAGGGCGACAGCTACGAAATCGGGGTTTTTATGGACTATTTGGCCCCCTTCCTTCTCGAAGAGCACTGCTAAATGTACTTAGTCCTTCCGTATCATAATATAGCAATATAAAATCGAACGAGACATTTCATAGTACAATGAATTTGGACATACTTCCTGTCCAGATTAGTTGTATTATAAAGGATATGTTTAGTTCTCACTAAAATTAGAAGTTTGGTTGAAATATGAACGATGTGATGGAAAAGTTGAAAGTTTATGTGTGTAGAAAAGTTTTGATGTGATGGAAAAATTGAAAGTTTGAAGAAAAACTTTAAAACTAAACACGGCGAAAATGTCACATCTTTATAGCACAACTAATATGGACAGGGAGCATGTCCAAATTCACTATACTATGAAGTGTCTCATCCGATACTAGATTGCTATAATATGGGACGGAGGGAGTAACTTCTTTCTATTTTTACAAAACTCTCATAAACAATAATATCATGCGTTTAATTTAAGAAGATAAAAATCATAGATATCTACGTATACTCACAGCATGATACATAGTCTAGTCTTAGTAAAACTTTAGGAAAAGAAAATTTAATACTAATAAACTTTTCCATTCTCAAATACCACTATCCCCTCTTGGATGACTTCGTTTTTTTACTAGAAAGAGACGATTTTTTTTCTCTCGTGTCAATTTTTAGCCAGCGAAATGCCACGTCATCATTTATGAGGGCAAGACTATCATTTTTCCCTCAGATATGGCGACATGACGCCTCGCGGGCTAAAAATAGCACACGGGCTAAAATTTGAATTTCAGTTTAAATTATTTTAAAGTTTAACCTGTTTATTGAGGAATGAGGATGATATTTGAAGCCACATAAAACGATGGCCTGAAAAGAGGGAGTTTTGATCTGCACTGGACTGTGCCACGGTCACTACACAGTGCACACTGCGACGCCAACCACTCGAACTCCCCGACGAGATAAAGCGCCACGTCCAGCGACGAGCCAGTGAGCCTCCGTTCTCCAGGGCGACGGCAGCAAATCGCAGCCATGCTCCGCGCTCCGCCTCAGGCGCCGCGGGCCTCGCGACGGCCGCCTCCGCCGCGGTGCTCCCCTGCCGCAGGCGCGTCGCCGCCGCCGTCGGCCGGCGGCATCCGGCGGCTGGTGCTGACGCCGGAGGGCCGGGCGAAGCTGGACGCGCGGCCGGACCGCGACTTCTACGCGTTCCCGCGGCTCGTCAAGCACGTGGACGACGGCTTCCTCGCGGCGCTCGCCGACCTCTACCGCGAGCGCCTCCGCCCCGGGTGGGACGTGCTGGACCTCATGAGCTCCTGGGTCAGCCACCTGCCGCCGGAGCGCGAGCTCCCGCTCCGCCGCGTCGTCGGCCACGGCCTCAACGCCCAGGAGCTCGCCAAGAACCCACGCCTCGACTACTTCTTCGTCAAGGACCTCAACAAGGAGCAGCGGCTCGAGCTCCAGACCTCCAGCCTCGACGCCGTCCTCTGCACCGTCAGCGTCCAGTACCTTCAGTCCCCTGAGAAAGTATGCCCGCCATTGCTGACATTGGGAAAACTCTATTCATTAAGAGGATAAACATGTCACTTAAAAAGTCATCGCAAATTATTTTTAAAAAAATTAGTATAATAATTTAATATGTAATATATCATTTCACAACTATACATATTCAAATTCAACTTATACCGATTGAAACAAAAATAATAAATTTGACGAAAAGAACACGTATTTCATGGTCAAATTTATTGTTTTTTTCCAGTTGTATAAATCAAATTTTAACTTGTATATTTGTAAAAATATATATCATATATTGATTTATCTTGATTTTTTTAATTATAACATTTTGAACGCCAATCTGCCATTGCTGCATTCTTCTCCAGATCTCTTGATTGTTTTGTGTCGTGTAGGTTTTCGCGGAGATCTTCCGGGTGCTGAAGCCGGGGGGAGTGTGCATCGTGAGCTTCAGCAACCGGATGTTCTACGAGAAGGCGATCGGGGCGTGGCGGGAGGGCACGGCCTACAGCCGCGTGCAGCTCGTGACGCAGTACTTCCAGTGCGTCGACGGGTTCACGGAGCCGGAGGTGGTGAGGAAGCTGCCCTCCGACGCCGCCGGCGGGAAGCCGGCGTCGCCGCTGGACGCCGTGATGAGGCTGTTCGGGATGGCGGGCTCGTCCGACCCGTTTTACGCGGTCATCTCGTACAGAAACTTCAAGCCCATGTGAAGTTTTTACATGTAGGTGCCAGAGCCAACTTACTGCTAAAACTCATGGAAATCTTGAGATGTACATCTAGTATTATAATTAGGGATGTACTTCCTCCGTTTCAAAATATTTGACACTGTTGACTTTTTAGCACATGTTTAACCGTTCGTCTTATTTAAAAAAATTGAAAATTATGTAAAACTATATGTGTACATGAAAGTATATTTAATAATAAATCAAATGATATGAAAAGAATAAATAGTTACTTACATTTTTTTAAAATATTTGACACTGTTGACATTTTAGCACATGTTTAACCGTTCGTCTTATTTAAAAAAAATTAAAAAATATGTAAAACTATATGTGTACATGAAAGTATATTTAATAATAAATCAAATGATATGAAAAGAATAAATAGTTAATTATATTTTTTTTAAATAAGACGAATGGTCGAACAAACATTTTAAAATGGAGGGAGAGTATATAATTTACAGATTCTCACTATTTGTGCAAAAGAACTATTTTGTGGGTGTTGGAACTGAACTTGGAACAGAGGTGTTCGAGACAGAAACATCTCTGCGTAGCGCGTGGTGTTCTCTTCCATCCAAATTCCAAACTAACAACATTCTCAATGGAGAAATTATCAAGCCCATTCCTAGCATGAAACAAATCACGTATATGAAAGGCTAAGAAGTACTTTTATTGGTTATTATCGAGTATTGCTCAGAGCTCACGCTCGATCTACAGCATCTGACAGATGACCATGACTGAACGTCTCAGACCAAACCATCTACTCAACCTCGTTAGAAGAAACTAATTAGCACTAATCAAACTACCCAACTACCCAAGTAGACTGAGCGTCGAGATATTTACATGTGTTTTCATGACCTCCTAGAGCCGTCGACCTTAGGAATCCTGCAGCTGAGCGGAGCGGCTGGTCAGAGGGACGTAGCGGACGGACGCGTCGTTCTGGACGGTCACCGAGCCGTCGGCGTTCTTGTCGACCACCTGCAGCTCCTGGAAGTAGCTGCCGACGGGTATGACCATCCGGCCGCCGGTCTTCAGCTGATCGACCAGAGGCTGAGGAATCTCCGGTGCCGCGGCGCCCACATGAATGGCGTCGTATGGTGCATCGTCAGGCCAACCAAGCCTGCCATCTGCAGCGTTGAGAACGGCAAGAAATATTATGCGCATAGTGATTTTGCATTTTAGATTTCGCCAAGATGGAAGCAAAGCATGCGTTCAGTAATACACTAATTCTAGTGCCAGTATCAGACCAGTTAGCAGCTTAGCATACCTGCAACATGGAAAGAAAGAGATCCATCCTTCAGTAATTGTGCTGCGGCACTTCTTTGGACATTCTCAGTCGAAGCAGCGACAAGCTCAGGAATATGTTCTATCCCCACTGCACGGCCTTCTGGTCCAACCATCATTGCAAAACAAGCTGTCAAGTAACCGCTGCCTACAAGAGTTACACATGCAGATGAAATGTGTCAATAGTTAGAAAATTGTTTGTATCTCAACTATCTAATACTAATGGATAACAGCAAGTCGTTCACACAACTGCATGGTCTAGAAAACTCAACAGGGCACTCTAAAAACAACCGCATTTGCTATAGTACAGGACTACAGGAGTATGGTGTTTCAGTAATGAACCTGAATACCTGATCCAACATCTAGAGCATGCATTCCTGGCTGCAAGTGATCCTTCAGTAGCTCCAAGCAGGTCGCATGCATGTGAGGAGCAGATATCGTCGCGTTATAACCAATAGGCATAGGGCTGTCAGTGTAAGGAGTAAGGCCCTCTGCTACGAACAATGCTCTGTCAATGCTTTCCATTACTTCAGCCACTTTATCAGTTCTAACAGCACCATATTGCTTCAGGTATTCGACAAGAGCTTTGTTCTTGTCCAGTGATCCTTGAGTCCAGAATTGCTGGATGGCAAGCAAGCAATGGTCAGATGAAAGCATCCATCGCAGGTATGATCATAGCTTGAAACTAATACATGGGGTGTTCTTGAAAGTAGTGCATGCATCTGGAAAACAACCAAATCCACAATGCTGAAACTTTTTTTTTGGGGGGGAACGACAGAGCTCAAAAGTTAAATGTTCACTCATCATAATTCTATAGTACATGGATCATTTGGAAAGCAACCACGAATTCACAAGACCTAAAATGTAAATTCACATTTACATGGACATGGTAAGATACGGGATTCATTTACAGCATGGATTTCACTTTAAGGTAGTCCCTATATATGAAGTTAGGTCGCCAAAAGGTGAACATTTTTAGTCACAAGGGCAAAGCAAACAGCTGAGCAATCCAGCACACCTCCGAAATTCACTGGTTTGGACATCTGCGCTTTCAAGTGATTCCCCAAAATTAGCCACGCAACTTTACCCTAACAGGTCACACGAGGAGCCATCCGGAGCAGGTTCCGGTTGGGCATCGCCGGGCACAAATTTCCACGGAATCGGGATTGCCACAGGAGAAAATCGATAGGGGAGGGGAGGAGCACCAACGCTTACCGCCATCCGGTGGAACGGGATGCAGCGCAGCGGCGGCGGGGGCGGTGTTGGCCGGGGAGGAGTCGCGGCGAGGAGGAGGTGGTGGAGGAAGCGGCGGGGGAGCGCGGCGGAGGAGGGCGACAGGCAGCGGGCGGGTGAGGCGGACGCGGACGCGATGGCGGCGGCGAGGCACATGACGGCGGCCCCCCGTGCGTCAGAAACCCGTTAAAAAGAGGACGAGGCGGCACGAGGAGGGGAGCAGGACAGGTGGTGGGGGTGGTTGCCGCTGCGGTGGCCGTGTGGAGAAGCTCCCTCTCGACAGGTGGCCGCCTCTCCGGCGAACTCTGGTAGCGTGGGTGGGGGACGGGTGCCTGCCGGCTGCCGCCCAGGAAGGGACGGGTGTGCGCGCGTGGCCTGCCTATCCAGACCTTCCATTCAGTACTCAGTACTACTTCGCGGGTTGGCTGGTTGCTCTGCCCCGGTGCGATACGATACGGGTGTTCCGTCTCCTGAATTCGGAAGAGACCGAGAGATCGTGAAGGTTGAAGATTCACCAAATCACCGTAGATGCGCCTGCATCAGCAGGGTTCGCCCATCATCTGTCAGCAGCGAACTCGTAGTAGTAGTGACAGAAAGCATCTCGTTCAAACGCCTCTGTTGTTTATATTTAGATACTAGTAGAACATTATCAAGCAATCTGCAGTGTGGACATGACCAAGATCGTGCCTGTCAAAGAAGGTGGTATTTAGGACATGCCAGCACAGGTATCAGTGTAAAGATGCAGTACAGTGATTATCCAGAAATCCACGGATCCTAGTAGAAGTTGTTGCCCCAGGTCATTTTTACGCATTCACAGCAAGTGGTACTAGCATTAACAGGCTTCTCGAGTATGAATTTTGCTCGGGTCCCTTAGCTATCCATCTGACCACAAGCTTTTCTCCCCCAAAATAAAAGCACTAGCTGGTACAAGTTGTATCCTGTATGTGTATACATCAAGTCAGTAAACTGATTTATCCAGACGATTTTGCTTTGTTCAGATAATAAACCGTTTTGCTGATGCCATAGTTTAAAACTATATGCTTAGGTGTTTTTATATCTTTCTGCCAGAGGCAACCTTATAGATTTGGAAGCTAGAGATAAGAGATCCCTGAAGTACCTCAAAAGTCCAAAAGAAGTTGTGGCAATACACGCTCCAGATGGGTGGGTTCAATAGTTGTTGTGCCCTCTGCTTCGGCAATAAAAGCAGAACGTTGAACAGCCTCTGCAAGAAAATTTCTCTAGTTACACTGTAGCTATGGAGTATTGACTTCATGTCACTTAACACCATGAGGCAATAGAACAATTTAAGAGGTACATACCTGTGACAAATATCCGTAGAAGTTCACAGCTCACTTTAAGCGCACTGGCGTTGGCTGTGAAGGTGAACAGATTGTCAACACCACACAAGAAGGCTCTCATAGGATGATAGGGAGTTAATTTCAAGTTCAAGATTTAAACTACCCCAACAGAAATCTAAGGGTGGAGATTCTTTTTTCAGTATTAGGTGATTGGGCGCACAGAATTGAATTTAACAAGACTTGGTTTTTCACAACTCACAGCTATTCTTTTAACAAATACTAGAGACAAAATCTGATAATATTGTTTTTTTCGCTAGGATGCCTTAAACATTTGAGACAAGTTATTGTTACTTGTTAGGTCTATTTTCAATTTCTTATCCAACAGGCCAACAGGGTCAAATTGTTATAGCCTGGTTGGCACACTTGGTGCTGGCATTAGTTGCTGTTGTAAGGATATACCAAACCCTGAAAGGACTAGAGGTCTAGAGCCCATCTGCTACAATATAAAACAATAACAAAAACTGAATTGTACAACCAAGATGATCAACAAATGTCCACTGCTGCAGCATATGCAACTATAAAAGAGGACAGACTAACTGATGAATGTCTAAACTAGTATGCCAACAAGATCCTGTTACATCATAAGTGGCTGGACGCCTGGACCGATTGATTGTCATGCTGAAATCAGATAGACTTCTTGTTGCCCTCTGTATTGCACAACTTAAATTGTTGTCAGGATTCGCTTGTAAAGTAAAATAAGGTGCCACCCACAGGGCCCGTGAAACGGAGGTAAACATCACTGTAAAGTTACCCAAACTCCAAAGTAATAGTTACTAGTAATAAGAGAATTTAGCAAAGTTGATACTGATGAGATTCAGCTCCAAAAGGCAATTGCAAGAAATGTAAAAACTTCTGATGCTGCCACTAGTGTTGATAACCTGCTGCCATTTAACAGCACCGAATACTACCAACAGATGTGCATGGTCAAGCTTATTCCTAGTTCCTACCAGTGGCTAAGGAGACTAATCAGATGTAACAAAGCAAAACGCATAAATCGCATGTTTTACTGTAGCAGAAGGTGATTTACCAGTGGCACTACGATTCCTCCTTGATGTCTCCGGGGCAGGCTGTCAATTAGAGAAGGAAACATTCAGACCAGAGTACATACACAACAGAAAGAAGAGTAATCTGAAACAGATTAGGAGTAGCTGAAAGAAGAACGGCCACAGAAAACAATCATTTGGAGGCAAGGATCTGGGACCAGATCAAGGAATCACCTCGACCTCGATGACCTCGTCGCCGGCATCGCCGCCGCCGCCGCCCCTCTCGCCCCGCCGGCTCCACACCAGCTTGAAGATGGCACGGATCAGATCCTGCCCCCAGATCCCCAAAACAAGCCCCGTCAACGTACCGCATCAACCCCAAAACTGGATTTATTCCGATCAAAAGGAGGGGGGAGCTCACCGGATCGAAGGTCTCGCCGCCGCGCGCCGCCTCGTCCTCCATCGCGGGTGGCTTCCGTTTCGCCCGGGCCGCGAGCGGGAAAACGCCGGGAGGGGGAGGGGATTAGGGCAAGTAAATGGCGGGAAGGGGTTTCAAGGTGGGCCTTGGTGGGCCCGTTTCAGGTGATCCCTTTACTGAATTGGGTTTTATTTTGGGCTATAAATTCTACTAATAGGCCTCTTCGAGCCTTTTCCCTCCATTTTCTCCCTTGCTAGCCGCCAAGCTGACGCGAGATGGTTTACCTTGCAGGAAAGGTAAAGCTTTTTTGGTTCATTTCTTTCTTTTTTGAATGGAAAAGCAAATTGTTGATTGAACTGGCAAGTCAATCACCAACTCGCCTAGACGATGGCTGCAAGTTTCCTCTGGTCATCCCATATCATGCTCGCATGTCGTAAAGGGGCTCGTATTTAATCTGTTTGAAGATGGCCAGCATTGCCCTGATTAACTTCAGGATTGTTTAATCTTGCGTGATTGAACATCCTTGGTATACTACTAATTTCGTGATTAAGCTGCCTGCTTGCTTCCTTAATGGCAGGTGAGTCAGGATGGTCGGAGAAAAGGCAGAGAACGACCTTTTCAGGGGACTATCATCGCCGTGAACGAACTCCTCCCCTTTGAAGGAGCAAAACTGTTCTAAATCATCTGCTTCCCCTTTCCCTGTTTCCCACCGCTTTTCAGTTTCTCTCGCCAACTTCTGAAGATTGTTTAAGAAACCTTGCGTCCTTCCTCGTTTTCTTTTCCTTTTTTTTCTTTGGTGTGGAGGGTTTCATTAAAGAATGAAACTTTCCTGGAGTCAAAAGTCCAAACAAATTATGTACTATACATTGTTCACTGTTCAGAAACCACTTCCCCCAAACCGTGCGACCTCTCTCTCTCTCTTGTGATTTCTAAAAGCCATTCGTCTCCATGCTTGCAAATTGCGATCACTATTTCGAGTGCATTTTGGTTTGGACTTTGGAGATACAACATGACAACTTGACAAGCAGAACAGGTAGCTAAGACGCATCCATTTCGCAGGTCAGATCTGCTCCTTGATCGTTTTGCGAGATCCGAACAACAGCGTGCCATGCGTCCATATGCGTTCGACTTAAGCATAGGGCCCCTCTCTTATCCTATCAATATCATCATCGTCTTCTTCGTCGCCGTCATGGGGCCTCCTCTCCTTCTCCCCTTGTCTGCTTCCTGGGGCAGGGCTAGCACTGGTGACAGTTGACCAAACGCGATCGATCGCTTCAATTCTTTAATGACTTTTTCTTCTTCTTCTCCCGTCGCCTAGCTACTGCAGGAGCATGATCTGTTTCTGTGGGTGAAGGTTCTGGAAGCGGAATATCTGGCCGGCTCGCTCCATCCAATCATGGGGCTTGGCGGGTGGAAGCTTCTGTGCCAATGTCTGTTAGACTGTCACGCCGTGGACCTGCTGAAAAATGCAGCGTGCAGGGGGTGAGGAGAGGCGTGCACCGACCGCCACCGCCACGCGTACGGCTCGGATTTGTTTGGTTCATCGCCACAATATAGATCCGTCCATCAAGGTACAATCAGAAATTGGACAGGAGCTCTACTGCCAATTCAGCAGCTTTGGCCCCGCCGGTATAGATTATTTGTCACAGAATGGTGTCCGCATTTTTTTTTATATGTAAGTTTCTTAGAAATAGTATTTAAAATATCAACTTTGTGCTGCTTAATTATTTTCTTTTTGTACCCTTGAAATATTATCATAAAATCAATTCAGAGTCTTGCTCCGCAAAAATACCAGATGAGCATGAGCTGATCAATTCCAGCGCCGCAGCCGCAGCAAAGAGTGCAAGACAATCGATCAGGCCAAGAGGCACCAACCGTGTGTAGGGGACAAACAAAAAACGAGTAAGGGGGTGTTCAGATCTAGGGGTGTAAAGTTTTAGCGTGTCACATCGATTATTATATAGGTGTCGCATGGAGTGTTCGGGCACTAATAAAAAAACTAATTACAGAATCCGTCAGTAAACAACGAGACGAATTTATTAAGCATAATTAATCCGTCATTAGCAAATGTTTACTTTAGCACTACATTATCAAATCATGGAGTAATTAGGCTTAAAGATTTGTCTCGCAAATTAGTCGCAATCTATGTAATTAGTTATTTTTTAGCCTATATTTAATACTTCATGCAGGTGTTCAAATGTTTGATATGACAGGGTGTAAAATTTTTGTGTGGGAACTAAACGGGGCCTAAGGGAAACCGCTACTATGTACTGTATCACGAGTTCCTTATGAAAATGCAAATTATATTCAGGAACTAAATATGAACTCCTTCAATTTTAAAATATAACAATCTCGAATCGAATTTGATACAAATTTAGTTATACCTTGTTTTGTCCTAAAATATTATTACTACTATGTACCTAATATATGATGTAATATTTCTTTCATTTTACTAGAAAATATCACATCACATACATATACTATATATAGCAATATTTTAAAACTAACGAAGGATTAGTTTTTTTATAGGCGCGGAGCTATGTATAGTTAGGGGGTGTCCGGGAACCCGGTTGAAAAGAAAAATTAGTTATAATTTATCTATTTTCACCATATGTTTATATATCCTGTCAGTTTAAATTTAGATACTCGTATCAAGATTCAAATCAAAGTAACAAATGAATGGAATCATTCATTTTGTTCTAGCTCCGCCCGTAGTTTTTTAGATTTTAGGACTACGGACTGAGTATTATTTGCCATCACATCACGTCGCATGCTTAATCTCTGTGTTCGTTGTGAGCTGTGACAATACTCAATAGGATGTCCATTGTTGGAGTAGCTCACTGTGCTGACTTGTGAGCAGCTAGGTACTGTGCCGACTTGCTAGTTGATCCATTTGCTGTGTTGACGAAGCTAACAATGCCAGAATATTCCAAGACTTAATAGGCTCCATGTGCCACACTGTATACAAGTACACTACACGTCAATTCATACACTAGTATATATGTACTAGTAGATGGAAACAAAATGCACAATCTCAGTGTACGAGTAGTAAATACTAGTGTAATACGTGGTGCCTCGTTCATGCACCTAAAACTTCCTCCCGTTGATTGAAAATTTGAAACTATGGGTGGCAGAACAATGGTTTTGCCACTTGTTTATGACATACTCCTACCCTACCTGATCCATGGCATTTCTTTGTACTAACCAGGTTATTCCAGCCTGCCACGCTGACTTACACTTGGACGATACAGTCAGCTGCATCATCTTTTCACATTGTCACATTTGCTGGTCAAATACTCCACGATGAGGACCTCTCCTGAAATATTTCTATACACGACCTGCATAATCAGGGGACGTGCCAATGCACGCACCACCAGTTGAATCCCACATTAACAATCCATTCCCTTACAAAAAAAGTAAAAAAAAAAAAGAATGAATCTCCTCCTAACCTGCTGCTAGTATCCCACCAGCTACATAAATTGCATTTGACTCCTCGAGCTAGCGAAGCCTACCTACGTGGCTACGTGATTAAAAGAAGATGGCGGCGCGCTGAGGCAGACGTGAGTCAGTGTCGCGATTAACTAATCGGTCGAGATCGAGCTGCTGCTCCTCCGCCACCACCGCGCGCCAACGCTGCCGGATCATTAGCGCGACTCGCGCTGACTCGTTGCTCCTTTCATCTTAAAATATAAAAAGTTTTAATTGGATGTAACATAGTACTCGATATTCACACTCATCATCAAATAAAAAAAATATTGATTCAATGTAACAGATTTATTGTTTAAGTTTATAATACTAGATATATCACATATTCACGTCGGGTCAAAGTTACTTATTATAAAATACAGGGAATAATTCATTCTACCTTACTCTCACGCCTGTCATCATGTACTAGCAGTGTAGCTAGGATTTATCAAACCGTGTGATGGTTTAAAAACTGAAAAAAAAAACATCACATATGATAACCATAGTGACTGTATGATTTTGTAAACCCTGGATGTAGCTCGCTCCACGCACGCCTCGCGCCACCGGGCGAATCAACTGCGAGGCTCGTGTTATCTGCGACCGCGCGCCAAGTGGGATTACTTTACACTGATTTTTAAATCCTCAAGGGTGATGTGTACAGATATACTACTGCTACAACATGGGTTGATTAAGCTTAGCTCTAGAATACTATAATACAAGTGCTTATCGGATATAAGCTGCCGTATACAATCGAATGGATAGATATTGTGTTTATCGGCGTGTGTCGTTTTGCCGTCCAGCTCATGGAGGCACCACCAACCCCTGGCCTGCCTCTCTGCTAAAATATCTCCGGGGAAAAGGCTGCAGCAGATACGCCCTTGCTGCTCGGCTTCATCATGCACAGAAACAGAACCGAAGGAACAGCAAAATGTTCAGTTCAAGGACAGTTTAGCAACAGTCCTTCACTCGCATCGCATCTCTCCAAAGTTAACCAGCGGGCCCTTGCTAGTGAGGTCGGTTGCTTAAAGCTTATTGACATGGCTAAACAGCCAGACAGCAGTGCTATTCAGGTCACACACGACAAGCAGCAGCAGGGCAGAGCTGGCAGGCAATGTTTACATATGTTAGGCCTTAACACTGACAGAGCATGAGTCAAAAATCAAAAGGGTGTAGCAGGTACCATGATAAATCGGTCTAGCATCGGATCGTGCGAATCAGCAACAGTGCAGACCCAAAAAAGGGATTAAGCATCAGATTAGCTAAAACCTAGTCATAATCATCTGCTAAGTGCATGGATCATTGCAGTGCGTGGCCAACTCGTCTGCAGGACAGAGGCGCACAGAATCTTATCATTGTATCCAGCGAGATCGGTAGGGTTTGGTTCGTCACGCTCACGTCGATCCCAATCCGATCACGCCAGCATGAAAGCGATCGAGCCTGCACTTCCTCTCTGCTGCTTTGCTTGCTCCAGATCGATCGATCTCATCTCCAACTCCAAATCCCCAGCGATACACGCCCGCTTTACAGGCATGCAGCTGCAATGCTGCGTTGCCCACAAACTACAAACTATATGTGCAATTATTATCCATTGGCAGATCGGCGATTGGCGTCAGATTTGGAGTTTATCGTGGTGCAAAATGAACGGTCAGTTACTTCATTTTGGTAATTTGGTTGTATTCTGTGGATGATAGTTATGTCAGACATTCTCCTATCTGCTTTGACAGTAGCCCAGCCTGAAGAGAAATTGAATGGATAGATTGTTTCTTGACTTCTTTTTACTGAGCCATTCATGTCGATTTTGACACTTGATAGCCAAGCTAGAGTGAGAGACGACAATTGAAGAGCTTCTTTTCCTTTTGGAAAGTTACAGATCAGAACAGGACACCAGCCTAACGCTGATGAACCAATTAGGTGGGTCTTTCTCGCTATTCTTCTGGTCTTATATTTGTCAAAGTAGATAACACAGCTATTGTTGTAGCACACAAAGAAAGGCAAAAAAAAAAAACACATTGTCAAAACAGGATTTCGGCAATATAAACGGGATAGCGCACGAGATCTAAAAGTGGATAGATGTGGAGACAAGATCTAGACAGGTTCAGACCCTCTCATCAACCCTCTCATAATACTCTACTCCTGTTTGGGGATTTGAATCCACCAAGTGTAGTATTGATTTGACGATCTAGTTGTGAATCTCATGCCCTAGAGGGCCTCTTGCCTGCCTTATATAGGATGGGGGACAGGATTACAAGACAGAAACCTTAACTAATACGATATCGGCTTCCTAAATCTATTATCAAACCAAAACTTTACGCCATTCCGTAATATACAAGAAAACGTAATACCCAAGTTATGATCCGTTACATATTCCATAGATCTAAACTATCCCCTATAACTAGTCTGATAACCATGTCGTGTGGGTATGGGGTACCCATAATCTCCACACACATAAAGACAATTGATTTACAAGATTTTAGACTTATGAAAGTTATAAAAATTTCTTTCAATTAAAATTGCACGACATTGCTAAACCCTAAAATTGCTGCAATTTTATTTCACTTTACTGTGATTTTCTTGTTATATATGGTTTTACTTTATTTTTATGTATTTGGTTTTTTTCATGTACTTCTGTAAAATTTTATTAATTATAAGTTTGTTTCATGTCATTTGTAAATTTTTACATGTTAGAATAATTTATTGTTCAATCATTTGGGAATTTATGAGAACCATAAGATTATTAGTATCATCCAAGGATGAGAAATGTAACTGTATTTTTGAAAAATCCAGACGCCTGAAATGTCCACTCCCTGAAGGAAAATGTAAGCAAATTTGAAATCACTACTTAAGAGCTTTTGCACGTAGTTTTGTAAAGTTTTATTAATTATAAGTTTGTTTCGTGTCATTTGTAAATTTTTATATGTTAGAATAATTTATTTTTCAATCATTTGGGGATTTATGAGAACCATAAGATTATTAGTACCATCCAAGGATGAGAAATGTAACTGTATCTTTTGAAAAATCCAGACACCTGAAATGTACACTCCCTGAAGAAAAATGTAAGCAAATTTGAAATCACTACTAATAAGCAGCTTTTGGAAAGTCCAAAAATATAGTGGACCGTAGAGACTCCCCTCTCCCGTATATACACAAAGGCAGGAGTATCTCCATTCTCAAACAAGTCAAACTTCCGTGAGTCCAAAAACGAACAGAAAAAGAAGAAAAAAACGCACACTTTTCTACGTCAAAAATCGTGCCAAACCGGGACCTTGCTACGATGCCGCCGCAACCCGCAGCGACCAGAGCCGCACCTCGCCGTCAAAACTGGCGCTGCAAACCCTCCACTCCTCGTCGCCGCCGTCGTCGTCGGCGCGACGCTTCTTCTGCGCCGTCACGAGCGCCGCCGCGACCGACCTGACCGCGCTCCCGTGCCCGTCGATCACCGCGACGCAATAGTACCCGCGCCCGTCCGCGCCGCGCCGCCAGGCGCGGACCGTCTGGTCCGCCGCCCCGCTGACCACCAGCGCGCCGTCGGCGGCGTCCCCGGCCGCGCACGCGACGGAGAGCACCGCCCTGCGGTGCCCGCGCAGCGCGCCGACCGCGACCATGTGGCTCGCGCTGTCCTCCCGCTCCCACACTACGACGCAGCGGTCGTTGCCGCCGGAGTAGAGCACCTGGCCGCCGCACCCGACGGCGACGGCGTTGACCGCCGCCGCGTGGCGGGACAGGGTGGCCACCAGGTGGTAGGCGGGCTTCTTGCCCGGGCGGCGCGAGGCCCTGTCTGGCCCGGCCGCCGGCGCCCGGGGCGCCCAGACGCGGACGCGCCTGTCGGCGGAGGCGGTGTAGACCGTGCCGTCGTGCGCGACGGCGACGGCGTTGACGGCGTCGTCGTGCGCCGGCAGCGACTGGAGGCAGCGGAGGGACGGGACGGCCCACACCTTGAGCGTCTTGTCCCAGGAGACGGAGAAGAGGAGGCGGCCGTCGGCGGAGGCCGCGACGCCGGACACGGCGTCGGCGTGCTCTATCCAGAGCCGACGGTGGTGGCGGCGGACGGTGACGTGGTTGGACGGGACGGGGAACCGGCGGAGCCGGTCGGAGACGGTGGGGAGCGCGGCGGCGAGGCGGAGCCGGTCGGGCGCGCGGGAGGACATCCGCCACAGCCGCAGCCTCCCGTCCTGGTGCCCCGTCACGGCGGCCTTGCCGCCATGAAGGTGCGCCACGCACTTGACCGACCCGGCCGCCGAAGTATCATCCGCCATGTCGGAGGTGGAGGTCGCCTCCATGGTGAACACGTCGTGGAGGACCACAGCCGCCGGCCTGGCGACGACGACGACGAGACCACCACCGCCGTGAACCGAGTAGTCCGCCGCCGCGACGGCGGCAGCCGATGCCGCCGCCGCCGCCGTGGACAGAGGGCACAGAGTAGTAACATGGGCGAACGATGCGGCGAGGCTTGCGCTCATGCTACCCGTCACATCCGACAGCGACGGCAGCGAAGGGAGGGACATCGACGACGACGCCTCCGACACCGCGGCCGCCGCGGCGGAAGACGACGTCGAGACAGTCGACGAGGAGGACGACACCGCCGCTGCCTGCTGCTTACTGCCGCTATTGCTGCTGTCTCCCTCGCCGGCGGCTGCCGCGCTGTCGCCGGTGGCCATGCAAAGCCGCGGGAGAAGCCGCATCAGGAGACACCACCACCCACTGTGACAGCGGCCGCGACTCCGTGGAATGGAGGAGTTGGTTCGAGTGCGAGGAGGGGGTATTTGTACGCGCAGGCTTGGGTCGGCTTCCTCCATCTGACGACTGGGGATTGTCCGGCACATGTACGGGTGGGAGACTGGACGGTCAGGATGGCCCCGATGTGACCTGTCGGTACGCGCTCGGTTCGAGTGGACAGCCCGGGGCGGAGGTGTCGGGGGCACCGGTGTGCGGTCGATGGCGCGAGCCCGCCCCGCCTTACGGTCGGTCGACGTCGTCCGATCCACCCGGTTGGAATCGCCGCTGCGTCAACGTGTGATCTTTGCAAAAAAAAAAAAAAGAAAAATGAAGAAATAAGTGTGATGTGATCAACTTCTACACCAGCTTCTCAATCTCAGATCGTGATGCTTGCTGTACACTTACAAAGTGTACAGATCACGTTTGGTCCAGGATTAGTGCCTCGACTGCCTCCCCGGAATTTTCATACTACATTCTAACCTGATGAATTAATCGGGACCGATGTGATTTTTTCCATCAAACGAGGCTATGAATTTAACACTAAAATGTATGGTACCTTTTGCTTTGGACATCGCGGCCTGTACCAAAGTGTCAAGTGCCAATTAGCCCTGTGCAATTCCATTTGTGCGTGCACACGAGAGGCTCTCTCTCGATGAACAGTAGGGACTCCGAAGTGACGGTTCGGCAAGTGGTTCGCGTCAGGACCATACGCTGAAGAAATATGCGTGCAAAACATGTACGATCGAGTACGACCGTAACGTGACTGACATCTCGGCTCCAGTAACGGCATGGGTAAGATGTTATGTTTACGTCGGATGGAACCACCGGTTTTTGTTTCAACGTGGCAAACTGTATCGGGACTTGAAACGTGAGCCGCATGCGTTTTATGGCTTCACCTATGGATCCGTAAATTGACACGTCCATCTTCTCCTGTGTTGTGTGTTAGTGTGAACTTTGAAGGAGTATAGTACAATTCAATGTGGGTTGGTCCACTGCCACGCATTGTCAATTTGGCTCTGAAAGAAGCGTTTCGAAATTTTCAGTGATAACTGAACCAGCGTGTGGTACTGGTTGAGCTTAGTGGTCAGATAGTGATATATTTTTCAAAAAACATAATATAAATATAGACGCTCACAAATACGCATACACTATAAACATATAGACGTGCGTCCTATCATTATGAACATCTCGGAAAGATTGGACCGATACATCTAGAGATTAACGAAATAGATGTCTCGCTGTTGATGGGTATGTTGTCTGTCACTGAAAGAATAAATAGCCGCAAATATGAGTATCCATGTCAATCTAAAACTTGAAGTGAACTTGTTCTATTAAAAAAAACTTAATCAGTTGAGCTATACTCATTTTGCAGAAAGTATTATTTTTTTATCCAACATGCAAGCTCATCAGAGAACGAAGGCTGCTGCAAATTGGAGAACAAAATCTTGCAAATCTGCTGTGGAGGAAACGGCAGGAGGTAAGGACAAGCGTCCTTGAGAAAAACAATCTGAGGACAAATGCTCTTACTGGCTGATCATGTAAGAGAGACAAGATTGTACTATTAGCAAAGTAGAGAGTAGATCATGTTATATAAAGTTTTTGAGTAACTAGTATATGTTGCTAGTAACGAGATACTGCAAAAGCTACCTCCATTTGATCCAACATGCATGTGATGCCAAGAGTGGACTACTTAGACAACATTATCTTACAACACTTAATGCAGTAAAGGAAAAGCTAATTATGACTTATAAGAGGTTGGACAAATCTCAACCGAATATATATGGTGCAAAAAAGAGCATGGGGGCTACATGTAAAGCAATGCAATATATAGAATGTCAAATGAGGATCATATCCTAATCGCTGCTCCCTAACTACTCTCTCTCTCTCTCTCTCTCTCTCTCTCTCTCTCTCTCTCTCTCTCATTGCTTCACTTTACGCCAAAATTAAGCAGGATTTAAGCAGGCCTGTGTTACGGGTATGTGTGCAGTGTGCTTTCTGGTCCCATTGCCAGCTCCATAGCCACCCTAGAATATGATTCTACGACTACCATCTTGATAGCTTATTCAGCTCGGATCTCAAAATGTTCTGTATTTGCAGAGCAGATTTGTCAAACAATGGGTGTGTTTAGTGGAGATTTGCCAAAAAGATTTCACGGTCGTCAGGGATGTGATTTGAGTGGAGAAGCAGCAAAGAATATATGTTCCCTTCTGGAGAATGCAACATAAACTAATCTGTTGTCATTTTTCACTTTTGGCATGCTCCTCAGCCTTTCCTTTACCTCGCAGGGGTGGGTTTCAAAATTCAGAGCGTGACATGAACAATTTTTGAACAGAATCATTACATACACGCAGACAAATTGGAGATTTCTAGTAGGTTTGAAATTAACACCGAAAAGAAAAAAAAGAAGAGTTGCCAATGAGTTAACTCAATGAAATGAACAGGCGATCAATGGATCAGTGTCAAGTCGATGCCATTGGAAGATATTGAGCAGCCTATTGCGCTTGTTTACTCAAGAAGCAGCAAATTGGAAATGGATGATATCAAGCTGATCGCAACGTCGAGCAACTACACAGTGTTTTTTTTTTAATCTGCACAGTAACATCAGCGTCACGCTAAGAAAATCTGCAGACAAAATCCACAGTGCAATCAGCAAGGAGTGCCACGAGGTGAGCAGTGACGACGGCGACAGGCACATGCTCAGCGACGAGATAAGCAGCAACAGCAGATAACATAACAGATAACACGGCCACTAAATTCAAAGACCGGTTGTCTTCTTGAGCAGGATTAGGGCACTATACGAGCGTATCATCAGGATCAGTTAGTTCTTGCGTGAGCGTGACATACGCAAGAACTGGGGGCAGAGACACAGATCGAACTGGAAAGCCTGGATCCATCTACATGCTTCGTCTCCAAGCGTTGTTGATATGCTTTGCACTGTTCACTCTTTTACTAGCGCAAAGGTGATAAAAGCGACCAGAGGCAAGAGGATCGAGCGAAAATGCAACCAATCATTCGAAATGTTCGTTTCATGTTCGCTCAAGCAAAGGAACCTGTCCTGCAACGACATTTACGTATCTCCTAACGGCGTCTTGGGGCATAAATTATTGCCAAATCGCAAGCAACTGCCAACTGGTCACTAAGATACTGTTTGGAAGGCTTAATATTCCGAGAAACACTTGGTGAGAATTTAGCTGGTGAAAATATAGAAAAGCTAGGTTTCTCATTTCTATATTCTAGCTTATTTTCTGAATCCTACAACTGCATATTTTTAAAATCTGTATGAAAATCTGAACTGCTTGAGAAGAGTTTTTAAGAGCAGAAGATTGTAGAATAAGCTATATTTTTTAAATAGACCCTAAAAAGCATGCAAAGCTCAAGGCACGCAGCAGCCTAATGGCCGTCGGTATCACCGTGTTGGGTTGTGATTTCCTTGGATGGCAATATGGCATTGTGGCCCTGTCGGGTTGTGGCACCACGGAATCGAATGATCCGTGTCTCCACGGCGTCCCAGCCTCCAGGTGTACGTGGCGCGCTCGCGAGCAGGGTCAAGGACCGCATCGAGTAGGGACCTGAAAACTTGTGTGCAGCCACCACAGGCAGCACCGCACGAAGCCATCTTCGGTGGTGTCCGCTTCAATTGCAGTGGGCAACCACGCGCACATGTGCGTTTGTTTGCTTTGCTCGTTTGGTGCAGCCTAGGTAGGCCAACAGCAGAACACCTGGCCTGCCGTGGTTGGGCGATCAAGACGATCCAAAAGAGCACGTCTCGCTTTTTTTTGTTGCATCATATGGATTCGTAGTACTGCCAATGATAATATGCCGCGTTTCGTGCATGCTGCCTGCTGCTGGTGGTTGTCAGATGAAGTGGTCGTGAGCTCGAGATGGCATGGATTGGTTGGTTTTTCTGATCAGGTGACACGGCTCCGCTGGTCACTTGTGTCACCCTGCCAGGGCGTGCATGATTGGGGCGGGTCTTTTTGGGTGGCACTAGTACTACATTGGTTGTGTGGGAAAACGATGGGTTCTTCAATTGAAGGAGTCACGTAACAAAGTTTGTAGAAAACGGACAATGTAATCATGATGCATATTTTCAGACTTCAGTCAATCGCATTGTCCACAGTTTGATACAAACATATATAGCGTGCGTCGAATAGATGTGGGTGGCGTTGGATTGGACTCGAGATGAAAGAAAGGCGCCGTAGGGTGGTTACCTTTCGTGTCTCCTTGTTTTCTAAAGAGGATTTGACCTCGGCGAAAACGGGTCTCGCAAGAACGAGCAACATTCATCGATGCATCATTATATGTGGACAAATGTGTTCCATCCCGACGATTTCCAAACAAATTCCCGATAAATCGTTACATGGTGTCCTTAGATAGTGTCAAATCTAATCGTAAACACATTTTGGGATGGAAGTAGTAGCATATGCATTTGCCCATCGCGTATGCCTACGGCTATATATCGGATAGAGCGAGGGACTCGTGAACGATGCAAAACGTCTCAATGCGTTCTCCACGAAACTTTCCCGCATCCCGGCTGCGACACCGCGGGCATGCGGTGCTGGGCGCGACGGCGGTAGGCAAGGCAAACAACGATAATTCGTGTGGCCAAACCCAACCCACACCGTACCCACTAGGGTCACAAATTCGCCGGCGTAGCGCGTGTAGCCAGTAGGCCGCCAAGGCCAACCAACCGCTCGCTTTCCCCGTAACGCGAGGCCCGCGCCGCGGCGCTTTCTGTGCGGGGCGTTGCGGGGTGCGGCGAAAAACGGGCCGGAAAACGAGCGACCGGCAGGCTGCAGACAGAGCGAGGTCGCTCGTACGAGCACACGCCACTGATGAATAGCCAGGAAGATGCAGCCATTGCAGCCGGGGTGCGCCTCGGACGTGATACCTTTACTGCCCCAAAAATGGCTCTCCTGCGCACATGGCACTCGGCTGCAGTGGGTGATGGACGCTGCACCGGGGGCTGTGAACCTGTGAAAGTATGAGGTCAGGTAACGCAGATTCTGGCGGACCACGCTGCCGAAAGGGACTTTGGCTATCGATGAAACAAGGAAGGGAGCAGCTTTGGCCAGGTACGTGTGGGCGACCAGCGTCCTGGTTGGTAATGTTACGTACGAGAGGATTGTGAATGGTGGTGACATGGGGGCGGGGTAGTGGAAGTTATATATCAGCGTGGCATTTGGCACGCACCCTTTTTACGTGTGCCAACTGCAAGTTAGGATGATGAGAGTGAAACGCCAGCGCTTCTTCTCGATCCCCTTTTGTTGGAACTTGGAAGGGAACAGCTGCACTTCGTATATCAGATTTGCGAAGAAAAAGACTACGAGCAAAAGCTAGCGCCAAGGCCGGCGGAATATACAAACCAAATTAACTGCAAGCAGGGGCTATAAACACACGCTAATGGCTATGGGTATCTACTCTACGATCGTACTCCCTCCATCCAAAAAAAAAAAGACAAACCCTGGTTTCCGTGTCCAACGTTTGACCGTCTGTCTTATTTGAAAAAATTATGAAAAAAATTAAAAAGACAAGTCACGCATAAAATATTAATCATGTTTTATCATCTAACAACAATGAAAATACAAATTATAAAAAATTTTCATATAAGAGAAATCCAATGTTTGCTTTTTTTTTTAGGACGGAGGGAGTATAACATATTCTTCTCTACTGTTATTTGAACTGGCTTGGCTGCATCGTTCGGGACAAAACGGAAGTACTCACCAGATTTCGATATGATTGGTATATTCCTCACTCGAAAGGCCTTCTCTGACAGCAGGCTACGTGACAAGCTCGGATTAATCCGTCTAATTGGACGACAGACAGCCAATGACTAAGTGGCAGTTAGCTGATTAATAGTAGAGAAATTTTGGTTAAGCTTCGAACGCAATCGGTTAGTTCGCTTGGAAACTAGGCCCGATGGGCGACAAGGAGAAGCCGTCGTTCCTGCGGCTGGTTCGCTACGCCGACGCGCACGACCGGTGCCTGATGGCGCTGGGCGTTCTGGGCAGCTTCGGCGATGGCATGATGCAGCCGCTGTCAATGCTGGTGCTCGGCGACATCGTCAACAGCTACGGCGGCGCCGGCGGCGCCGGCAGTGCCCGGAGCGCCTTCAGCTCCGGCGCCGTCGACAAGGTGATCAATCGTGCCATCCATTTACGTTTCCATATGCAACTCCTTTCCTGAATCTTATTCTTGCGCGTAAGCTGCATTGCAGTTTGCGCTTCGGTTACTGTACGTCGCCGTTGCAGTGGGTGCCTGCTCCTTCCTAGGTGAGCAACTTTGAATCAAACAAATTAGTGATCAGTGATAAAAAATCAGAAGTAGTGTTTGATCGGTGAGAATTTTCTTTGGACGATCATGGAGAACATGAATGTTGGTTGGTGATCTTCAGAGGGTCTGTGCTGGACGAGAACGGCGGAACGGCAGGCGTCAAAGATGAGGAGGCTGTACCTGGAGGCCGTCCTGAGCCAGGAGGTGGCGTTCTTCGACGCCGCGCCCTCCTCGCCGTCGTCGCCGCAGGCCCAGGCCCAGGCCACCACGTTCCGCGTCATCTCCACCGTCTCCGACGACGCCGACGCCATCCAGGACTTCCTCGGCGAGAAGCTCCCCATGGTCCTGGCCAACGCGACGCTCTTCTTCGGCGCGCTGGCCGTGTCGTTCGTGTTCGCGTGGCGGCTCGCGCTGGCGGGCCTCCCGTTCACGCTCCTCCTCTTCGTCACGCCGAGCGTGCTCCTCGCCGGGCGCATGGCCGCGGCGGCCGGGGAGGCCCGCGCGGCGTACGAGGAGGCGGGCGGGATAGCGCAGCAGGCGGTGTCGTCCATCCGGACGGTGGCGTCGTACACCGCTGAGCGGCGGACGGTGGAGCGGTTCCGCGGCGCGGTGGCGCGGAGCGCGGCGCTCGGCGTCAGGCAGGGGCTCATCAAGGGCGCCGTGATCGGGAGCATGGGCGTCATCTACGCCGTCTGGTCCTTCTTGTCGTGGATCGGCAGCCTCCTCGTCATCCACCTGCACGCCCAGGGCGGCCACGTGTTCGTCGCCTCCATCTGCATCGTTTTGGCGGGAATGTAAGCATTCAAATTACAAACACACCCTCCATTTCAAAACAAGTGACATTTTTACCGATAATGTACGTTCGTGCTGTTGTTGCTAATGTCAGGTCGATCATGATGGCGCTGCCGAACCTCCGGTACTTCATTGACGCGACGGCGGCGGCGAGCCGGATGCAAGAAATGATCGAAATGCTCCCACCGCTCGAAGGGGCGGAGAAGAAGGGAGCCACCATGGAAAGGATCAGGGGCGAGATCGTGTTCAAAGACGTGCACTTCTCGTACCCGTCGAGGCCGGACACGCTGGTGCTCAACGGCTTCAACCTGACCATCTCTGAGGGCGCCACCGTCGGTCTCGTCGGCGGCAGCGGGTCCGGGAAGTCCACCGTGATCTCGCTGCTGCAGAGGTTCTACAGCCCGGACTCCGGGGAGATATCGATGGACGACCATGGCATTGACACGCTCAATGTGGAGTGGCTTAGGAGCCAGATAGGGCTAGTGAGCCAAGAGCCTGTACTGTTTGCGACCTCCATTAGGGAGAACATACTGTTCGGCGACGAGACGGCCTCGTTGAAGCAAGTCGTCGCCGCGGCGAAGATGGCCAATGCCCACGAGTTCATCGTCAAGTTGCCCCATGGATACGAAACTCATGTACACAAGCAACAGCAATTTTTACAGTGCATGCTACAGCACGCTGAATCTTATGGTGTATTTTTTTTTTCTCCGGTGCAGGTTGGTCAGTTCGGGACGCAGCTGTCGGGAGGGCAGAAGCAGCGCATCGCCATTGCTCGAGCGCTCGTCCGGGACCCGAGGATCCTGCTGCTGGACGAGGCGACGAGCGCGCTCGACGCCGAGTCGGAGCGGACGGTGCAGGACGCGCTGGACCGGGCGTCCGTGGGCCGGACCACCGTGATCGTAGCGCACCGCCTCTCGACGCTCCGCAAGGCGGACACGATTGCGGTGCTCGACGCTGGCCGCGTCGTGGAGGCCGGCACGCACGACGAGCTCTTGGGGATGGACGACGGGGGTGAAGGCGGCGTGTACGCCAGGATGGTGCACCTGCAGAAGGCGCCACCCGTGGCGGCGAGGGAGGAGCGCCACCGCGCCGTGGATGTGGTGGAGAGCGAGATGGTGTCGTTCCGCAGCGTGGAGATTATGTCGGCGGTCAGCGCCACCGAGCACCGTCCTAGCCCCGCGCCGTCGTTCTGCTCGGTCGAACACTCGACGGAGATTGGGAGGAAGCTCGTGGACCACGGTGTGGCGCGCTCCAGGAAGCCCTCGAAGCTTCGCCTGCTGAAGATGAACCGGCCGGAGTGGAAGCAGGCGTTGCTTGGGTGCGTTGGCGCCGTCGTCTTCGGCGCGGTGCTGCCGCTGTACTCGTACAGCCTAGGCTCGTTGCCGGAGGTTTATTTCCTCGCCGACGATGGCCAGATCCGTTCCAAGACCAGGTTGTACTACTTCCTCTTCCTTGGCATCGCCGTCGTCTGCATCACGGCGAACATCGTGCAGCACTACAACTTCGCGGTGATGGGCGAGCGCCTGACGGAGCGTGTCCGGGGCCAGATGCTCGCCAAGATCCTCTCCTTCGAGGTCGGGTGGTTCGACGAGGACGAGAACTCGAGCGCCGCGGTGTGCGCGCGGCTGGCGACACAGTCGAGCAAGGTCCGCTCCCTCGTCGGCGACCGCATGTGCCTGCTGGTCCAGGCGGGCGCCACGGCGTCGCTGGGCTTCTCGCTCGCGCTCGCCGTGTCGTGGCGCCTCGCCACGGTGATGATGGCCATGCAGCCGCTGATCATCGCGAGCTTCTACTTCAAGAAGGTGCTCATGGCTGCCATGTCCAAGAAGGCCAAGAAGGCGCAGGTGCAGGGGAGCCAGCTCGCCAGCGAGGCCGTGGTGAACCACCGGACGATCACCGCGTTCTCGTCGCAGCGGCGGATGCTCCGCCTGTACGAGGCCGCGCAACAAGGCCCCAAGAAGGACAACGTGGCGCACTCGTGGTTCTCCGGCTTCTGCCTGTGCCTGTGCCAGTTCAGCAACACCGGCAGCATGGCGGTCGCTCTCTGGTACGGAGGCAAGCTCATGGCCAAGGGGCTCATCACTCCCACGCACCTGTTCCAGGTGTTCTTCATGCTCATGACCATGGGAAGGGTCATCGCCGACGCCGGGAGCTTGACGTCGGACTTGGCGCAAGGCGGCGACGCGGTGCGCTCCGTCCTCGACACGCTGGACCGTGAACCGACGATCAAGGACGACGACAACGACAACGAGAGGAAGAAGAAGAAACGGAAGGAGATAAAAGGCGCGATCGAGTTCAAGAACGTGCACTTCAGCTACCCGACGCGGCCGGAGGTGGCCGTGCTCGCCGGATTCAGCCTCGAGATCGGCGCGGGGAAGACGGTGGCGCTCGTCGGGCCGAGCGGGTCCGGCAAGTCGACGGTGATCGGGCTGATCGAGCGGTTCTACGACGCGCAGAGGGGCTCGGTCCTGGTCGACGGCGAGGACATCAGGAGCTACAGCCTTGCACGCCTCCGGTCGCAGGTGGCGCTCGTCAGCCAGGAGCCGACGCTCTTCTCCGGGACGATACGCGACAACATAGCGTACGGCGCCGCCGAAGAGCACGCCACCGAGGACGAGGTGGCCCGCGCCGCGGCGCTCGCCAACGCCCACGGGTTCATCAGCGCCATGGAGCGCGGGTACGACACGCGCGTCGGGGAGCGCGGCGCGCAGCTGTCGGGGGGGCAGAGGCAGCGGATCGCGCTGGCGCGGGCGGTGCTGAAGGACGCGAGGATCCTGCTGCTGGACGAGGCGACAAGCGCGCTGGACGCCGCGTCGGAGAGGCTGGTGCAGGACGCCGTGGACCGGATGCTGCGGGGGAGGACGTGCGTCGTGGTGGCGCACCGCCTCTCGACGGTGGAGAAGTCCGACACGATCGCGGTGGTGAAGGACGGGAGGGTGGCGGAGAGAGGGAGGCACCACGAGCTCCTCGCCGTCGGCCGCGCCGGGACGTACTACAACCTGATCAAGCTCCAGCACGGCAGATCGCCGTGCCTTAGTCCCATGTGAAGTGATGGCGTAGTCCACCACACGAATCATTGCGTTGCATACATGGTCGAGCAATGGAACGGTTGAATGGATCAATATAAGCAAAATTCATGCTAGGATGATCCAGTTTATAATCATGCAAAACTACGACTGAGAATATAGAACGAGTATAACTTTGTATTAATTCATCATGAATTTCTAATTTTAAATTTAGCAGCACTAATCAAATAATTTTTTTCTTTCTATATACATAAATCTAAAGCTACATGAAAAATCTGTAGCTCCAAATCTAACGAAAAATCAATATACAAATTTGTACCGTGAACTGAACGAGAGATGCGCCAGTGACCCGTCGTAATCAAACTAGGAGTGGCCGGTCAAAGCCGATCGGACGGATGCGGCGGCCCAGCTTCCGGCGTCCCGAACGAACGCGACCATGGCCTCGCTCTCCGCGATCACCACCCTGTCAGTCCCGGTCCTCGTGATCGGCGGGACGATGAGCCAGAACCCCGTCGCTAGGATGAACGCCAGCGTCAGGGCGGTCGCAACGGCGCGCGGCGGCCGCGGCCACCCCTTGTGCGCAGCAAACCACCCCTCCGCCACCGCGCACGCCCCGTGCAGCGCGAAGAACGCGGTCGGCTCCCCCGTCGGCGGCCGCAGCGTGGCGTAGTAGATCACCGCCTCGTGCATGATCCCCGAGACGAGGAACGCCGCGAGCACCCCCGCGGCGACGCCGGCGACGCCGCCGCCTACGCGCGCGCGCACGGGGCGGCTCACGCACTGGCGGAGCAGCGCGGGCACCGACAGGTTCCACCGCCTGCCCCAGAACTCCCGCAGGCTCGCCGACAGGTAGGGCCGGTCGAACTGCGGCTCTAAGTCCATCCCCATCACCGCGCGCGCCGCCGCCGCGGCGAACGCCAGGACGAGCTCCAGCGCGAGGTAGACGTGCAGCGAGTACAGCATCAGCAGGACGTACTCGTTCATCCGCTCCTTGTGGGGGTAGACCGACACGATGGTGGCGAGCAGCGCGGCCATCACGGCGGAGGTGACGAGGCCAAGGCCCGGGCGCGGGGCGTTCTCGGAATCGCGCTGCGCGCGTCGCCTGACGGGCAAGGAGGCGATGGCGACGAAGGCGGGCAGCGGGAGGGACGTGTCGAGCGGGCCATGCCCCGAGGCAAGGAGCAGCAGCTTGAACTCCGCGAGCCATCCGAGGAAGAACCCGGAGGTGACGCGGAGATGGAGCGCGCGGAACGCGAGCGGGATGACGGGGAGGACGGCGAGCAGCGGCACGAACGCGGCGAGGCGGGGCAGGCCAGGGCGGAGGCGGCGCGCCACGAAGCGAACGTACGACATGGCCGCGGCCACCGCGGCAACGACGGCCAACAGGCTGCGCAGGTCGCCGCCGGCCATCATCGGGGTCCGGTCGATGGGGCGCGACGGAAAGAACAGATTGGCACGAGACGGGGAATTGCTGAATTTGCCAATCAACTCGTCAAGTTTTCTTTGATAAATTGGGCGCTCGCCGAGTCGCCGTGGAACAAATTAAAGCATCCCGGTGATGCAAACCATGGGCCGATGGTACAATCCACTGCTCACTACAGCCCATGTTATCAAGCGAACAAAATGTGCTGCAGTGTTTAACTCCGTTCTCTCACTTGAAAGTGATATATTCTTTCTCCATGGCGTCACCGCCAAATCCAAGTGCCGCCGGTGGATATCACTGTAGTCCGTTGGTAACAGAAAACCAGAGTTATTCGCGATCCAAGTCGCCCTCAACAGAATGGGGTTTGGTCCGAAATCGCTATCCGGCTCATGAAACGCACTACCATCATTCTCAGTTCACATGCTCGGTACCAAAATTATTTAGACAAATTTTATTACAGGATAGTGGGACTTTATGGTTTTAGTTTTTTGAACACTGCAAAAGTTGATCTTTAGCGAGAGATACCTATAAAATGTAGCTATTTGTTATTATACACCATAACCACCAACATATACTCAATCCATTCAAGTTTGATCAGCATATTTGGTCTATGCACCGAGACCAAGAGGAGAGCACAACTGTAAAACTCATTAGCTCTGTATGGAGATATGGGAGAAAAACAATACTCCCACGTCTTGGTCTGAAAATGGTTGGATGTAGATACGGAAGCCTTAGATGTAGGCAAACTCTTGTAAAAGTTAAATAATGACTCAAATTAGAATTACAATTCTGAAATCTAAGGGCCTAAAATTTTACGTTTGGCACAGAGCCTCCAAACAATTCTCCCATATGGCCCTGGTTGCACAGGGGATTGCTAGTTGGCGCGCGCGCCAGCTGCTCCCGGGCCTCCCGGCCCATCAGCCATTTTTTCTTTTTTTTTCGCGATTTGTTTTTTCCTTTTCTTTTGCGTTTTTTTCGTTTTTTTCTGATTACTTTTTTTTAATCTTTAGCACACTTATTTTTTTCAAAAATGTTTTGAGTTGGGAAGTTTTTAAATTTTAACTTGAAAATTTTTAAATCTGATTTGAAAGTTTTCGAATCTCGAGTTGAAAGTTTTCGAATTTGAGTGGAAAGTTTTCGAATCTGAGTCGAAAATTTTCAAATTTGAGTTGAAAATTTTCGAATCGGAGTCAAAAGTTTTCAAATCTCAAGTTGAAAGTTTTTAAATCTGAGTCGAAAGTTTTCATTTTTTTCAAATCTTAATTTTAAAATTTTTCAAATTTGAACTTGAAAGTTTTCAGATCTCGAGTTGAAAGTTTTCAAATCTGAGTTGAAAGTTTTTAAATATGAGTTGAAAGTTTTCAAAATTTGTCTTACACATTTAAATTTCGAGTTGAAAATTTTCAAATTGAGTTTTGAAAGTTTTTAAAATTTGACTTCAAAAGTTTTCAAATCTAACTTGAAAGTTTTCAATCGGTTAGTAGAAAAAATCTTCCGGAAAAAAGAAAATCATATCTTAATTACCGTTATTATCTACTAACCACTTAGTTAATTAGGCTAAATTATTGGAAACACTCGCCGCCAACGGGCACGCCCGCGTTAGCTTTTCCGGGTTGCACGCGTGATCTTATTAACAAGCGAACAGACAAACATGCACTGGGATCCCTTCCTTAAAATGGATCCAATACAAACATGTCAGAGAATCAGGACAACATAGGATGAATAGGGGACCCCATGACAGACACCAGTTGTCTGATCCACTCTCTTGCTGGAGTATTCGTAGAGTTGGATTTTGATGGGGAGATGGACCCATCATATCAAACTACTACTACAGTACGCGCGAGCGGCCGGTCAAAGAAGACTCAAAGCCGAGTGGACGGAGGCGGCCGCCCAGATGCCGGTGTCCCGCACGAACGCGACGACCGCCTCGCTCTCGGCGATCACCACCTTGTCGGCGCCGGCCCTCGTGATCGGCGGGAAGAAGAGCCAGAACCCCGTGGACATGACGAGCGCCAGCGTCAGCGCGGTCGCGACGGGGCGCGGCGGCCGCGGCCACCCCTCGCGCGCCGCCCACCACCCCTCCGCCACGGCGAGCGCCCCGTGCAGCGTGAAGAACGCGGTCGCCTCCCCCGTCGGCGGCCGCAGCGTGATGTAGTAGAACATCAGCTCGTGCATGACGCCCGAGACGAAGAACGCGGCGAGGACCCCCGCCGCGAAGCCGGCGGCTCCCTCGCCGACGCGCGCGCGCACGGGGTGGCTGACGCACGGGCGGAGCACCGCCGGCACCGAGAGGTTCCACCTCCGTCCCCAGAAGTCCCGCAGGTGCGCTGACAGGTAGGGCCTGTCGAACTGCGGCTCCAGATCCATCCCCATCACCGCGCGCACCGCCGCCGCCGCGCACGCCAGGACGAGCTCCAGCGCGAGGTACACGTGCAGCGAGTAGAGGACGAGCAGGGCGTACGGGTTCATCCGCTCCTTGTACCGGTACAGCGACACGATGGCCGCGAGCAGGGCGGCCATCACGGCGGAGGTCACGGGGCCAAGGCCGGATCCCGCGGCGTTCTTGGTGGGATCACGCTGCCTGACGGGGAAGGTGGCGATGGCGACGAAGGCGGGGAGCGGGAGGGACGGGTCGAGCGGGCCCTGCCCCGAGGCGAGGAGCAGCAGCTTGAACTCCGCGAGCCAGGCGAGGAAGAACCCTGAGATGGCGCGCGGGTGGAGCGCGCGGAAGGCGAGCGGGAGGAACGGGAGGACGGCGAGCACCGGGACGAACGCGGCGAGGCGGGGCAGGCCGGGGCGGAGGCGGCGCGCGGCGAAGCGGGCGCACCACATGGCCGCGGTCACCGCGGCGCACACGGCGACGAGGCTGCGCAGGTCGCCGCCGGCCATCGCTCGCCTGGTTCCGGGGAGCGAGAGCGACTGGACCGTGGACTGGAGAGGAGCGCCGCGCGAGATTTGGAGATTTGCCAGTCAAGTTTGGCTATTAAATTCGAGATCAGTACAGTTTGATACCTCGACGAACGTGGCCACTGGTCGTCGCGCGACAAATCGTTCTACGAACGTTCACCTTTTCACCAGCACACGTGGCTGAAAAAATGTTTGCCAACTACAGTCTGCCTCTGGTCCATCGCCACCTCAATTCGGCTGACGGGCCCCTTTGAATTGCATGGTAGAAAAAATAAAGGAATAGGAAAAACACATGATTCTGACAGAAATTGAAGTGTAAAACAGATGATCGCAAAACACGGAAAAACGCAGGAATCAGATGAGAGAGATAGATTCAAAGAAAATTTTCCAAGAGTTTAGAGCTCTTACTAAATTTCCTTCAAAATCCACATGCAATGTGCCATTCCATAGGAATTTCATAGGATTTGGAAAGCTTCAATCCTTTGAATCAAAGGGCCAAATAGAAAAATTTTCTATAGAATTTGAATTCTATGAAATTTCTAAATAAATCCTGTGATTCAAATGGCCCTATTTTATGGCTGCTAACTGACTCAACAACCAGCTGAAAATGTACATCATTAGTTAATCCCACAAAAGGAAATAACGCGTGCGTCGATGATCAGGTAATGAAGCAAATACAGCATAACTATACTGCACCTTGACAAGCAGTGCGTTTATTGTAACACAGATATATATACTCCCACAGTTTCAAACTTTCAATGGCACAATCGCGTACACCGCGACTTAGAATTTGCAGGTTCCTTTGACGAGTTTACGATACCGGTAGTTATTACTACAGTAAACATGCACACCTGCAAATGTGCAATGGAACGCCGGCAAATCGAGCGCACGGTCCGGCGAGTGCCGCTCGGGGCGGCGTCGGCGGCGGCGGCGTCAGCCGTAGCAACGGATGGGGTCGTTGCAGCTCTTCTTGGCGGACTGGCCGCCCTTCTCGAGGTAGCGCTGGTGGTACTCCTCGGCGGGGTAGAACCTCGTCGCCGGGAGGATCTCCGTCACGATCCTCTCCTTCCACTCCTTCTGCTTCTCCGCCAGCGAATCCCGCGCCGCCTTCTCCTGCTCCGCCGTGTAGTAGTAGATGCCCGACCGGTACTGCGTCCCGACGTCGTTGCCCTGCCATACATTGCGCGTGCATAAGTTCGCCGGGGTTAATTAGCAGGGGTAAAAACCAGGACGATATGCTTAGTTATTAGTCTCGTGGAAAACTGATAGCAGCACAGGCTGCACAGCTAGCTGATGAACTCGATCGGCTCAATATATCAGTCTTCACTGACTCACTTCTCAGTTACATAATCTGGCATGAAGTTAAATGTTCTTTCCTACTGGTATAGTGGTATTGGGTAGAATTACCACCGGATTGCAGTTTTTGGATAGTAAGGCCAATACTAGCTTCATGTCAAAATTACTTTCCACAATCATATCAAATGTGATTCTCATTTCACAATGCCAGTAGTTTGATCGCATCTATTTCACACAATTGCGCACTAGTTTCTTTCTTTCTTTCTTTTTTTGAAAGGAGCCCGCTAGTTTCTTCACAAAAATAAATCTTAGCGAGTTGAGTTTATCTTTCTCTTCCATCAACCGTTGCTGGGTTCTGGGAGTACCGTACTGCACCAAGAATGGCGTGAAAAATCTCAACGCAACTAATCACGGATGATGGCCACGTAGGTGTGTTTAAAACCGCATATTTTCTGATCTGTTTAACGGTCCAAAATACTCCCAGTGAGAGACCACAACTTCCGCGGCAGAGCAAAGTCAACACTAAACAAAAACCGAGCCAGGTTCACTGAACCTCCTGCGACGCCAGCGAAGAAGTCGCCGCCGCCATCGCCACCGCCCGCCGGCACACGCGTGCGGCGGCGCCGCCGGCGCAGGAGGAATGGCTCCCTAATCCCCCTACTACGAGCGAACGACGCGAACGCACCTGTCTGTTGAGCGTGGTGGGGTTGTGCTTGGCCCAGAAGACGTCGAGGAGGACCTCGTAGGGGCAGGCCTTGGGGTCGTAGTGCACGCGCACCACCTCGGCGTGCCCCGTGCCGCCGCCGCAGACGTCGCGGTAGGTCGGCTCGTGGCGGTGGCCCTGCGAGTAGCCCACCTCCGTGCGCGCCACGCCCGGGAGACGCTGGTACGTCAGCTCCACGCTCCAGAAGCACCCCGCCGCGAACTGCGCCAGCTCAAGGCCCTCGCCGGCCGCCGCGTCGGCGTCCGGCCCCAGGGCAGGGTTCGCCGCGCCGGGGTTGGAGTCGGACATGGCGATGGGCGGGGGAGTCGCGGGCGGCGGTGGCCGATCTGGCGATCTTGGTTAGGGATTGAGGTGGTGGACTTTTCCCAAGCCTAATTCACCGGAGGGGATTTTAAAGTCTACCAAAATGATATGCTAGCTCCCACTGAATGGTTGAAATTCGAGACGTGCATAGCCTACGTCCACATATCAGTTCTTCCGACTGTAAACCACGGACAATCCCTGCCGTTAATTTTACGGATTAGGTATGGGCCAAAATAATACTGCGTGAATCACATTGATCTGAAAGAATTTTAGTTAAGATCTATACAAAACTATTGCAGTCAACTTTACGAATAAAATTTGATCATCCAGCTTGTGAACTTTTGAAACTCAGTACACAAGGTCTCACGCGCTGATCGGTTGATTTGAGAGGTAGGAATGAAGCAATCAAAAATAACTTGGGAGTAAAACTTCTAAATTTATATCATTTGTGACTTTTACAACAAAATTAAAAAAAAAAGCATATTATCCGTGGAGCTACCAATCTCCTCGTTGAGAAAAGTAAACAGATATGAGTAAATTTCACAAAATTACACGTTCTGTGGTCCAAGTTACAGAAAACCACACACTTTGACACTTGACGCTTAAGTACATATGTTTTGTTAGTGTAGTTTCATAAAATCATACTATCAATGAATGGATTCACCCGTGATATGACGTGGTTGTTCCACTTAGGACAAGAACGTGGCATCCTATTACAAGCCATCGCACAAAATCAATAGGATGCCACGTCCTCATCATAGGTGGAACAACCACGTCATCTCACAGGTGAATCCATTCATTGATAGTGTGGTTTTGTCAAATTACACTACCAAAATATATGTACTTGAGTGCCAATTGTTAAAATGTTTGTGCTTTTCTGCAACTTGTATCATATGTGAAATTTACTCTACAAATATTGATTAACTAGATCTGACCAAAGCTCACACCACGAGCACACAATTGAGAAAATTGAAAACAAAGAAGTTTTTCTTAGCTAACAATAAGAAACACTACGTTGAGTTGTCAGCTGCCCAATCTCTAGAGAAAAATCAGATATTCAAGAATAACAACTCCTCGATGATGTTTGTGCCCACAACATAACTTCCTGAAGGTGATGACACGACGCTCTTCTTACATTTGTGCTAAGCGGTGGAATCTTCCGAATGAAAACCTTGTAGTCTATATGTCTCGAATAGCAATTGTGATATTCAAGATGTCATAATCTTCTTGAAGCCGTTGCATTGGAAATTCTTTGATGGTGGTGGCATTGCGCCCGTCGGATCGAGTTTGATGGTAATTGTGGTGGTAGGATTTGAGTGAACTAGTTGATACCCCGCGCGTTGCTGCGGGCATATCATAAAACTTGCAGTGAGTATTATTTGTTAGCGTTACAGGATAGATCAAGCAATTCTTAGCCTAGAACCATTAACCTGAGGATTGGATTTCATAAGTTGAGAAGAACGTATGCATATATATAAGTAAATTATCTTCATTAGATTGCAGCAAATTGTAGTGAGGTAATAGTAATGTATGGTAGAAATAACTAACACGCAATGTCAGAAGCACTAAATCTCATTATTTTTGAAGTCTTGTTCTGTGAGGAAGACATCTATGTGAGGAATTTTATTCTTCATGTAGGAAACAGTGTGAGTTTGAGTTGACTTGAAATAGGATAGGTCGTCAGCGGCTGATTTCCCTTGGATAGAAACATAAACAGTTGACGATTTGGATGCAGTAACGACGGAAATTGCTTGCAGGTAGGTGGTGTGACTAGATTGTGGGTTACAGTTCCTAAAGAAGAATAACAACATTTGAATATGTACAAATATGTAGAGAATGGAAAGACTACTGTAAGCATGTGAAACAAGAAACTTAAGTATGGCAAATATGTAGATGTAGGAAGTAACACTTCTATTCATATCATAGGGGAGAGATTACCTTTTTTCTCCTTGTTCATCCATTTGTGCTGATGATGGAATTATTGTGTGTAGAAGAATTTTTAGGAAGAACAAAGGTATTGTGGTACAGGCTTGTGCTCTGGGGGGTGATTCTTATAGTACTTTAGTGGTGTTGGAGGTGGGATTGCACAGATCAGAGGGATATTTTCTTTGAATTTTATTTGATTTAGGATCATGTATGATTAAGAATTATATCTCGAGCTATTATTTTGGTGGATAACATATTGATTAGCAATAAATGTTTTATTTGAAATCTGTTTGATTTGGCAAAGTGTATCAAAAATAATGGCAGTTAAACAATTTTATTTATGTAGTTGTACTTTGCAAATTCAATCATGAGAGACAATGGCAATATATTTTGAAATTGTTGGAAGACTGCAAATATAGGATGCATGCATGAATTATAATTGCAGCAGGGAATGTTAATGATAGGATTAGAAAAGGAGGGGCACAGACAATATGAACAACATATGATGAGGTAAGAAAAACACATACCGATACATGTTATTTGCTCTTAGTCAAATTCTTTGCTTGGAAGCTTATCCGATGGTGCGACAATTTTATCCGCTGCTATAAAAATCCTCAGATTTTCCCCCGAGTAATGGAACTGATATCCAGAATCTACTAAATAGATAAACACCAATTCATGAAAAACTTTCGCCTTGGTCCTGGGGAGAGTAAATTTGCAGCCTATGGTCAATAAGTAAAATAGAAGCAATTGACATACATGCACAAAACTGAAATATGATTGCTGAACTAAAAACTAAAATAACCTTTCATAGTTCAATTCCAGCCATCTGGTGGGTGCAGTCGAAGGATATGGCTGCTTGGTTGGATGGGCTGGGAGAACGGTGAAAGGGAACTATGGTTTATTATGGTGGAGAAGGGATCTTAAGAGGCTCATGAAAGTAATAAATTGAATTTACCATGCATTTTGCTAGCCACCTGGTGGCCTAATTGATTGTGGCCGTTTTTCATGCAATTGCTCAAATTTAAGAGAGGGAAAAGTAAAGGGGAATAGACAGCAGCAACCAAGGGTTCAACAATTTTGTTGCCTGAAATGCTGATCTGAACCGATGAATCCATGGTGGCGAACCCGTGGCCCTCCTGAGACGTGCAGGGCGCATGCCAATAGTACACCGCCCTCCCGAACTGGCAGATGGGCCCATCTGCTGCTAGCACAGTGAGAGGAAGTGCGGAGCCAGCCTGCGGAAGACGGCCACGCACAAGCTGCGCCGCCGTTCTCCTTAGCCACTTGGATGGCCACACCGCGGAACCCTAGCTGATAGATGAGACATAGAAGGAGACGCAAGCGAGAAGGGGTGCGGCGCCCCAGACCATGTGTGGTGGCCGCCGGCACCGAGCGACAACAGGAGCGGCGCCGCCATCCCGAGCCACCGGCTACCGCGACATGATGTTTCTAGCGATTTTTTTTTCTTTTCTTTGGATGAGCGTTGTTGTGTGGGAGGAGTGGATAGGGTTGGCATAGCTGGGCCTATGGGAAAAAGGTGTAACGTAACAGAGGCCCATGAGTAGCATGGGCTGGCCCAATACTGTTCAATGTCGATCTAACGTCCATCTGGAGACCTACAGACAATCCAACGGCTCGGGAAAAAAAGATGATGTGGCGCAATATGGTGTAAGCTTTATAGCAATAACTCCTCTAGTGGGTACTAACTATATAGAAAGAAGGGATGACTGATCTACAACTTGCTTTGTCGACACCAGTTCGTCGACATTGATGTGAGCGAAATTCGATTTACAAAGGATCGACCACATGTTTTGGACATCCTGCTTTTGTGTTTTGAGGAAAGCAAAGATTATGTACAACGTGTAAGCCATTGGTAGAAACAATGGTTCTACATATCTCTAAGAACAACTATAGAGGGATATTTATGTCTTTAAGTGGTATTAATTTCTTAGTTTTTGTTGTTTTTAATTAAGTTATAATTTGGTAATTTCACAGTTGGTTGTAGCTTCTCTGGAATAAGGACCGAAATAAATTTTATTATAAAAGGATATCATGGTGTGCACATAATGTAGTTTTAAGACTCTCTTGTTCATTGGATTTGATAAAGCGGACTAACATCTCATTTTGAGAAAACAGGGTTTTGTGTGTTCACGTATTGGGTCGGCGTGTAGGAACGTACACAAAATAGTGTGACCAAAGGGAGGCTTTATTCTTGGCAACATAGTCTGGTACGATCATATGGCGTATTCCGCAGCGTGGGTGCTGCAGGTTCCTTGACGATACCAATATACTATAGTTATTTAACATGCACATCCCAGCACACGTGCACGGTCCGCGGCGACGGTGGCGGCGTACGTTAGCCGTAGCGGCGGATGGGGTCGGTGCAGCCCTTCTGGGCGGACTGGCCGCCCTTCTCGAGGTAGCGCTGGTGGTACTCCTCGGCGGGGTAGAACCTCCTCGCCGGGAGGATCTCCGTCACGATCTTCTCCTTCCACTCCTCCTGCTTCGCCTCCAGCGACTCCCGCGCCACCCTCTCCTGCTCCGCCGTGTAGTAGTATATGCCCGACCGATACTGCGTCCCGGCTTCGTCTCCCTTCGTGCATATATATATATGTTCGCCGGAGTTAGCGGAGATGACAAATTAATGGACGGTATAAGCTAGTTAGAACGAACATGGTACATATATACCTGTCTGATGAGCGTGGTGGGCCTGTGCTTCGCCCAGAAGACGTCGAGGAGGACGCCGTAGGGGCAGGCCTTGGGGTCGTAGTGCACGCGCACCACCTCGGCGTGTCCCGTGCCTTGGCCGCAGACGTCGTCGTAGGTCGGCTCGTGGTGGTGCCCCTGCGAGAAGCCCACCTCCGTTCGCGCCACGCCCGGGAGCCGCTGGTACGTCAGCTCCACGCTCCAGAAGCACCCCGCCGCGAACTGCGCCAGCTCAAGGCCCTCGCCGGCCGCCGCGTCGGCGTCCGGCCCCAGGTCGGGGTTCGCCGCGCCGCCGTCGGCGCCGGTATCGTTCGACATGGGCGATGGGCGGTGGGTGTCGCGACCGATCTGGCGTTAGTGGTTGAGTGGTTCGGGATTGGGGTTGGACTACGCAGTGATCGATCGAATGGGTCCTGGACTCCTGGTTTCCGGGGTTTTATAAACAAGTCGTGCAAAGTGGATGATTGGAACCTGGAACCTGCATTGGATCTTGGCCCTCCCACAAAAATATACGTGCACCATTGTATAATTGACCTGAAAAGTTTCATGCCAAGATCTAAGGAAGACAAAATCAAGTCAACTCTTTGGGGACAGGAGCTTGGATGAAGATGTAGTATCGTAATATCATATCATTGACATGAAAATTTTCAAGTCAAGATCTTTCACTAAAAAAGATCAGAGTGTAGAAAAACAAATCGATCAAGCGGCAAAGATGTCAGTAGAATCTTAAGGCCTTATTTAGTTCCTAAATATTAATTTTTCCAAAAACGCCGTATTAAATATTTGTACACATGTATGAAGCATTAAAATAGATAAATGAAAAAACTAATTGCACAATTTGCATGGAAATTGCGAGACGAATCTTTTGAACCTAATTAGTCCATGATTAGCCATAAGTGGTACAGTAACCCACATGTGCTAATGATGGTTTAATTAGGCTTAAAAGATTTATCTCGCGGTTTCCAAGCGAGTTATGAAATTAGTTTTTTTTATTTGTATCAGAAAACCCCTTCCAATATCCGGTTGAACGTTCGATGTGACTTTCAAAATTTTTCTTTTCCCCAACTAAACAAGGCCTAACTCCGATCACTTTGCTCCCGACTCTCATTAGCTAGCGGCATGGCCAACCTTGAATTGAAGCGAAGCGGACAATGTGGTTGCATCAGCAATTTGCGGTTGCAGACTTGCAGTGTCTCAAGTCCAATAGCAGTAATGTCGCAGGGGTCCGCCGGTTAGACGTCCGCATAGTTCGGTGGAATAAGTTCACCGGAGGTTCCTCAACTTAACAGCGAGATTTTTTGAGGTCCCTCAACCACAATACCAGAAATGTTCGCCCCTAAACTCATTCAAACCGTTCACCGGAGGTCCCTTGGCAGTATACGAGGGTGGTTTCGCTGACGTGACATCCTAGTCAGCAAAAAAAATTAAAAAAATACGTGGGGCCCACATGTCAGCCGCCCTCTCCTCTTTTCCTCTCCTTCTCTTCTCTTCTCTCTCTTCTCTCTTCTCTTCTTCGGTGAGGGGAGGCCGGCGGCGAGCGGCAAAAGAGCACGGCAGGCGGGCGGCGCAGAGCAGGCGGGCAGATGCGGGCGCAGCGTCCGGGACGGAGCGGGTGCGGCGGCGCGCGGGGAGCACGGGAGCGACGGCGAGCGAGCGTGGGAGCAGAGCAGCGGCGGTTGAGCGCGACGACGGGCGCGGGGAACACGGGAGCGGAGCGGCGGGCAGCGCGTGGAGCGACGGTGGGCAAGCGTGGGAGCGGAGCGGCGGTGGTCGAGCGCGGCGACGGGCGTCGAGAGCGCGGGAGCGGAGCGACGGCGGCATGCGAGAGCGGCAGCGGTCGGCGGGTGCCGGGCGGAGCGGTTTGGGAGGGAGGGGGAGACGGCCGGCGAGCCCGTCCGAGCTCGCCCGGCCTGCGCGCAAGCCCGCCCCGCCGTAGCTTGGTGTGCTGGTGGAGGTGTGCTGCCGGCGGACGGCATGAGGGGACGACGACGAGGAAAGGGGGAGAGATGAATCGACGGCCGACGACAGCGAAGGCGGGCGAGCACGGCACTGGGCTGCTCACCATCGGCGAAGACGAGACGTGGAGCATGACGAGCGCCGCCGCTCTCGCCCGCAGCTCCCGCCGTCCCGGCCGCCTCTCTCCCTCTCCCCCTTTCCGCGTCGCCCGCTGCCCCACCCGCCGCTCCCACCATCCGGGCCGCCTCTCCCCCCTCTCCCGCTTCTTCCCCGCGCGCCGCCGCGCCCGCTCCGTCCCGGATGCCTCTCTCCCTCTCTCCCTTTCCGCGTCGCCCGCCGCCCCACCCACCGCTCCCACCGTCCGGGCCGCCTCTCTCCCCTTCTCCCGCTTCTTCCCCGCGCGCCGCCGCGCCCGCATCTGCCCGCCTGCTCCGCGCCGCCGGCCTGCCGTGCTCTTTTGCCGCTCGCCGCCGGCCTCCCCTCACCGAAGAAGAGAAGAGAGAAGAGAGAGAAGAGAAGAGAAGAAGAGGAAAAGAGAGGGCGGCTGACATGTGGGCCCCACGTATTTTTTTAATTTTTTTTTTGCTGACTAGGATGCCACGTCAGCGAAATCACCCTCGTATACTGACAAGGACCGGTGAACGGTTTGAATGAGTTTAGGGGCGTGGTTGAGGGACCTCAAAAAATCTCGCTGTTAAGTTGAGGGACCTCCGGTTAACTTATTCCTAGTTCGATTCGTGCAAGTCCGGCCCATAGCCCAACAAGTCAGTGTACGCACGTACAGCTTTTGGGCCTAGTTTTAGGCCTAGGCTCCAGAGGCAGAATTAAACAGGATCAAGGGCTTTCTCCCGGAAGGCTTTTTTAGCTTTCCTGCAAAGTGCCTGCCTCTCAGCGGATGACATATGCTGATATCCACTGTGAGGTTGAGGTACAACGGAGCCATCGAACAAAGGCTTCCGGGAGAAAGTAATTTATGAATAAAATTTTTATATACGTGTTTTAAATAATCTAAAAACAAAGGCTGAAAAATAAAATTCGATGAAAAAAATCTTAAAATCAGCTCCAAATTTAAGGATGAAAATTCAAATTCTGGCTGATAAGCATAAGCCGATCTAAAAGCAAATAATGAAAAATAAAATTCGATGAGAAAACTTCAGAATCAGCTCTAAATTTAAGAATGAAAATTCAAATTTTGGCTGATAAGCATAAGTGAAAAAAATGAAGCCCTATTACCGTCGTCGCTGCCTCCCTCTCACTCGACGCGGAAAACACCAATTTTGGTCATTAACACTCTCCCCCCTCACTTCATTTCAGCGACGGCACAAGCTGTGTTTTTAGAAGGATATGTTTTACCCGGCTTCTATATTCAACCGGATATATGCAGCCTTTTTAAATTGGTAACTTAGCCCCTCAAATAACTTAACTTGAAATTCGCTCATATGGAAATTTGAACTCGGAACCTTGGGATACTACTCATGTCACTGCGACCACTAGGCTACATGCCCTTTCACACGGCACAAGTTGTTATATCTCAACTGTACAACCGTATCAAGTGATGAGTGTCATGATCTTGGGTCATCATAAATAGGAGATAGGTGAAAAGGTATTGTTTTGCCCGCCTATTCTAAAAATGAGATGAGCTCGAATTGTAAACTCAAACACCTGGTATGGTATTTTACTATTAATCAATGTAGTCTTGGAAGGTACATGTGAAGTTACAATTTTACCCTGTGGATTCACAGGAAATTTAAACATTTATCTAGTCCCCCGAAACTTCCGGTGCCAGTTTAGAAGAGTGCTTGAAACATTCCCCGTGGTATCTTCCCCGGAATATATTTTGCTTGACGTGTTAATTTTAAAGTTTCATCTGCCCTAATCGAATAATACTTTCCTCTTACAGTAGGCCCAAATATTTCTTTTTAGACGCATGTCATTTAGTATTTACTTTAAGTATTTGTCATGAGTAAAATCCTATTTGGTTGGTGAGTACACAGCCAAATGTATTTGCTCTAAGCCCCTAAGTAATACTACTAGCATCTTTGTGGTGAGTGAGTGAAAAAGTATTCGAAGCAGAGGACAGGCCAATCCAGATTCTATGTAGTAATGCTGGTGCAATACTGTGAGTTAGTGTAGTACTGCAGAGTACTCACTCGAGGAGAGACGCCCCCACGGCCCCACTGCTGTACAGTAGTATAGGTCGTGTTTAGATCTAAAGTTTACATCTAAACTTCTAACTTTTCTCATCACATCATCCTATCATACACGTAAATTTTCAATCACATCGTTCTAATTTTCAAACAAACTTTCAACTTCACCGTAAACTAAACACAGGCGTAGAGGAGTACTACTACACATGAGACACGACGGGCAAACAGCAGACTCAACAGCGGTACACGTGCGATACATGAGTTGCTGACATGTTGCCATCCCACAGATGACAGACCCCCAGAGTTGTTGAGTCCTCGATACCAACAAGGCAACAACGACCACATATCGCGCCCATTCCCCCTTGTCCAGGTCCCTCCAGGCTCCTCCAGCTTAGCTGGGTTGCGCAACCGAATGCAGCCATGCGCAGATCGATCAGCCGATGTGTATGTCAGTATGTGTGCAGTCGTGCACCGTTCCATGCATGCGCCCATGCCACCACCATGCGCAAGACGGGAACTCCACTCGATCTCTCCCTTCTCCCCCGAGACGAAACGGAAATTAATTTCTCCTTGTGCGTGCGGCCGCGAAACGACACGGTTCACGCATACATGTACAGGCGTTAGGACTTAGGCATACGCATGACACATCTCCCTCCAAGCTGGCAATCGAATTAGTATTTCTTTTTTTCGTTTGTGCGCAGATGAGATCTAGCGAGTTCTGCTTCGAGCATCTGCCGGTGACAGATCAAATCACGTGTACACAGACCTAGGCAGGCGGCGAACCTGAACATCCTCGTCATCGTTCAATCTTCGGCTCCTCTTCGTCACCAACTCACCGTCTTTTTGTCATGTCTCCCACAGGAGAATAACCATTTCGCCTCTCCATGTCTAAATAGCGAGCGATGTGCTCGATCATCTGCTCGACAACGACGTATTTTACAAGCCGATAGCGATATAGACTGTGTTTAGTTTTAAATTTGTTCTTCAAACTTTCAACTTTTTTATCACATCAAAACTTTCCTACACACGTAAACTTTTAACTTTTCTGTCATATCGTTTGAATTTCAACTAAACTTTTAATTTTAACGTGAACTAAACACACCCATGATATCTCGCCGTCGCCTTGGCTTTGGAAGAGAGCGTACGTAAAGCTTCCAGTGAATCTAGCCATCACTGATTAACCGCACTAGCTGACACCCTGAGAGTCTTGCGTCTCGTGTTGTTTCTTGCACAAACGGCTTCGAACACCTCAGAGAAAATATCACAGAAGAAAAAAAAAATCTGTGAAGGAGAAGGCAACACTATCACGCAGTACATCACCTTGTCCTCTCTCGATGACACCCAATTGCAACTCCGACATTGACGTGAACGGTGCACCAAGACCGAACGTACCGGGACTACACAGTACTACCGCCCGTGCAAGCAAACCTACCCATGTTAAAGCCGTCACCTGTACTAATCATCGTCGTACTACGTAGTAGGCCGTCGTCCCGTTCATTTGAGAGAGTGAGACAGGTTTTGGTTTGCTTATCACCATGATGGGGACTGAAACTGATATCCTACCTCGCCTATTGATCTGTTTCTGTAACCCGATTGGCTATCGGCGAGACGACGAAAACAAGACAGATCAAGATTCATTCTTGCCCGTCCATATGACTCAAAGATTTTTTTTTTATTTGCGTGATTTAGGTGACGGTTTGTGCCACGAGGGATGTATTTGTATTTTGTATTTCCTCTCGTAGACTTTCTTTGGTCTTACATTGCGCTGTGGATTGGTTGTGTCTTTTCTTGTATATAAACGCGACCTTATAAAATTACTAGTGTGTGTATAAAACTGTTCCCGTTTAGGCATGGGTAACACAGATGGTAGGTATGCATATGACGCATATCCTACCTGACGGAGCAATGATCGATGATCATCATGTTACGAACGCGATGACAATAAAATAGAAGCAAATTAGAATGCCGCGTTTGGATTGGATATGAGATTGGAATTAAACGTGTGTCCGAGTCAGCAACTCCACAGCCAATCAGCAAATCTCTCTTCCCTTCTCTCTCCAATCCAGCTCGTGGCAATCCGACCGCCTACGTGTCCACATCGCAGCCGTCCGTGTTTCCACGCGTAAGGCATCGGCGCCTCCGGGGGTAGGGTCAGCACGTTACGGTAGGTCGCTGCCGGTGGGCCCAAACGCCGCGGGCTCCAGCGATCGGCTTGCTGACTCGGATCCACCCGCTTCTCTGACCGCGCGCCACGTTCGCTGATAATATCTGACCTTCCATTCGAAATCGGACGGTCACCGCGTGAGAACGCGTCCGCTCTCGGCTAGCTGTGAACTGTGCGTACTACGGCCTCGTCGTCGGCCTTTCCCCGCGCCATCGATCCACGCCATTATATAGCTGTCGCTGAGCTTGAGACCTCGAGCTCTCATCATTATTCCCAGCTCAGATCATCGTTGCGAGACCGATCGATCGATCCATCTTGTTGTTGCGTTGCTCTGTTTGGTTTCCGTAGTAGATCGTTTCTTGGTTAGCCGGCCTGTTGAATTGTTAATCACGAGAATTTGGGTATTTTCTGATCGATGACGCAGTGGGCGGATCTGGACGCGCTCCGGCCGGCGGTGGCCGCCGACGTGCAGGTCGTCACGTCGGACGGGAAGAGCATCGCCGCCCATTCGTTCGTTCTTGTAAGATGGACTTCTGGTTCTTCTCTGTTCAGGTGGTGAATTCTGGATGGATCAGGGGTTCTTGACGACCTTGCATCGGGGCTGATGGTTTTCTGTTTTGGGGTTTGGTGTGAAGGGCACGGCGTCGCCGGTGCTGGAGCGGATGATCGAGCGGGCACGGCGGGGGTGGAACGCCGAGTGCACCATCCGCGTCCTCGGCGTCTCCTCCGACGCCGTCTTCGCCTTCCTCCAGTTGCTCTACGCTTCCAGGTGATTGGGAGAACACCCATTCCATCATTCGACGTCCATGGCTTTGATCGAGATCTGATGGTCTGACATGTTTGGGCGTGTGTACGTGCGGCCGCGCAGGGTGACGCCGGAGGACGAGGAGGTGGTGACCGCGCACGGGCCGCAGCTGCTGGCGCTGTCGCACGCGTACAGGATCGGGTGGCTGAAGCGCGCGGCGGAGGCGTCCGTGACGGCGCGGCTCACGCCGGAGCACGCGGTGGACATGCTGAAGCTCGCCAGGCTCTGCGACGCGCCGCGGCTGTACCTGCGGTGCGCGCGCCTCGCGGCCAAGGACTTCGCCGCCGTCGAGCGGTCCGAGGGCTGGCGCTTCGCGCGCCGCCACGACGCCGCGCTGGAGCTCGAGATCCTCCAGCTCCTCGAGGACGCCGACCAGCGGAGGGAGCGGTGGGCGCGGGAGAGGGCGTCCCGGGAGGCGTACCGCCAGCTCGGCGAGGCCATGGACTCCCTCGAGCACATCTTCTCCGACGACGGCTGCTCCTGCGCCGACGCCGACGCCGACGCCGACACCGACGCGCCGCCGTGCCGCGGCCTGCGCCTGCTGATGCGGCACTACGCGACGTGCGGCGCCCGCAAGGCCGCGCCGGGCGGCGGGTGCACGCGCTGCAAGCGCATGGTGCAGCTGTTCCGCCTCCACGCCTCCGTCTGCGACCGGGCGGCGCCGCACGACGACGGCGACCGCCCATGCCGCGTGCCGCTGTGCAGGTGAGACACGGACACATCATTTCACGTGGTAAACCGTAAACGCGCGGATTTTTACCGCAACAACTCCTCCCGAGATATTTGCGCACGAGTGTCGCGCGTCGCTACAAAACAGTACGGTGGTCAGTGAAAATGTCACGAGATCGCGAACCACGCCTGTTTCGTCGTCACGTCAGATGCCCCATATTCCACGGACGGAATTCACCCGTTCGTGCCGTGCCCACCAGCTTCCGTTCCCCACGACGGAGCTGGACTCGCTTTCGCGAAAACGACGCGATTGGGCCACGCCGCCAACGCCGCGAAAAAATCACCCATTTCCGCATCCAATCTCCACGCGAATATACTCCACTACTATCGAACATTAAAAATTCGTAACTAACGCATGGTTAAAAATTGATCTGTGCAGTCATTTCAAGGGCAAGATGCGGGCGGAGAAGGCGGACAAGACGTGGCGGCTGCTGGTGAAGAAGGTGACGAGGGCGAGGGCGATGTCGCGGCTGGCGGCGGGGCGCGAGCGCGAGGTGGTGCCGGAGGTGGTGGCCGCGTCGTGGGCGAGGTACAGCAGCAGCGGAGGGGCCGCCAGGTTGAGATGACCGTGAGAACTGTGTTACGTACACAGGGCCATGTGGATGGCGTGCGGGACCTTTTCGTGCGTGTTCCTCGCGTGCAATTTTTCGTCGTGGGAGGGAACACCGCGGAAAATGGCGTGCCATATGCCCCTGCTGCTGCCATGGGTGGGGTTGGTGGGCTCTCGTAGGAGTGTGACATAAGCCTGTGATGTCAGGAGGGGAATTGAAGGTGGTGCACGATTCGATTAGACAGTGTAGTGTCGGTGTTTCAAGCTTGTTGTAGCTGGAATGAACTCAAGCGGAACTCGTGTATTAAGTACTGTATTTGTGTTCCATCAAAGAAAATACTTTTTTTTGTCTGTTCAAAGATGCAAAGGACATGTACGTATATATAAAGGCGATCTATACATAGTGATGTTTGGACCTAGCTAGAGTTTACTACTACCTCCGTCCCAAAATAAGTACAGCCGTGGATATCCGTGCCTAACATTTGACAGTCCGTCTTTTTTAAAAAATTTATGAAAATTTGAAAATATTTAGTCACACAAAGTACTATTCATGTTTTATCATCTAATAGCAATAAAAATACTAATCATAAAAATTTTTCAAATAAGACGAACGGTCAAACGTTGAACGTGAATAGTGCAAAACTACACTTATTTTGGGACGGATGGAGTACCTAATATGGTCATATGGATCAAGTATAGATATATTTTATTATACGTAAGTTTACCTGTGTACTGGAAATCACAGGTTTGTACTTCCTCCGTTCTAAAATATAATAATTTTTAGCATAATCACAAGTTAACTTTGACTATTAATTGCAAAAAAAATAATAAAAAAATCATGTAAAATTGATGTTACTATATTTATCATTAAACAAACTATCAAAATATGCAACACTTTTTATTTAAAGCATTCTACTTTTATAGATACTAGCATGGTGGCTCGCGCGCAGATTGCACGGCTAGCATCATTTTATTTTCTCTCATATAATAGCATATATATTTTCTCATTATATAATTTTAAATTTTGCAAAAACTTTACAAAACTACTAATGTGTAATATTCATATTATATTTCATATACGTGTTAGTTATTAATTATTTTTAATATCAAATTTTAGTTATTTGTAAATTATATATATTCCTATATGTACTCTAGACTCGTCTTTTAATTTTTTTTTAATTTCTGAATTTTCTATAAATTGTATTTCCATATAGACTCTTTGTTCTTCTTCCAATACTATTTATTTTTATTTCTGAATTTTTATTATTTCTAATTGTATTTTTATGTGGACTCTAAACCCATCTTTCAATATTCTTTAATTTTTAATTTCAAATTTTAGTTACTTCTAAATGGTATTCCTATATTGACTTTAAACTCTTCTTCTCATGTTTTTCTTAATTTTGAATTTTAGTTATTTGTAAATTGTATTTTTATACGGACTCTAAAGTCTACTTTTAATTTTATTATGTTTATTCCAAATTTTAGTTAGTTTTAAATTCCTATATGGACTCTATACTCTACCTCTAATATTTCTTAATTTTTAATTCCAAATATTTATTTTTTTTCTTAATTGTATTTCTATATGGACTCTATACTCTACTTCTAATATTCCTTATTTTTAATTCTAAATTTCTATTATTTCCTAATTGTATTTCTATATGGACTCAATACTCTACTTCTAATATTCCTTATTTTTAATTCCGAATTTTAGTTATTTCCTAATTATATTTCTATATGGACTCTATACTCAACTTCTAATATTCCTTATTTTTAATTCCGAATTTCAGTTATTTCCTAATTGTATTTCTATATGGATTATAGTCTCCTCTTCTAATATTTCTTATTTTTTAATTCCGAATTTCAGTTATTTCCTAATTGTATTTCTATATGGACTCTAGTCTCGTCTTCTAATATTTCTTATTTTTTAATTCCGAATTTCAGTTATTTCCTAATTGTATTTCTATATAGATTCTAGTCTTTACCTCTAATATTCCTTATTTTTAATTTCAAATTTCAGTTATTTCCTAATTGTATTTCTATATGGACTCTATACTCTACTTCTAATATTCCTTATTTTTAATTTAGAATTTCAGTTATTTCCTAATTGTATTTCTATATGGACTCTAGTCTCCTTTTCTAATATTCCTTATTTTTTAATTCTGAATTTCAGCTATTTCTAAATTGTATTTCTATATGGACTCTGCTTTTTCTTTTTCTCTGATTAATATGAGAATTTCTAGGCCATAAGAGTGAACATGGAGGCTCATTTTTCTATTTCTTTAATAATATAATAGATGATTGTTGATCAAAGTAGTATCTTGTAGACCGTGTTAGAGTCCAAAAGTGCTTATATTTTGGAACGGATAAAGTATCCAACTGTGAACAAAGAAAAAGGGGCAAATGATGAATACTGGATTGGCATGTAGGGATGTGGGTGTTGCCAGTGCAGGTTTTGGCGCTTCAAGGGCTTGGCTGATATCTAAAGTGTGAGCTTGGTGTTGCTTTGCTTGGTTTGGCGGTGCATCCAATGATGTCGTGATCGCCATGGAGTCGGAGCTGCTGGGTCGTTGGGCGGCAAGCTCGGCAACGATGACACGTGCCTTGTGATGTCAACGTTGTGTGCCGCTTCTTCAATATCTCGACATCGATGTTCGCTGTTAGATTCCGCCTTTGTTTTCGTTGATAGTTTGGCTAGAGTTGTGTGGAGTTCCGTGTGCTGTGTGGATGTACCGGTCGCGGTTGAAGGACTTGGCGAGTCTCTACTCGTTGAGAGGTTATTTTTTTCTTTTTCTATAGCTTGTCTGGGTTTTTACTCATGCTTGATGAAATATAATTGTCAGTTCTCCTATCGGTTTAGTTTTTTAAAAAAGAGTAAATTACGTTGACGGTACAAGAACTTGGTAGGTGGGTGCGAGTAGGTGCAAAAACTTGAAAACCGAGCGTAGCGGTACAATAACTTGGCTAGGTGGGTGCGCTCATGGTGCAAAAGTTGCCACGCCATTGTTTGGTAGAAAGATTGCAAAGATCTAGAGGTCCCGCCGCCGCCCACCGCGGCGTCGACGGAGCAGCCTGAGGCCACCGAGCAGGCGACCTCAACATCCTACGGGTTCGGCAACACCGGCGGCGCCATGACCATCGCCGCATCCGCTGCTAGCTCCTTCCTTCCACATTCGCTGGGCGCAGATCGAGTCTCTGCAATATCAAGTCCCTGTCTCCAACCTTGTGGCTAGTACCATTAGATCACTTCATTGCATTGTAATAACAAATAACAGGATATTCAAGTGAAAGACCAAAATAATGCAGCCATCGTACAGATCAATGAGACCTTAACTTTGCAATCATCCATCAATTGAACGAAAAATTGAAATCTACAACCATTGGCAAGTGATTTACCATAACAAGGAGCAGATGCTCCAAGAACTCGGCGAGTCGGAGCCATCCCAAAGCTTGAGGCAATCACGTCGACAATAGCAGTTTGTGGACTTGAATTGGTTTGGTTATTGGTTTAGGGCTTGAACTAGTGTGGCACACTGAGCCCTTGTCGCTGCCGCGATGTAGTTGCACGGTTTCCCTCGTTGTCGTCGCCACCGCCGCTGCGTCCCACCAGCGCAACCACCTCTCGATCAGGATCACGTCAAGAAAGATGAAAGGAGATATGTGTACGTCAAGAAATCATATTAGGTGTTTTTCTATAAAATGAAATAGTTCTTTTGCATCAAAGCCGATGCGGCAATTGTGCTAAGGTGGAATAGTAACGTGGCAATTTTTGTTTACGTAGCAACTTTTGCACCATGAGCGCACCCATCTAGCCAAGTTATTATACCGCTACGCTCGGTTTTCAAGTTTTTACACCTAATCGCAGCCAGCTGCCAAGTTTTTATACCATCAACACAATTTACTTAAAAAAAAATACTGCTGTTGGTGCTGCTGGCTGCTATGCAGCAACCGACCAGGAGCGACATGAACGGCCGCAGACGGCCCAGCGGGAAGGAGAAGGAAGCCAACCAGCACTACCGAACAGTCTCTATTTTCAATAGACTACTTGCTACTTTATGGTGAGCCGGAAAAATAACCAAGGGAAATGACTTTACAATAGAAAATGGTAGGCGATGCTAAAGCGCGGATAAATATTCCATCATCCTAGAGAAAAAAAAACTCCAATCCTTCATTAGCAGTTTGGCACCATTGCTTGGGCCGGGTTAGCATCTGCCCGACATATTGCGGAAGGCCGGAAGCCCATCCACATTAATATAGCACATTTAAGCTTTCCTGGGGGAATAAGTTCTCTTTACGTCCCTTATCTTGAAGCTCAGTTCGAATTTTGCCACTAAACCGTAATACCAGATATAACGCCCTCAAATAACAATGTATGGGAGATCCCATGGTAATATAGCTGCTGGTTTCATCCGATGTGACTAGTTGATCGGAGTCAACAACACCAAGTCATCATGGGACCCATGTGGAGGCAGTGGGCCCTACATTTCAGGGTCCCTTATATCTCTCTCCCTACCCTCTGTTTCCCATCTCACTAGGGCGGCGGGTGGTAGGAAGGATGGCGGCCGGCGAGGAGAAGCTAGCTTGACAAAGGAGCACACACGAAGGCCGGTGAAGAGGGGGAGCATTAGGATGGAACAACGCCGAGGTGACGGACATGCCGGTGAAGTCTGTCTCCGGAGAAACTCCATCGAGCTCGAGCTCACTAGATGTGTTGCTCCATCTTCGCCAAGATCCGCAATCTCCAAGCCAGAGTGGCGCCATGTGCCAATCCTCCCCTCTCTCGTCGATTATGAGGAGAAGCGATGGTGGTGGCTATCGACTACGGCCTCCCCGTCCCACGGACCCCGACAAACGACAGCGGCAAGGCAAACAAGAAGGAAGGCGAGGCCCGGGGCAGCAAGGAGAGGGGAAGGCAACGCCGTGCTCCCAGGGCCTCCCTGCTCTCTTCCCCTCCGCCGTTGCCGCCACGGCGGTGGCTTGGGCATCCCCGACCTCTACCATGAATTCTATATTCCCTCTTTCGTCTCCTTTTTTTCTCGTACCACCATTGGCCACGGCTGCTGCATCTGAGCCGCCGCTGTCTTCTCTGTCTCAAGGGTGCCTCTTCTTCTCTATCGAGGGCCACAGAGTGTGGATGACAAGCTTAGCCATCCCGCTCCACACCGCCATCGTTTTGTAGTGAGAGAAATTGCGGGAGAGAGAACACAAGCTGGAGGGAGATGGGAAGAAAGGGGAGAGAGGTGAAAGAAGACTGGGTTGCTGAAATATGGGTCTTATACTGACTCAATCATCACGTTAGCTAAAATTGAAGACTATATTGCCTTTAGCCAAAATTATAAGAAAAAGGATATCTTATATTTAGTATTGTCTCATGATAAAATTTGAACTGGACGTCAAGACGAGGAACCTGGAGTGAACTTATTACACTCAAGAGGAATGCTCCAAGAAACCCATGAAGCGGAACCGCAGATTGGCCGGAGCGGCCTTGCTGGCCCAAACGCTCGTCACCGTCGACAACCTCGTGCGGCTAACCTCCAACTTGCCGCGAGCAACACTCGCATCGGTCCGGTCCCCGCTTCGCAAGCCCCAAAGCTCGGCGGCCACCGATTTTTCTCCCCCCACCGTCTCCATGCACGCTCACACATGAAGAACCGAGGAACGGCACGCAGGCAAGGGGCATCTCTAGGGGCGCGGGGGCGCGACGAGACCGATGGCCACAGCACCGCACCCACCGGTGGGCGTCGCGCCGAGCACGCACGCACGCACGCACGCCTCGTGTCGAGGGCTCGCCCCGATCTCGATCCCGAGCAAGGACAAGGTACGCGCGCTCCTCGGTCGCGCGTGTCACACAACCCGCGAGGGGGCCACACACACACACGGAGTACGTGCCTCGGCCGAACCACCCGCTGCTTGCTGCATCCCGTCCCGTGCGTTCCGTGGTCCTCCTCCGTGTCGCGCCGACTCCGGGGTAGCAGTAAAGATTCTCTTCTAACCGCGCGCCGCCTGTACGTGCATATATGCACGGTCCCCGTCTGCTCTCTCCAACTCCCAACTCCCAAGTCGGCCTAGCGTTCCACCGCTCTGCACGGCAGGATGGCAGCTAGGCTCTGGCCCGTAAGTAAAACTGTAGTATGCGTAGCTTGTTGCTGCGAAATGGCATGGCGCCAAGTCGCGAACAAACGCGTCCAAATTGGAGGAGTAATTAAAGTAGACACACTATATGTTTCAGTGCGCCGTATCATTTTCTCCGGGACTTTTCAGCTTTACTGCCGCGCTCCTATCACAATAGCCCGGCAAATCCTGTGATTGCCCCCGGCGCATATAATTGCCTTTTACACGTCGTGACCTGCATTCCTGCAGCAAAGACACAGGCAAAACGTACGTACGTGCTGCACTTCACCTCCGAACTGGGCTGTTGCTAGAGCTAGTGTATTCTGGGGGCGTCGCTTGCCTGAAAGAAAGACACAGTTGTGGCGACCGGCGCCGTACTATACAGCGAACGTCTGAACTCTGAACATTTCTGAAGGAGAACAGAAAAAAAAAAAACAGCGTTTCCGAAGCAGCCGTGCCGGAGGTCAAAGCTGAGCGAGCACACAACCGGTGGTCAAAAGCCCAATCGCCGTTCTGCTGGACTCTTGTTTAGTTTCCACAAAGCCCTAGATGATCCCCATGTGATCTCTGCTTTTCATCGGTGCTAACAACCATTTTTATGTTAAGTTACTGCGCGCGGCAGTAAGAGTTATGACTTGGTGTGAAACTGTGAATCTGAGCACAAGTATTTACACGGTGATTTCGTGGTAAATTCAGTGCAAAGTAGTGGGAAGAGAGCCAAGTGATCGCTCCTCCGATCCTTTTTTGAGCTGCCATTAGGCCGTTTTTTCTGGTACTAGAAGGATGTCTCAGCTTTTAATCTTAAAAGGAGATTTGCATAATTGATCTAAGAGCAAGTTTAATAGTATAGCCAACTATTAGCTTCAATTTATCTATAGCTAATCTAATAGCTCATTCATACAATAGTTACATACTACAGTATTAATACCTGGTCCTACCTGTCATACACACATTGTGTTTTGGAGTCCGTACTACAGCTGATTACAAATCTGTAGCCCGCTGCTCTTCTCTCCCCCTCATTTATCTTCTTAAAATATGTTTGTAGCTGGCTTATAGTCTGCTATTGTACCTGCTCTAATGTTGAAATGACTTCAATACGCTGACAAGTGATTAACTACAAATTAAGTAGTGAATGGTCTTCTTTATGTGCCAAAGTATAGCACAAAAAGAAAACACGTCTTCATGCTAAGTTTGAATCGTGCGAAGTTTGAATGGTGAACTAGTAGTTCTTAAAGAACAAACACGTTAATTCTGCTTCAACTTCGGAAAGAATCTGAATGTAATTGTACTCAAATCAACTAATCAAGCGAAGTCTTGTAGACTGTAATGCTAGCCTACAGCTCTCATGTCACCTATCACATTTGCCAACATGTCATCTTCGTCAAGGATCCCAAAAGTAGTAATTCTCAAGAAAAACAGTTTTTTAACGAAACATATCGGTTTTACTTTACAGTGGTCATCTCAACTCTCAAGTTTTCAAAACAGGGGACAGGCCATTGAAAAAATAAATAAATATTAACTTCCAAAACCTGAAAAAGAAAATGCTTGATAAATGAGCTGATCATCCAAGTGCAAAGTAGACATAAATGATCCTTCAGTATACTTCTTCCATTATGGTTGACAAGCTCAATACATATGAATTTCCATGCCTGAAACTTCAGGCTGCTATCAGATGCTGCCATTTCAGTTACAGAAGAAGCAGATAAACTACAAGTTCTTCACAACTTCTTACAAAAATGTGACGAAAACTAAGCATTAGCACTACTTCTTGCTACTACTAGTATTGCTGCGTATATATATATCCAAATAATAACATTTGGTCAGGGGGGCAAAATTTGCTTGCACACGTCCGTGCACGCTGCTGGAGACATAGGTACAAGGACAGAATCACAGAAGTTAACGAAAAAGAAAAAGAGAACACATGATGGATCGATCAGCTTCTCCTAGCATCACGCTTCAGTAGATGTTGTTTGCTGCTGCTGCTGCTGCTGGGACATGGAGATGTAAGCAGAGCTGAAAGTCTCATGGTTTCTCATGCTATCTCTAATCAGGGCTGGTTTAGCTGAATCAGTTGTGTATCGGCCTCCGCCTCCTCACTGAGCTATAGTCCATGGTCATGAACGACCTCATCTGCGTCCTCTCCTCCTCCCACTGCTCCCCGTGCTGCTTTCTGTCATGCAGCCTGATGGCACCTGCTCGATCAATCCACAAAGAACAAAGATTTGTTTTATTTTTCAGAACTCAACAATCTTTCAAGTTCTAACACTAGGATGAACAAGTGATAGATTAAGATAACTGATCATGTTGATCAGAAAACGACTTACCGACACCTGCCTGCTGCTGAAGTGATGAGCTGAAGATCAGCAAGAACACCAACGCAACCAGCCTCACAATCCCTGAAGCTGGTAATAACCTCATGATAGCTGCCTTCAGTTAATCTTCAGTGATCACCTGTGCCAACCTCTCACCTCCTCCTGCATCCGTATGCAACTGAGTATATATAGAGCAAGGCTCCAAGCTAGTGATCGCTATTCAGTTCAGCTAGCTAGTCAAGGGCAATGGAGAGCAGACAGCTCGTAAGTCAAATTAAGGACACACACAGAGAGAGATATATATATCGCTAGTAGCTGCAGGTACAGAGAGAGAGAGAGCTCGTGTAGATTTATTACCTCCATCCTGTCCCCCTCGCTGGGCTTGTGGCATCGGGAGAACGACGCATCCCATGACCCATGGGGGAAGAATCTATAAGCATTGGCTGCTTGCCATGGCTTTCCTGGGGACGAGAGCTCGTCGAGCTAGTTTAATGGCGCCTCTCATGTGAGCGCCACTCGCCCCAGTGAAAAAAACCACATGGCACTAGTCTAAATGAGTCCCCTGGCACGCTCGCGAATTCCGAAGCAGAGATTAATATGTGGTTTAGTAGTGACTAGTGGGGTGATGAGGGATTTGGTTTTGAATTCGCAAAAGGTATCAGTAGGCCATGACTAGTCGAGCAACTATGCAATCGATCATTCTACTAATATGATCGATAATAGAATGAGATACGAGTTATTCCCAAGCAGAAGCAATTATACCCCCTTAATTCTATTACTAGTAATCAAAATGGTATTATAAATATATACGGTCTATAGGATAGGAAAAAGGTACTCCTAGAAGGTTAGATCACTAGTCGAGACCACCGTAAAAACTACTCCCTCCGTTTCAGATTATAAGATATTTTAACTTTGATCAAAGTCAAACTGCTTCAAATTTGACTAAGTTTATAAAAAAATAGTAATATTTTCGACTCAAGATAAATTTATTATAATAATATATTTAATTATTAATTTAATAAAACTAATTTAGTAATACTAATGTAGTAATGTAAATATTACTATATTTATCTATAAACTTAGTCGAACTTAAAACAGTTTAACTTTGACCAAAGTCAAAATATCTTATAACCTGAAACAAAGGGAGTATTATCGTTTAATTTAGTACTCCCTTCATCTACTTTTGATAGTCATATTTTCAAACCTGAAAATTTTATTTTTGATAGACATATTTCAATCCAACTACCTATCATTTTAATGACTTTATCGGATTTAATGCATAACTCTCCATTCTTCCACACATGATTGGCTACATGGGCATCGAGAAATGTAAATATTAATGAATCGCTTGTTTATGAGGAATGACTAGTAGCATGTTTAAATAGATGATAAGTAGAATTGCTTATCCTTGATCTGTGTGCCATGAAGAAATATAACTATCAAAAGTAGTTGGAGGGAGTACTTGCTAGCTAGCACATTCATTGTTCTAGCTACTTCAGTTAGCCTCATGGCCTCTTGAGTGTAGGTTAATTGCTGCTTGGATTTGCTCAAGATTCGCCATTCCAGTGTCATGCAACTCTGGTATATAAATCGCAATGCCATTAGATTGAATGATTGATGTATACCTAGCTAGCTGCTAGTTGTGAGCACTTAGAGCAGGTACAATAGTAGGCTATAAGCCAGTTGTAAATATATTTTAATGAGATAAATGAGGTGAGAGAAGAGCAGCGGGATATAGATTTATAGTCAGCTGTAGCACGGACTCTAAGACGCAGTGTGTGTATGACAGTTGGGACCAGTTATTAATAGTGTAGTAAGTAACTATTGAATGAATGAGCTACTAGATTGGCTATAGATGAATTGGAGATAGTAGTTAACTACACTATTAAATTTGCTCTTAGGTTGGTTGTCCTGAGAGCTGTTTTTAAGCTGAAAAAGGAGGGTGTGCTACTGCCTCCGGCGGCTGCTTTAAGTACCCTGATTGTTTGTGAAAGTAGATACAGTGGTGGTCAGGATAGATCATACCTTGATCCTGTTCTTTTCTATCGGAACAAACGTTTTGGGATACGTTTTGCTTACCCTTTTCTTTCTTTTTTGAAGCTTGTCGTCAGTATCGGTATGCATAGACAGCTTCGTGATGAATGCAACATCATTGGGTAGCTAGAGCTGCTGATAGGGTCATATATTCTACTTGAATTGGCCGTGCTGAAGTTGTCTTTAGTTGGAGCAGACATTTCGTTGCTGCCTGTGGATATGCTTTGCGAAAGTAGATGAGATAGCGATCGAGATTGTCAATTACATAATAGCATGATGATGCCGCGACCATTTCCTATATTATACTAGTGAAGTATTCGACATACTCCCTCCGTTTCACAATGTAAGTCATTCTAGCATTTCCCACATTTATACCGTTTCACAATGTAAGTCATTCTAGCATTTCCCACATTTATATATAAATGTGGGAAATGCTAGAATGACTTACATTGTGAAACGGAGGGAGTATATAACTAGCTCACCTCGACCATGCTAAACAAGAGCTGCATGCACATCAAGGCTAATGAAGATAATATGCATCTTAGGTGGTGTTTAGAAAGGAGGGACTAAACTCTAGTCCCTCTCACAAACCTGTTTGGTTGCTGCCCTGAGGAGAACTTGCCTGATGGAAGAGGAGCCCGAGCCTTGCCTGAACCTTGTTTGGTTGTTGCCCTGAGGGCCCTTTCCACCTGCCTAGCCTAATCCATCTCAGGTGTGCAATTAGCCTCGTCCAGGCGACCAAAATAGGTGGGCTGAGCTCCAGGCGGCAGCATCGGTTGATAATCACCGCCGTAATGCCTGCCGAGAATACGCGTTGATGCAAACCACCACCGCCTCCTTGCTGGATTCACCATCGTCGTAAGAAGAAACCTTTTTTTAGGGTTTCCAATCAGAAGGAATGATCTATAGATTAATGCTGTCTAATGGGAAGTGTTATAAACACTTTTTTACTCAAAGCACACTGTTTTGCGCCTACTAATTTTCCTCAGGCACGTTTAGTTTCAGGACTTCAACCAAACAGAACCTACTCAAGGATGCCCCATGGCCATCAGGCAACAGGCACCAAAATTTCAGGGAACTCTCAGGCGCCACTTTTGCTCAGGCAAGTAGCTCAGGGTAGAAACCAAACAGGCTTTAAAATTTTTGTGAGAGCCTCCTTCCCAAACACCACCTTACTTAAGTCACTGTACCTGGGCTAACATCGACCTACAAGAAGAAAAGTGGAAACAAAACAAGCGCAGTACGCATTTACACATGTTTTGAATTTCAGAAGAGAAGCAAAAACAGAAACACCTCGAACAAGACAGTAGCGTTTACCTCATGAAGAAGTAACCCATGGCACAAGTCTTTTCTAGGAGCTTATTATACTTTGTCCAACTATGTAATGCAAAAGATAATAGAATCATCATATGAGCTAATTCACTACAATGTTCATGAACTCGAGTCATGACTTATAGCCTAATACAGCTTTGCTCCAGCAAAAAAATAAGTTCTTTGCTTAACTACAATTGACTGAAGGGGAACAAAATTATCCCCAGCAGGGGTGCACAATCTTAATTCATGGCTTCTTGTAATGTTGCCAATAATATCATGGAGCCCTATCAAATGGGCGTGTATCATTGTAGCATATACTCCATACAGCCTCAACTGCATCTTTTGCAGCTGTCCCTGAACAGTGTGGGTTGTTCCTGAGAGACATCAGAGCCCGCCGTTTAACACATTCCTTCAGAAATGCAGAAAATGTCAGAACGTACATAAATTCATGTAGGGTTTAGCAAGTGTGCACATGTTACACACGTCGCTGAAAAAAAGGAGACTTATGCTCACTCAAATCAAGTTTACTTTAGAATTTCATAAGTTAACAACAGTATTGTTAGATTATCTTCAAATCATAGCAGTTAGGGACCATATTTCTTCTGGATATCCTACATTTAATCACATTAGAATTGTACAAGTTACTGGCTAAATGGCAAGCTCCTGATAATAGATCCATGGTCTCCCATTCTTGCTACCTCATTCTTAATACTAGTTTATATTGTTGCAAGTTCGCGCGACTAATACCTCCTTATCCGTTGAATGTGTGTTACATGTAGTTTGTAATAAGGTTAATACATGGGTTTCAAAAAATAGGAGAGATGTAAAAAAGGTCATGTCTATGGGGAACATAAACCATGGGTGGATGTAGAAAAGAAATAAAATGTATTGTAATTGTACATGATTATTTTCTTTTTCTTATGTTTTCTTCTTTCCTAATTTTTTTATTCTAAATTGTCATTTTGGACTCTAGGCACATTCGGCCTAGCTTCCTGGTCCAAGTCAAGGAGCTGTCGCCTGACTTGGCCCAGTTGGCCTGACCTAGGGCTGACAGCTGAACTTGTCCAGTCCCTCTCCCTCCCTCTCTTCCTAATAACATCGCACAACTCGCACCAGCTCTCATCACGCCGTTGCACTTTCCATGTCAGTTGCCTTGGGCCTCTTGGCTGGCCTCCGACAATGTCTCCGCGGCAGCTGTCCGCTGGAATCGCCGCCTCCTCTTTAGCTCGAGGTGTCATTGATGGACAGATCTGGCTAGGTGATGGCCGGGGTGGATCATCCCCAGCCTTTCACCACCTTTGAGTCTTCGGTATGCAACTCCGGCTTTCCAATTGGCTTTCCAATTGCTCCCTGGTTCCTGCTATTCTCTAATTGACTGGCTAGTGTGTTCTCCAATGAGGACAGCGGCGGCGTCCTGGATGGGTTGGTGGTGGGATGGCGTGAGGCCTGCGTGACTTTCTGTCCTTTCACACACCATTACCCGCAGTGCCATTACATCATCCTCTACATCACCATCTCCTTCTCGTCCTTCCCAACTCCGCCTTCTAGATCCCCAATTATGGATTTAGGTCCACAGTGGCGGGGGAGGCATGGGGTGGAAGCACTTAAGCAGCGGTGGAGTCGGAGAGCATAGAGGAGAAGCGATGTGGCATCGCCGAAGTCGGTCATTTTTTTTCCTTTTTCTTTTTCCCCCTTCTCAAACCCTCCTCGTGTCCCCTTTGCTTTACTATTTTTGTCTGATGGTTATCTTTTTCATCTCTTTATTTTTTCTTTTACTGAATTGTCTGATTTCTTCATTATGTGGATCAATCATGTGGCGTTTTGAGATTAATCTTTCACTTATAGAGATTTGGAACATCAAAATTAGGAGCAGCAAAAAATCTGGATGATGTCAATAGTAGCGTTGCTGACAAATGTAGCTTTAGAGTGATTATTGGTGATCCAAAGAGACTATGCACAATGCTTTGTACCTTTGAAATACACACATATTACAGTTAATTAGCTTCAAATACTCAGGTAACCATCGGAAACTCAAAACACGGCCAACAAACTCATACCATTGCAAGTTTCGTCTGAACTGGGTAGGCAAACATGTGAATGCACTTAACAACAGAAAAGGACACTAAACTAGATAAGGTTTCATGTTTGAAGACTCTGGCATAAGCTCAATTACAGTGAAAATACTTACTTGCTCATGCCCCCTCATCTTCATGAAGCCACGCAACAATTCACGTTTATAATGGCAGTCACCACTAAGGTGGTTAGCTCGAATCTAACAACAAAATGCACTGTCGATTATTACTGTAATAACTCGTAAGCGAGCATAAAATTTGTGCGTAACGTTAGCATACCAAATAGACAATAAGTAGAACTTACATGGTAAGAATTTATTACCTCGGAGCAAGCATGGTGAGCACAGTTCTTCCAATCCATGTCCTTGACAACACAATCATCATAGGCATGTATTAATTCGTGAATTAATAGCTGAGTTATCTCATCTTTATATCGTATTTCTTCACAGCAAACCGTTATCTGGACATAAACAGTTGCAATATTAGGAAAAGTCTTGTTGACAGATAACTTGAAATAGAACCTAGAGCAGATTTAAAGCCAATCATGAAAAAACAATGAAGACAAGAATTCTCTTTTTTACAAGGAATCTAGATTAGGAATAAATAACTATTGAGACCTAGGTTGCCACAATCAGGGTCAAGTGAGGATTCGGCCGATGTTCTACTAGTAAAAGAATACCATACTACATGGAGATAATGCTATGCTGGTACCGAAATTTTTGAGTGAACTGGTGTGTTAGTAACTGTTTAAGTAACACGGCAATCCAACTGATGAACCCATCGAAAACCCTAACAGGTTTTGATGAACAATAACCCACATCGATTACAGCAATCAGGGGCCTCGTTGTAACTGTTTTTAAAACGAGGTACAAATTTGAACCTAACATACTTGCATATTCAAAGATGAACTCCATCTAGCTACATAAAACAGCAGAGTATAGCGAACACTTTTTCAGTATTCCCAATACCAAACAACTGAAGAAAATATTAGTTCAACTTTAGACGCCTCCCCAACAACACGTATACACTCTCTCTCCCTAGCTCCAAACCTCCAATCATTTAGGCAATGCAGATCGCCAGAACAAAGTCCCATCAATTCCCACGCCTTTTCATCAGACGCCGCCCTCCCGCGATTCTTTGAAAAAGGATAATACGAAGTAAAAGGGAAGGAGAGGGGGAAGAGACGCATACCCCTATCCGGGAACCGTAGGAACCATTCTTATCGGCAGTCCCGCAGTTCCTCGCCGTGATCATCCCCGGCGGCATCGGGCAGCCGGCCTTATCCATCCGCTCCATCAGGAACCGCACCGTCGGATCTGGATTCGTTCACGGCGCGGATGAGGAACTCTTGACAGGACAAAAAGAAGAAGAACAAAAATTGGAAGACATCGACGGCAAGCAAACACACATACGGCGGCGCGCTCGTACTTTTGAGAGACGACTTGATGCCGGCGACGCAGTCCTCGAACGGCATGCATCGGCTGGATTCGGAGCGCTCTGGGGCGGAGGCTGCCTCCACTCCGGTGGCCTCCGGCTCGCCGGTTCTTCCGCCCGTCCCGGCCATCGCTCACTGGCTCGCTCCGGCGGCGGCGCGGCGGCTCCGGGGAGGTGGGAGGTGGGGGTTTGGTTTGCTAGGTTTAGTCGCCTTCGGCCGGTATGTCCCGCGCCTTTCTGCCTCGTGATTCGTGCAGGCGGTAGGATCGCGCGGAGGGATGGATGGGCCGGAGAGTGTCTTGGGCCTTAGCTAGCACGGGCCCTTACTGTGTTTAGGCCCACCTAATTAGGTCCGATACTTCTCAGCTGGATGCTGCTGCAGTGTTCTGCTTGTTTTATCCCCCAGAGAACAGTTTTCTGACTCGTGTAAACACTCGTCTCAGTCGTCTCTAATACTCCCTCCTTCTCCTAAAATATACTACTTAGTACTTTACGAATTTAAACATACCCTTATCCAAACTTATAACAATATGAAATGTTCAATTCTAAATTAATATATTTTAGGACGGAGGAGGTAGCTCGAGGTGAAACAGTTCTTATTTGTACTGTGAGAATGAAATGGAATGCGATGTGTAATTGACAGGAGGAAGCAAATATGAATGTGATGTGTATAGGCAGAATCTTTCATCCAAGAGAAGTGCAGTATGGGTATACCTGTAATTTGTGCCATGCATGCTGACACCGATTTCAATGTCATCAAAGGCAGACAGTGCTGTCAACTGTCATCGTCTTTAATAGTATCCCCCTAAGCAGGCTAAACAAAAAAAAAAGATGGACTCTAATAGTATCCTCCTAAGCAGGCTAAACAAAACAAAAAAAAAGAGGATGGATATGTGGCAGATGATGATATATAAAAGTATCCTAGAGCAATTGAAATTTAAGCAGCAAAGATGGGCAAGCACATTCACAATGACGGAGCTTCAGAAGCTGGAAGCCCATCGCCAGCTAATTACAAAAATTCCACTGGTCATGAACAGCTCTATTGTTCATTGCATAGCATGTCATAACCTGAAACGATATGGTTATTCATAACTCTCCCAGGGCATAAACTCCCAAACCAAACCAATGATGAACACTACCTCAACAAGTACCAACACGGCCAACCAACCTATCATCCTCCGGTATACGGTAACACAACAAGTACACTAGGAACAGGAAAACTTTTGGTATGGTGCTAAAGACAGCAGGGGTGGAGATGTACATTGAGAAGATTCATCAAGTTTAACCGCCTAGGCGAAGGGTGGAAGCAGCCATCCACGTTCAGTTGCGAGATCCACATATGCTCCAAACTTCTCCTGTGCATTTGGGATGTCGAGGATCAGATCATCGAGGCCTTCCTTGACGCGAGTGAAGCCTAATGTCATCTGGTTGATTGTTATCAGCCCCTCACCGAAGCACTCCTGTAGCAGAGCCAAGATCCTTGCTTCATTCTCCTTCTCCATTGCCATAACAAGCGCTTTCTTCACCACTTCATGGTTGAAGAAGGGCATTCCAAGGTCACGGATGCATTGGCAAGCCTCCCCCAAGTCACCGCCAGTATTGTATTCTTCAAGGAGCTTTGCGATCTTGTCCTTCGCATCTTCTACAGCCCAGCCAGTGCCGCCACCCCAGCAACGCAGTATCCTCTCACCAGAGTGGCGAGCAGCAAGAAGGGCACGAGCCATCTGGACAGTTTGACTACCACTGCTGTTAGGGCGAAGCCTGTTACCGATCTCATCCAAATTCAGTGGAATCAGAACTTCATCAATAACTGCCCTGGCAAGGAAGAGGGCAAGTTCACTGGGAGCATCCACAATGTCGAGGGCAGTGTCTTCTGCTGACTGCAGGAGCAATATGAATCCCTTCATGATGTCATCAGTGGAGAAAAGTTCCAAGCTGAGTGAAGAAAGCAGGGCAGAAGCCATCTCCTTCTCCCTATTCTTTCTGTCCATAGCGAGGGTGATAAGCTTCTTGAGGAAGATAGGATTGTACTCTGGGGCAGAAAGCTCTTGAAGGCTTATAATGAGTTCTGGGACATCATCTGAGAGAAAATACTCTTGGATTATGTGTCCAGATTCTTCTTTGAAATGCTTGATCTTTTCACCACTTGCATTTCGCATATCTTCATTAGGGGCAGAAGATGTAGTGAATGAAGCATCAAGCCATCCTTCAGATGTAGCAGTCAGAACCAGCTTGTCAAAGAGAATCTTGGCAGAAGGAATATCAAGGCTCAGATCATCAATACTCTCTGCTAGCCGACAAAAACCCTTAGACATTTGATTAGAACTGATCAGGCAACCTGCAGTTGATTCCTTCAACAGCTTCAGGATTAATGGCTGTGATGACAGATTCTCCATGCTCAAGGTGAGAGCGCGTTTAACAACCTCATGATGGAAAAATGGAAGGCCCAGCTCCCTTATACACCTAAAAGCTTCATCAATATCTCCACTCTCAATATACTCCTTCAGAATATCCTGGATTCTCCTTTTCGCCTCTTCCACAGTAAAGTGAGTGCTCCCACCCCACTTGCGCTCAACTAGCTCAGCATGATGGGGGGCTGACAAGTAGCTTTTCTCAGAAACTTGCAGAACTTCAATACCTTTAGAAAATTCAGGAAGCAGTGCTCTGGCTCGAGTGAGGAAAACAGGAGGCAGTATTTCATCCACAACAGCACGAGCAACAAAAACAGACAAGACATCAATAGCATCCGGTATGTCGACAGATAGATCTTCTGTTGACTCAAGAAGCATCATAAAACCTTCACTCATCTTGGAAGAGCCTAGTAGATCCGCATACAACGCAGACAACAGAATTGACGCCATTTCTTTTTCTTTGTCATGACGATCCATTGCCATGGATATGAGCTTCTTGATAAAGTAACTGTGGAACTGATCAGATCCAAGACTCCTTAACTCAGAAGCTGCCAGTTCCACATCTCCTGTACTAAAGTACTCCTCAATTACAGGAACTAAAAGCCTTTTATAGTCATCTAATGTAGCAGGAACCTACAATACCAGTGAGTTATTGATAAATTAGTGTCAAACCAACAAAATAAATTAGTGCCAAACCAACAAAGAAAAAAAAAAGCAAAATTATAGGAGCAGCGAGATCAAACCTTATTGTTCCCATTAACTAGTTTGTTCGACATCTTAGATGGTACAGAATCTACATCCTCAAGGTTGTATTGTTCATTTTTCCCACCAGCACCTTCTAAAGCAGTATAAACAAAAACAACAAAATCAATATAGACTATAAGAGTCACGTGGTACAAGTAGTACCATAAATGAACAGCGTATGCCTTACAAAGATTAAGTACAATTATTGCGCTGATTACCCACTATGTAAAAGATCAAGAATAAAAAAAAATGAAATCTACGTTTCCTTCATTTTGTCCATAACATCAAGCAAGTCTACCAAGTGTTTCCTATTGTATCCAACACTAACAGCCTTCACAGGCCAAAACACCATGGCCCAACATACTGATAACCTTAAGACCTTAATAGATGTAAAATCATTCTCAACTCATACTGCAGCTACCAATAACTTGATGGCAATTTAGATGTCCACAATTCAGATTCCCAAGGCAGGGTTGTGTAATAATGAAGGATAAAGTCAACAACAGCTATGTATAACAGATGCCAAAGCAAGGACAGATATGCCCTACTAAAAACAAATTCTTCACACAATAAATAACTTCCTAAACAGCTATATTAAGGAAATAACCTGATTATTTGAGAACTAGACCACACATAATCATAGCAATGACACACAACCCAATCCAGTGTAAACCAGGTGCATATGGTTTGACTTTCTCAGTAAATGGCACATGATCATTTCTGCTAAAAATTAGAAAAAATGAGCTTGGTTGGAGGTTTGGAGCTTGTGCTTTAGGCAGCTTTAAAATGAATATTAAGCCCCTCTGAACAGATACACATAAATACTGACCAATCATGGCCTCGTATCATACTATATCGAAAGCGACAAATGCATGTTAATTGCATGGATTAAAAGCGTGGTAGGACCTAACTTTTCTGAGCCCATAAGGATTTGGATTCCAGGCAACTGAAATTATTAGAAACGGTCACCAACGGCCGGTTTTGGCAGCTTTAAACTCAAGCATAGCCCTTCCAATAACGTAACTACAATACCAACCAAACATGAGGTGCAAGGACAGTATTTGCGTCACCTAGATCGAAACCAGTAAATGGCTAAATGCGTGCGCAAACAAACATAGGAAAGCAGGAACTAGCTTCCAATAAAAACCGGTAAACGTCTTTTTTGGACATTTCACAACTTTGTCGGAATTTGATTTTCCACCTTATTGAAATTAGGGTTTCAGCGGTTACAGACAAGAACAGTACAACCTAGAACTGCTAGAAACAGTCACGGATATACCGACAAACAAACAGAGTTCAAATGAACGCCTTTTGCTCTTCCCGCCATTCCTACGCCTCTTGTTCTTCCCGCCATTCTAAACTGCACTACAGAGCCTACAATACTAAATAGCATAAGAAATACCAGTGTACTACTTCTTGTTGGCATGACTCCATGCCTGATGTCTCCATGGACATCAAACCCATCAACAGTTAGACACTCTTATTTACTAAACGCTGTGCTTCAAGCAGCCAAGCCTATCCATTAGCATGTATAGCATCTAACAACCCTAAAGACGAATCACATCCCTCACCTCTTGCTACGCACCATATCACCCTCTAGAGGCCATAACCTCAAGTAACCCTAAGAACAGTGAAACCAAACCTGCCCGGTCCGAATTCTCCAACGAAAATCTCACACCATGACATAATTCAGTGGTACAGAAAATGGATAAGACATGCACAGGCGCGCACACAGGGATCGAGCCCAGTCACCTCTCTTAGATGCGTGGTGGTGTGGGAGGTGGCGGACGGCGATCCCGCCGTCGGCCGGCGCGCCCCCGCCGGTGGCCACCCGCAGGTGCCCCTCCGCCAGCATCCTCGTCGGCGACCTCGCCCCCTCCTCCGCCGCCATCTCCCCCCCACCTATGCGGTCTCCTCCGCCCGCCCTGCAACACCACCACGCACGCCCACACCCTCAATCAATCAGATCACCACAGCCACAAAAACAAAAAACAAAAAAATTAAGCAAAACCAAAAACGAAGCATACGATGACGAATCGGACGGGATGAGCAGACGAACACACCTGTGGAGATCGGAGGCGGAGACGGCGAGCGCCGACGCGGATCTCAGGCGAGCGGTGCGGCCGCGCGGGGGCGAGGCGAAGAGAGAGGGGGGCCAACGCAACGGGGGACGCGAGCGGAGACGAGAAGGGAGAGTTTTTATTTTATCTTTTTTTTTTTGCCTCCCGTCTCTCTCACTTATTACTATCTGCCTCTAATTACTTTTACCGCGCTGTATTAAGCTAATCTTTTCCACCCATTTTTTTTCTCTATTTTCTTATTTCTCATCAAGCAGTAGCACTGTGTGAACTGAGAGATCGCTACGCGCACTTAAATACTCGCGGGATTAGAGACACCTCTTGTCCCTCGCGGGCCCACCTGTCAGTGGTGGTACGTCGGTGCCGTGTAGCGAGCGGGGGGTCGGTCGGGGAGTTGGTTTTGAGTAGACCGGGTGCATGGACCGGTGAGTGGATGGGCGCGTGGAACGGACGGCCCGCGCGAGGTGGGGCGGCGTATGGACGCGGTTCACGTAATCCAGGTGGAGAGAGCAACGGGGATGGACGGGCGTGAGGGGGCTGACGCGGCCACGTCGTCGTGTTCGGCCCACGTGGCACCCCTCCCAGATGGGGCGCACGTAGCGTAAAGGCGTCCGTCACCGCGACGGACGCATCCGGGCCGTCCGTTGGTGGGCAAAGCCGCTTTCTGCTGATTTTGTCCGTGAGCAAAACCGCCCCAGGTTTCACTGGTCATAAATCTCACAGTCTTGCATGTTGTCACTTGTCATATGCTAACTACTGTGCTGGCTGATCAGTCATTCACATGGAATCTGCTTAAGGTTGCCTATTAGTAAGATACTAATCCTTCACGCTTTGTTAAGTGTTTATCTCGACCCATACGGCTTGGCAAGCTATAGCTAGCTACCTTACCTACCTCGTCATGATCAACACAACACACAAGAGCGTCGACGTGTCATCGGAAGTACAGGGATATGAATGAGGCGAAGCACGCGTGCCATTAACATCGTCACAACTCTGGCACCATGCGTGCAATCGATCGATCGATTCACTCCTCGTTGCAGAACAGCAGAGCAGTGAACAAACTAATTTAGTCTCTTTCTGTTGCTCCGCCTCTGAATCCATCCAGAGCACGCCATCCTTGGTCCATCACACAGGTGTTGGCGATTACAGTGCCAGTGCTTACTTACAGATACATATATACACATCTCTCATGACAAAAAAAAGAAGTTGATCGATGTTTAATTAATTGTACTGGTATGCTCATGTAAATACTGGAGTAGTAGTAGATTAGATGCATAATCTAATCAGATCAGGACTTGTCGAGGAGGCCGTCGAGGTAGAGGTTGAGGAGGTATCTGCCGGTGGAGAGGACGTCGAGGCGCTTCTCGCTGGGCTCGTAGCGCCCCTTGCGCAGCTGGTACCGGTGCGTCACCGCAGACACCGTGTACGCCTGCCCTTCGATCGTCACGCTCTCCCCGCAGTGGATGTTCTGCACCGTCATCACGCACCAACGTAAACACCGCTTCATCACACGAGATAGCATTAAAATTCACAGCAACAATACATAATCTGCCAACAACCACCGGCCATATACTCTTTTTTTTTCTTCCTTTTTTCTTTTTTTTTCTGGTTTTTGTTTTGAAGAACCATGTCAGCATGACAATGTATCAGTTCAACGGTGATAGCTGGCACGCAAGGAGGAGGAAAAGCAGCATAATTTTTTGTTTCCCCGTTGGAAAGTCGGGTCTTGGTATCTAGAACAATGGGAGGCACTCGGCTTGGCTTTGACAATCTTTTTATTCTCGAGGGAATTACTTTGACAATCTGACAGCGCTTTCGTGCATGTATGATGGCTATCTGGCAGAGATTCTTGATGGTAGTAGTACCAAATTACGTTGCTTCGACTTTCCAGCAGGAAAAGAGTTCGTTGTCTTGCAAGGTTAAAACTGCTAAAACAGGCTTCACAGACATCATCAGGACCTTGGCGAGGTTAAACTTGTCTACTTCCTCCGTTTCACAATGTAGAACTTTCTAGCATTACTTATATTTATTTAGATGTTAATGAATCTAGATATATATATATATAGTATGTGTTTAGATTCATTAACATCTATAAGTATATGGGTAATGCTAGAAAGTCTTACACTGTGAAACAGAGGGAATACTACCCTACCGGCTGCTCATCTACACAGCTTCTTCCTGCTATGCTTATGTGCCTTTGGAACCATAGGCATGAGGTGACTTTTAAGAATGAACAACCCTGCCTACGCCGTTTGCTTCGCCGCTGCATCGATCATGCTAGCCTCTGGGCTGAACGAATGAACAACGTTGGTAGATATGTTATATCTGCTTGAAAAACAAGCTTTCTCCCGTTTCTTATATCTTTAAAATAGGTAATGGCGCGACCTTATCGCTACGGCGCCCTACGTAACCTCAAACTCGTTACTTTCTCCGTTTCACAATGTAAGTCATTCTAGCATTTCCCATATTCATATTGATATTAATGAATCTAGATAAATATATATGTTTAGATTCATTAACATTAATATGAATGTGGGAAATGTTAAAATGACTTACATTGTGAAACGGAGGGAGTATTATCAATGGAAAATTCAAGTGAGGGAGCTCTTTCCTCCGGTGATTTCTAAAAAAAAACTACTAAAACAAGGTTTACAAACAAAAACACAACTAGAGTAGGATATATCACTATTATCTAAAAAGAAAAGGATAGCATGGAGGCTAGTTGTTGATGGTCCTAGCTGCGCACGGGTGCTGAATTGTTTTTTTTTTCGAAAAAACGGGTGCTAAATTGTTGTTCTTGAAGTTACAACAATAGCATAACCAGTCAGTGATCACTTCAGAAAACACTGTAAGGGTTCATTCGGTTTAAAGAATTTACAAATGATTATTTTATGAATTGAAACCTTAGGTTTTTTCTATATGCATTATTAGTTGTTTAGGAATAAATCCTACCAAATTCCTAAGGATTATATTCTTACAATCCTGTTTTATATGTTTTTTTAGTATGAGATGAGAGCTCTTCGAGAATTTTATAAGGATTTGTGGCATTCTAATCCTTTACTCTTTATCTTTTTTTTTCCTATGATTTAAAAATCCTGTGAACCAAATAAACCCTAAATTATTTTTTTGTTCTCGCAGTGCTGGAAACACTTCAGTAAGTTGTCAAAGAACGTGTCCTTTTTTTCCCCTTAATGAAAAACCACTGCATTACTACGTGCTACAATTTAACTAGTAGACTGACGCAATCTGTATTTCTCCAAAAGCTGCGAAGAATATTTAGGATCGAATTTATACACTGGGAGCAGACCGTGACTCTGCAACCGAAATTGTGGTGCACTGAATTCTGGAACAATGCTACACCATTTGTCACAGGAAAAATCTGTTCCACAGTTAATAACCGTTTCCAGAATCCAGATACGTTTTTTTTTTAGATAAGTCAGATACGTTTTTTCATTCTCGAATTTAAGCAACGATTTGAATGTTTTTTTATGATCAGGCTTGTGCATTGTGCATACGCATTTCCCCTTTTGTTCTTGTTAACGAGCGAATTCAATTCAAGCGTATCTATCGTGGTATGATCAGGCTTGTGCATATGCAATGCACCCATGACCCATGCATAAGAGAATTCAGAATTCAGGACGAGGCAGAGGCAGGGGATTGCAGAGACGACGTACGGTGGGGAAGCAGCGGACGCCGAGGCACCGCGGCGGCGGCGTGATCTCGACGACCTTGAACGGGTACTTGTGCTCCTTCTCCCGCTCCGGCCGCTCCCTGTCCCTGTCCCGGTCCCGGTCCTTCTTCCTGCACTCCACCGCGAATCGCGGCTGAATCGAGTAGCGTTGATCAGATGGTTTAGTTCGCCACGAACCACGATGGCGGCATGAACTGAACAATAAATCGTCTGCGGAAACGACGCGCTCACCTTGTGGTAGGAGAAGGAGGTCGCCGTGGACGCCACCATGGCCGCCATGGCCGATCGGTCAATCGATCGAACGAATGTTTGCCGCTGCGGAAATCCGCGCGAATCGTGCAGGAAGGGGGGGGGGGGGGGGGGGAGGGAGGATTGGATGGATGGCTGGGCCGCAAGAACGTGGCGGGATTGGCAGGCGTGCGGATATTTTTCGTCGATTCGGCGCCAAACAAACGGATGGCGAGTGGTTGATCGGGCTCGACTGATCGAGGAAGGATTCTTGCAGGAAGGAGACTTGGAAAGCAGCCGTGCCACGCGTACCTGTCGCCTCGCCCCGTCCAAGTCGTTTTCGTCGTTATTTGCCTTTCGTTTTTTCTCCCCCCATTTTCTCGCAAATTTCTTTCTCTGGATTTCGAGTAGTTCAGCATGTATTTACCCTTTTGTTTTTTAAGTTCACCTCTGCATTTTCTTGTTTCAGATTCTGTGTTCCTGAAGTCCGAATTCTGCAAGCATTGTAGCATGCCTTTTCTGAACTTTTACTGTCCACACACACGCTCACACCTAATCTGTCAAAGGGTCCAGCCGCACGAGCAATGAGCAAAGTTCTCTGGTGAACCTACGCCGAGCGTGTAAAACAAAATCTATACACATCCACACCAAACACTGTACCTAACCAATCATCTTCACATCCTCAAGTTTTCATCTACTCCTCGTCGTCTCTAACGAACATGTATCTCACATGGGTCTGTGAATCGGTGAGAGTCTGAACACCGCACCGCACGTACGCCTCGCATGGGATCGGTCGACCAGATGAGCAGGCAAGATCGTCGCCGCGCACATGCGACGGGGAATCTCAATCCAAGGCGAGGGTTTTGCATGTGGGTTCCGAGGCTGCGTGGCACCGGGAGAGGCAGGCTTAATTAGCTTCAGAAAAATGGAGAGATTCCCAGGCGATCAGGACAAGAGGATTAAGCATTCTCCCTTAGTTATATCCTGCACACGTTCGTCTAGCATCTGGGTGAAGTTCTCCGGAGCTAATCAGGGATCAGGAGATGGTAACTTCATGATTAGATGACTCAGCATCTAATGTCGGCTAGCTAACTTCATAATTAGGACTTGTCATCAATTTGATGACTCAGCATGGAGTCTTAATTATCTTTAGGATACAGATTGGTTATAGTTTTATCCTTCTCTATAAACTGTTTTTCTTTTTAGATCGGAGTTTGGCACATTAACCAAATTAATCCAAAAATTTTGCTCATACATTCAAATCAGTAAATGTTTCACATGTAGTGAACTAAATTTTTTTTTTATTAGAACCAATAATTTTGACAAGTTCGGAATTATTTAATCCATAATCATGGGCAAACATATAAAATGTACTTCTGAAAGAGTAGTAGGTAGATGAAATGTTGTATTGGAAATTTAAGTTTTTCTGAATGCCCCTTGATTTTTTTTTCCATTTATATTTCTACTTGAATAAGAGCGAGAAATATTTTCTGTTTATCAAATGGTGATACATAGTGCAATATGGTCAAAACATGGTGTTGTATTTTTTAATACAAATCCCTAGGAAAGAAAAGGAGTCTAATCCACCAATCATTTTACGCTTTTTTTATCCAATTAGTTTATATTTGTTCTAGAAAAGAAAAGTATGGATAGAGATGATTTTCTATTGTGTGAAACACTTTGATTAAGCATATTTTCGTCTCTTTTTTGGTGTCAATGACTAATTATTAATTGGGAATCAAGTTGACTCATAAAAGAAAATTTTGATCATATTTTTTCTCAGTGCTAGCCAGCCTATATCTATACGTGTATTATTGTCACACAAGGATCAAAATAGTACACCTGTATCACGAAAAAGACGAACCTAATCTATTTCAGATGTTTCAGACAAACTCCAAAACCCAAGCCCTAAACTAAACATTCCAAGCCCCACGTATGCCCTCAACCACCACTTCAGCCCCCCAAAAAAGCTGAAATTAAACCAAACATTTAGTACTACACCTTCGATTAATTAACAATGCTAATTAGTACTAACAATCAACGCACGTACAGAACACATCAAGAACAACTAATCATCAGGCTATGACCCCATGATTATCATCATCTTTTTTCTCCTGTGTATGAGCAGACGCGAGACATGAGCCGGAAAACTTGCGATCAGCCGCGGCGATTTAGAATAGCCAAAGTAGGTTCATGGCCTAACCCGCCCGACCGCCCTAATTATCGTGCTTGGAAAAGGAGATTACCTTAGCTAGCTAGGCTAGGCTAGCCGGACATGCGTTTTGCCAACTCCCATGTGATTGCGTTTTGCATGCGAGATTCTTTGTTCCTGTCCATGCTTTGCCCGTGTGGTCTATGCAACTCCCAGGCCTTTTCACCCACTTTACCCAGCAATGCCCCAACCAAAAATGCCAAACTCCTTTCCAAGTTGTATGGACAGTGGTAAAATTGACACGAATTTTGATAAATGTCCTTCAATCAGACTGAGATAATGTTTGGCGCTCTACCCTTTTAATCTACTGAAAAGTGATGGAGCTATATATGTATATCATTTTTCTTTCACTCGTTTACTTACTACTGCTAGTGTCATGCCCATATATTGCAACGGGACATGATAAAGGGTGTGCTCGACACGTTTTCCCAACTCTCCTCTCTCGTTTTTCGCATGCACGTTTTTCAAACTGCTAAACGGTGTGTTTTTTTTAAAAAAGTTTATATATGAAAGTTGCTTAAAAAACATATTGATTCAATTTTTTTAAAAAAAATTAGCTAATACTTAATTAATCATATGCTAATGGACCGCTCCATTTTTCGTGATCACTGTTACTGTTAGGAACCGCTCCACCGAACACAACCAAAGATAGCCTCACTAGGGTGCTCTCTAACTAGTAGTAGAAATCAATCTGAACCGTTAGATCTCATTTTATTGAAGGATACAGATCTATTTATACCATCCCCCAGTTAACGGTAGTAGAAACGTGGTGGGACATTATTATTAGAAAAAAAAAGGTATGGAGGGTATAATCGTTATTTAGAAGTGATTAAACTTTTTTTCTTTTTTTTGCTTTTTTTGATGAAATATGAGTGATGCAAGCGCAATGGATGATCGCAGATCGATTTAGCTAGGGGAAAAAAATAAATAACAAAGTAACTCATCATTATTATATTAGTAAATTATTAATTTATCTCTAATAATATTGATAGTATAATATTATGAGTAGAGAGCACCAAAGCATCGTTTAAAGAAAGATGGTCAAATGGTTTTACGGGGTTTAGTTTTTTCATCTTTTTTTGATCAATTTCGTGTGGGAACGTCTCGTTTTTTTGTGAGTTTTCCTACAGGCAGGTTTCCTTTTCTTTTGAGTGAGAGAAGTGCAATGGTTGGGAAGAAAAATAATGGCTCCATTTTTAAGGTAATAGAGAAATACTAGTACAGCTGATAAGTCTGAAACATGAAATGGCGTCGGGCCCTCATGTCAGCCCCGTGGTTCCATACTTTCATGGAAGCTGTCGAGCGAGCTGTATGGCTCTGTGTAGCAGCACAACCTGTTCCATCTTTGGACTTTGCGAGGATCGGCTGTCCCAGTGTCCCCCTCATTGGCGCCTTTGACAAACAGCCGCACGCTTCTAAAGCTTTGTCCTTTCCCACGCCCATGGCTCTCCCTTCGCCTTCGCTTCCTGTATATACACCCCCCACCCACCGAGCTCTCCTTCCACGGCCACACCGATCACCAGCTGCGCCCGCCAATTGTTGCAAGAACCGAGCCCTTTCAGCTGAGCGAATTGAGTCTCTCTGACCGGGCTGTGTGACAATGATCAAGCTGAGGTACTCCAAGAGGCTGTTCAGGAGGAGCTCCTCCAAGGGCAGCACTGACAGCAGTAGCAGTAGCAGCAGCAGCAGCGACGGCGATGTCGGTGGCCGGAGCGGCGGCGGCGGCAGCGGGGAGATAGAGTGGGAGGTGAGGCCGGGAGGGATGCTGGTGCAGAAGAGGGACGGGAGAGGCGGCGTGGAGGTGATCACCGTCAGGGTGGCCACCGGGTTCTCCTGGCACGATGTCTCCATTGGGGCTACCTGCACTTTTGGTGAGTATCATGTTGATTGTTTAGTACAGTTTCCTGTCCTTGATCAAACTAAAAATTGAATTTTCTCATCTTTGCAAAGTTTGCAGAAAAGTTTGTAAGTTTTGAGTTCTTTTCTCTTTCCTTTCAAAAGTTGATACGGTCATGGTTCCTTTTTTGTGTTAAAAGAAGCACGCATGGATATTCTCCAAGTTCTTTTGTAAGCACGATAAAGGCTTGAGGACTGAAGGGTGGCATGCACAATGGCACTCCTTTTGCACAGTTCAGTTGTTGCCGACTTGCCGTGTAGCACGTCAACATAGTTCAGTTTGCAGAGCAATGCATCAGTAAAAGGATGCTGCTAGTTCAGTTGCTTTTGATTTTAGATATTGATGCCATATGCATAATATCACTCCTAGTTTATTTTCGTTCGAATTTAGTTTTGTAGTACTACCTAAATGCCTTCTGATATACTAACTTCTGAAAGTGAAGTGCAGCTCCGAATCTCTGACGAGAACTATAAACCATTCACCCTCTTGTGGTGTTTACACACTAAAATTCACTCGTTCTACCAAACGCTTCTCCCAAGTGACCCTTGTGAGCTCTTGAGTTTTACTTACCACATAGATATATCACATAAAACACATGTGTCCATTAGAAAACTAGCATGGTCAGTCACCAGCTTCATAAATCAAAAAAAAAAAAAAAACTGACAAGAGAACAGGCAGTACCGTGTACTGTTACCTTCTCCTTCCCAGCAACTCCATAGCCCAGAATACTAGAGGTTATGGTGGTGTTCTTGCAATAGAAAACACAGAAAATGGCGTGGACATGTCTGAATATTGATCACAGATGGCGGCCGTCTACCTTCCCTGCCAACAGCACACATGATGTGAAGGAACCTGACCTGAACCTTCCTGCATTTCATTTGCTACGTACAAAACATTAGTTTGTTTGTTTCTTTGTTAGAACAACACCAAAATTAATCCTAATTGTTGTGCTGGTTTGGATTGATCATCGAGATCTAAACATGCGATGTTGCATTTTGTGCAGGTGAGCTGAAGACAGTAGTGTCTATAGTGACAGGGCTGGAGCCCAGGGAGCAGAGGCTGCTGTTCAGGGGCAAGGAGAGAGAGGACAGTGACCACCTCCACATGGTTGGTGTGAGGGACAAGGACAAGGTGCTGCTCCTTGAAGACCCTGCCCTCAAGGACATGAAGCTCCGGGCCGCCCTCGCGGCCCGGGCTACCGTCCAAAGCCCGTATCAGCCTTTTATCCAAGTCTAGGTCTAGCCCAGTCTGGTCCGGCCCATCTTATCGTGCTAACTGCTAGATTAATCGTACCATCAGCTGATCAAGTCTCTAAAAGCTTAATTCCTGTCTGGAATTGACCTGATGTATGGTGATTTTTTACTGTTGCTGTTAATCAGCAGTGAGTACCAGTCCATGGGAAGGGCAAAGGGGCCCTCCCATGTGAGAGCTAGAGTACCTGCCACTTGTTATGTCTCTAATTGCGTGATTTGTGCCATTTCTAGGTAGTTAATTTGCGAGTGCTTAGTGTGGTTGTATGTCATGCATTGTGTATGTGTGCTCCATTTTCTGCAAGTAGTAGTACCTCTAATGTGGAAGGGATCAATGTTTCATGCATGTAAGGATGCAACTGCGTGCAATCAACTGAGATTACTGCTGCAGATTTTATTTTGTGGTCTTTTTCTAACAAACTATTTCGTTGTTGGGAACAGAAAAGGGCACAGCTCTGAATTCGCTGCAAGCTCCTATAGAACATATGCACACAACAAAAAAAAATAGCAAAAGTTAAGTAATAGCATGCTATTAAATTTCTGAAGTCATCTTTGTCATTTGCAACAATCAATAGTACTTGACTGGCATAAGTAGTCTTACAATTCAGAAGTTTATCAAACATATCATGAATGATTAACTAGACGCAAAAAGTAAAGAAGAACAAGACATGAACATGCATGGGCGGATCTAGAGTGTAACAAGTGGGGCACCCACTCAATTTTGCAGCGAATGGGGGCAAATGCATCCTTGACACACTTCTAAGTCTACCTGAGCGGTAGATCCTTGGCCTCCACTTATACTATTTTCTGTCTCCGCCTCTAGTTGAGGGTTGTGTTTTGTCATGGTGTTTATTTGAGACATCTACTTGTGTGCACACTGAGCCTCATCTTTTCACTTATGCTTATGCTTATCTTTTCACTGAGCCTTAAATTTTTTAAATTGATTTTATGGTTTTTTCACATCGAAGTTTATTTTTCAGCATTTATTTTTATATCGCTAAAAACACGTCTATAAAAATTTTATTCATAAATTATTTTCCATTTACAAATATACCACTCGGCTTAAGCGATACGATGGACCGTGTGATATGCAACGTTGTGAAGAGGAGGGAACAGCGGCAAGAAGCCTGCTGGAAGCCTGGAATGCTGGCACTCAACGGCCCAGTCGGCCGTCACGGTCTCTAGAATTGCTCCCGCACCGGAAAGGAAGGCCCATTAGGTCAGCGAGAAAAAAAAAGGTAGATCAGTTGGATTTGCCAATTTGCGCGCCCCCGCCGATCGTGGGTTGGGGACGTTGGGCTCGTCGATCGCAGCATCGCGCCATGTTAATCTAGCGAATCCGCCTTTTCCTTTTCCGTTTCCCTTTCGCAACGCGCGCCGCCGTTGCGATCGAATCGAATACTACGGCCGGCGTACCAGTCGTAAGCGTGTACAGCGAAATCTCACGGATCGGCGACGACCACGCGTCGAAAATGGGATCCCATCGACCGAGGCGCGGAGGAAACACGTACCGGCCAGCGGAGGGGAGGCTCTAGACACCTGTAGAGTCCAGTGTCACTGCTCTGCATCCTCGGTCCGTATCTGTTCTCTCTTCGCAGTATCAGAGCAGCTGCAAATATATTTTAAAAAGATAAATGAGAAAAGAGAAAAGCAGTAGACTATGTGAATGACAGGTGGGACCAGATATTAATAGTGTAATATGTAATATTGTATGAATAAACTATTAGATTGGCTATAAATGAATTGGAGCTAGTAGTTGCCTATACTATTGAACTTGCTCTCAGGAAGAATATCGAGTACGCATGCATCCACAAAAGGGAGGAGCTGCTCTGGGATCGAATCGCAGCGAGATCATGTCGGTTGGCAAGGTGGTGTTCTCTTAACTCTTTTCAAACCCATCTCCCTCGTTTTCCGCATGCATGCTTTTTCAAACTGTTAAACTGTACGTTTTTTTCAAAAAGTTTTCATATGAAAGTTACTTAAAAAAATCAAATTAATCCATTTTTTTAAAAAAATTAAAAATACTTTATTAATCACCCGCTAATTACTGCTCCGTTTTCCGTGCGAACACTTAGTGTTGAGAACCAGGGGTTCCGAACCAGGGTTTAACTCCTTTCCCAAGTCGTTAGAGCAAGTTTAATAGTATAGCTCACTACTAACTCCAATTCATCTAGCCAATTTAATAGTCAATTCATATAATAGTAACTTAATATAGTACTAATATATGGTCCCACCTGTCATACACACATTGTGTCTTGGAGTCCGCGTTATAGTTGGCTACAAATTTATAGCCCGCTGCTTTTTTCTCCCTTCTTTTATCTCATAAAAATATGTTTATAGCTGGCTAATAGTATGCTATTGTACATGTTCTTAGCCGTTAGGCACGAGTTGCTGGGTTATAGGTAAATGCTGAAGTAACATGCTCGAATTAAATCTTCAAATTTATCTTGCGGAATCAACAATACTTGACTAGTAGTAGCAGTCTTGGCAATCCATCAGAAGTTTATCAGCTACTCCCTCCATCCCAAAATATAGCAACTTTTAGTTGGATGCGACGTATCCTAAAACTACGAATCTGGACAGGATCCTATCCAACCAAAAGTTGCTATATTTTGGGATGGAGGGAGTAGATGCAGCGTGATCCTAGCTTATTTGTAAATTAACCACTGCACCTAATAGAATAATAGATACTCCCTGTCATGGTTATGGATACCACATACCTAATAGTAGTCGACTAAATCTCGGCAGGACCCACCACATACCATGTCTTATACGGAAACTGACTTCAGATATGGAGGGAGTTCCGGATAAAGAAAGACAACCAGAGTTCTACATGGAAACGACAAGGACTGCTCGTATTGTATCCATATTGGTTTCCCTAGTTCTACTTGGACAAGGGGACACCTATGGGTATAAATACAAGGCCCCTTAGGAGGAGAGGGGCCACGGACAATCGACGACCACCTTAATCAACATCCACCACAATCTACGGAACAACAGAAGCCAATATACGCCAAGACAAGACGCCGGATATTGACTTCAGAGATAGGCATGGCTAGTCCCCTACGGTGTCTCCAGATACTATCAGGAGAGGCGAAAGCGCTATCTCTGATCTCGCTGGGCACGGATTCAAGGAGGAAGACTACCCTGTTGTCGACTACGAGTCAGATCGTCAGACCGCCATGTCGATAACAGTTAGATAGGCTACCCCAAATATTGTACTGGTGTGATTATCATGAATAAGAGCAATACCGGCTTCGGCCAACAGGATGTAGGGTTATTACCTGACAATTCAGGAGCCCGAACCTGTATAAAAATCCTCGTCTCCGTCTCTTTTACCTCAGTCTCGCATAATCCTAGCACCGACGATCCCCATACTATGCAAATACCAGAATTGCGACATCATATGTCGACAGTGGCGTGCTAGGTATGGGGACTTTGGTGCTTCAGGATTTCGACGAGATGGGTTCAAGAGATGGATTCTCCAACAACAAGCTACTCAACGACTTCGGCTGTGAGGAGATCTAACCCAACTGAAGTGCATCTTCCGACCAAATCGGAACCATCATCGTCATCGACAACTCGGTCTATCGAGATCATCCAAGCCTCAAGATACGCGGCGTACCAAAAGATGTTAGATCATGTGATGTCGAACGAGTACGCAATAAGGTAATTGGTAGATTGGTTTTTCAAATTGATCTACTATTATGTTTACCTAGAGCATGTTTTTTATACAATATCTATTGCGCAGATGTTTCCGACGTTAAACCAACTACGGTCTAACGCTGGGGGCTCGCTCTGTTATCTTCTGTATAAATCATGCTTGTTTACGGTTTACATAATGCCTGATATTTACATCTGCTCGTTATATCTTGATAATATTAGAAGATCCATGCAGTTTTTGAGTACATACTCGATATTCTCTGCTATATGTCTTGCCTTCTAGAAAATATTTTTCAGGAACAATTGAGCACTCGAGTATGTTGTAGTCGAGTACACCCCACTATCGAGAACATTCTCGACAAATGCGGAGTCGTCGCACCCAACTTAGCAACAAAGGTCGACGACCTATCTCATAGCACCGGCCATGGCTGGACTACTCGAGAAAAGGTTGTTAACGGATAATTCTCGCGAACGTCGTCGGCTTGATCACCCGACATGATTGCGAGCGGACATCCGGATATGCTATAAGTTGGGTATGTGAGCAGGGGCGGATCTACAGTAGTATGAGCGGTGTCAGGCGACACCGACGACTTTCGGCAAAACCTATAGCGAAATTGTTTATCTATATATTATAACACTATGAATTAAGTATAATTAACATACTATGACACCGATAGACATGTTATGACACCAACGAATCGATTTTCTGGGTCCTCCACTGTATGTGAGTCATGCTGGCCACATGATATGCACATGTAATGAACCAACTTTAGCGCCCCTATAGGTGATTAAGAAACTCCTACTCCTGGTTCTTGAACCAGTAAGACGTAGTGATCTCTCTCACCTCACTTTAAGTGGTCGAGTTACGACTACTGCCTGTTCCTCGACCAGCGATGTAGCGTTTCTCCCACTACTTCCACTTCAAGTGGTCGAGTTACGACTACTGCCTGGTCCTCGATCAGCGATGTAGCGTTTCTCCCACTACTTCCACTTCAAGTGGTCGAGTTACGACTACTGCCTGGTCCTCGACCAGCGGTGTAGCGATTCTCCCACTATTTCCACTTCAAGTGGTCGAGTTACGACTACTGCCTGGTCCTCGACCAGCGGTGTAGCGATTCTCCCACTATTTCCACTTCAAGTGGTCGAGTTACGACTACTACCTGGTCCTCGACCAGAGGTGTAGCGATTCTCCCATTACCCCTGCTTCAACAAAGTTGATATCAGGTACACAAGATCGCCAAGTGTTTTACCCAGAGATCCCTTACCACGACAACACTTAGCGTTGAAACCTATCCTACTGTCCCTTTACGCCGTCTTGACAAGGCCTCCGAGGAACCTAAGGGAACTTCGGCTGGGGACGCCCAGAGCCGATAAGGCCTTGTCGGATCTTTCAGAGACGAAAGACCATGTAAGATCTGGTCGTGTAAGAGTTCTCGCTATGCGTATTAACCAAGCTGTGTAATCGGAAATGGATTTTCCAACTTCACGGCTGGGGGTTAGGATCAATGCTTGTTCAACCGAGGCAGGTCAAAGGTCCAAGAGCCTTATCTTCCGAGAACGATTCTCTGATGACAAGGCTGGGGGCTAGGGAGAGTGTATAACTCAACAAACTGACTGATCGAAGTCGGTAAAAGAGTAGACGCTCATACACAAAACATTGGTCTGTAAGTCTAATTCATTTTCGGTTTTCCATACATATTATAACATGTTACCCTTTGAGTGTTCGCTCGGGGGCTATTTCTATCTAATATTCTTTTCTGAGTATTGATTTCAGGAAAATTCTATTCGACATTGACGAAGGCTTCATGTCTCTATGGTTCTACACCAAGATCGACTAAGGCGAGTACGACAAATGTTGACAAGGCTCCGTCGCAGACTGTACGCCTTCTCGATCGCTCGAGAACGGTTGCTGGATCTCGACAAGGAATACGGAATGAAGAGATGGTGTACCCGCCGAGATAAAATTTCTTGACTTCAATCCAAATTTTCGATTACAGCAAGACGGGAGACTTAGTCGTACACTATGTACTTTCTTGGTTGATGTCGGAGATTGACTCAGACAAACCCTTTAGGTGCCCGCACTAGGCTGACAAAGGAAGTCTAACGTTATCTCTGAACTCACCGAGAACGGTCACTTGAGCTCGATAACAGTTACTCCATGGTTAGCGGTCGAGAATATGAATTCGTTCATTTGCATTGAAGTCGGGGGCTACTGTCATGGTTATGGATACCACATACCTAATAGTAGTCGACTAAATCTCGGCAGGACCCACCACATACCATGTCTTATACGGAAACTGACTTCAGATATGGAGAGAGTTCCGGATAAGGAAAGACAACCAGAGTTCTACATGAAAACGACAAGGACTGCTCGGATTGTATCCATATTGGTTTCCCTAGTTCTACTTGGACAAGGGGACACCTATGAGTATAAATACAAGGCCCCTTAGGAGGAGAGGGGCCACGGACAATCGACGACCACCTTAATCAACATACACCACAATCTACGGAACAACAGAAGCCAATATACGCCAAGAAAAGACGCCGGATATCGACTTCAGAGATAGGCACGGCTAGTCCCCTACGGTGTGTCCGGATACTGTCAAGAGAGGCGAAAGCGCTATCTCTAATCTCGCTGGGCACGGATTCGAGGAGGAAGACTACCCTGTTGTCGACTACGAGTCAGATCGTCAGACCGCCATGTCGACAACAGTTAGATAGGCTACCCCAAATATTATACTGGTGTGATTATCATGAATAAGAGCAATACCGGCTTCGGCCAACAGGATGTAGGGTTATTAACTGATAATTCAGGGGCCCGAACCTGTATAAAAATCCTCGTCTCCATCTCTTTTACCTCAGTCTCGCATATATCCTAGCACCGACGATCCCCATACTATGCAAATACCAGAATTGCGACATCAAACGTCGACACTCCCTCAGTCCAACAAAAAAACTCAACTTCTAGAGTTTGAATTTTGTCTCACAAAAATCAATTTCTACCGTCCTACCTACCCTCAACACGTGAAACGGAAAGTTTTATCCCTTCAATACCTTTTACTACGTATCACTCTTACTATTTTTTCAGTGATTAAAGGCATTTTAGTCATTCTCTATCTCCACTAATTCTCCTTTGGAATGCTAGGAATGTTTTTTTTGGACGGAGGGAGTATAAGGCCCACTTTAGTTTTCAAAAAGTTTTTTCCAAAAACATCACATCGAATCTTTGGACACATGCAAGGAGCATTAAATATAGATAAAAACAAAAACTAATTGCACAGTTTGCATGGAAATCACGAGACGAATCTTTTGAGCCTAATTAGTCGATGATTAGCCATAAGTGCTACAGTAACCCACATGTGCTAATGACAGATTAATTAGGCTCAAAAGATTTGTCTCGCGGTTTTTAGGCGAGTTATGAAATTAGTTTTTTTTATTCGTGTCCGAAAACTCCTTCCAACATCCGGTCAAACGATCGATGTGACACTCGAAAATTTTCTTTTCGCAAACTAAACCGGGCCTAAGAGAGTAAAAGTGCACCCTGCAGGACAGTAGAACTACTACTCAACCCTGTGAAGAAGATTGGTGCTGTTCGTTTCAAAGAAAAACCCTGTGAAGCAGTGAAGGAGAGTGAACAGGAATAACTGTAATCTGCATCCAGTAATGGCAAATCCGCCTGCTGCTGGCACTGACCGGCCCCGTCGCGGCCCTCCCCGAAGTCGTTGCGCCATCACGCTGTCTCCACGCAGGGGTTGACGCAATGCAACCACCTGCTCCCGCACCAGAAAGGCCGGCCCATTAGGTCACTCTCCACTCAGCCAAAAAAAAGGGGGAGAGAGAGAGAAGCGATGATCAGGTAGGGCGTGTGGAGTGGTCGTGTCATTTCGATCGGTTTGGCTTTGCCAAATTCGCCGCCGCGCTGATGGTGGCGGTTGGATCCGTTGCTTTCGCGGAGACGCACGAGTACTTTTGGTTGGGAGTAGGACGCAACGCGCGATGCGGTCGAGTGGATCGCGTATTCGCGCGGTATATCGCGCCGTTCCTTCCGCGACGCGCCACGGCTATGGGCTATGGCTGTCACCGTGGTTGGGACTTGGGACACGTATATACGTGTTCGCGTGAGCACCTTGGGCCGCCGCCGCTAGTTGTACTGCTCCGTCCCTGCTCGGCTCGGCTAGCTACTACCTCCGCGTCCGTCGCGAAAACGAGAGATATGCCATCGGCCGACGCGGCGGAGGCGCGGAGCCAGCCAGCAGCACGGGCCACAACTAGCCTTTCCACTCCACAACTAAGCCACTGGTCGGATTGGCAAAGCATTTTACAACTATTTATATCGAATTTGGAAGAAAAAGGTACACATGCATCCCTATGATCCACTCCCGTCGCTAGTTTCATGTATGCTCTTCTCCTCTCCGGGCGAATCCGGTGGCACTGCTCTGCATTTTCGGCGGGTATCTGTTCTCTCTTTGCAATTTCAGGAAGGGAGGGAATAACACGCGTATCCATAAAAGGGACGAGTTGCTCTGAAAACTGCTGCGAGAGCATGTCGGCAAAGCTCTAAACTCTCAACTCCTTTCCCCAAGTTGTTAGGCACGAGTGACTGAGTGGGTGGGTTATGGCGCCACCGTTTTACATAAACACGGCACGGTGATAGTCTGATAGAAGCGTATGCTAATGGAAACAATGGCCCGATAATATGTAATAATGTAAACATTATACAGGCGTGGCGTGACAGTAAAGCACAACTGCTGCTTTTACAACAGGATCCCAGTCAAAAGTCCTTCATACTTTTACCTACTAAAAAAAATGTCCTTAGCACTCGATCCAGTTGTTCATCCGTGAGCCCCGTCCACGACAGTCCAAATCAGTACTTCGTTCGTCTCAAAATATAAGCATTTTTAGAATAGTGCCAAGTCAAACTTTAAAATTTTAACTATTAATAGCGATAAATTAAGAAAGATTAATCATATAAATTTGATGTTACTATATTTATCATTAAACAAACTTCATAATATGCAACTCTTTTTATTTAAAATATTTTACTTTTATAGATATTATTGGTTAAAGTAGTATATTAGACACTATATCCAGATTTAAAAATACTTATATTTTGACACGGACGGTGTCATTGCAAGCGAATTTTTTCAACGTGATTCTGGTGCACAGTCGGGTTAACTGGTTAAGGTACTCGTACTACTAGTACTAGTAGTGCATAGTACTGCATAGTGATAGTACTAATGATTTTGCCACGCGTCGACCGCGCCGTGTCTTTGCCGCGGATGCCACCTCCCCTCCTTCGCGCGTCGTCCGCCAACTGCAAAAATCCTCCACTCCTCCACATCGACCGCCTCGATCTCTCTCTCGAAAAGCTCCCACTAAACAAAGGCGAAAACCAACCGAGAACCTGCACAAAGTACACAAGCATAATCCTAATCCCTTCCTCCTCCTAGCCCAAAAAGCAAGAATCCGCGCTTAAGTTTCTTCCTCTCTTCCCCTCCCCTCCTGCCTAGCATCAGATTCTTCTCATGTCGGTTTTTTCTCCGCCCGGTTAATCATTTCCCACCATTTCCTTTCTCTCCCGGCGCCGGTGGATCGAGCTGCAGTTTCTTTTTGGTTCTTGGCACCTACTAGGCTACTACCATTGTTGCTGTTGTCCGGTGTACATCCACAACTTCTTTGCCTGCCTGCTGTTCCTTTTAGTTTCTCCAAGCTCCTGCCAACAGCAGCACAGCCTGTGTGTCACCACTCACCAGGGAGGAGGCCCCACTCCTCCTGTCTTGTTGCTCACTCACTCTGCTGGCAGCTTCCCCTAGGTTGTCCTTTGCTTGCCCTGGGTTTGGTTCTTGGGTCCATCCATCTTCAGAGTTTTCCTTTTTGCTGAATCCTTTGATCTCGGATGGATGATGGCCGGTTCTTGATAAGCCTTGCTGCAGGTTCTCCTCCCGAGAAGATGTGGTAACATTTCTTGGCTTCTTGCGTTTTGGATTGGAGGCAAGATTGCTTGTGAGGATCTTGGTTAGCCTGAAACTTCGTTTGCTGTTCAGAATTCGGGGGGCTTTGTTGGTTCTTGGCCTCTTGCCTGTTGGTTGGGTTTGAAGGAGGCTGAAGAGAGTTTGCCAATGGAGCCACCAAGTGGGTTCTGGGCCTCCCTGGGGAGCTTCCTCAAGTTCTTGCCCTACTTCTGCGGCCTCCTCATCCTGGGGGTCATCAAAGGTGGCTTGCTGGTCTTCTGTCTCTGTCCATTTTGGTAATTTTTGAACTGATTCCATGTGTGTTAAGTCTCATTTGGGAATAATTGTGTGTGTGTGTTTTGGGGGGGGGGGGGGGGGGGAGGGCCATGAGTGCAACCATTGTGCATTTTCTTGGCCTTATGAGGTTGCTTTATGTTGGTCTCTGTTCTGCTTTTATGGATCAGATGCTTGATTCTGCTCTTTCTTGGAGCATCTAGTTAGAGATCAGCAACAATAATCATTTTACAATTTACCAACCATCGACAGGAAGCTGTTCTGACTTTAGTTGTGATAGAATCAAATTAATTTGACTTGGCTTGGAGTAGTATTTGTAAAATGAGCAGTTATTTGATCAAATTGCTGAATGGCGTGGTTTCAATTAATCATGTCAATTTAACCGTAACTATAGATATTCTATTGTTCGAAAATTTTGGCTGGATTTGCTACAATTGGTAGCTTTGCATGCATTATGATTGCTAGAAGGAAAAAATAGAAAAAAACAAATTTACATTAGTTTTTGCTGTTACCTAGTTACATGATAAAAAAAATACAATGCTGCTCTGTTGTTACCTACTTACATATCGTCAGCTATTGGCGTGTTCATCTTTGTTTTGATTATCTTAAAATTTGATGTACTATCCTCATTTCACATTATTTTTGTCTGCAAGGTATTTTGATATGCCCTTGGGCATGCCTTATTATGGCAATTGGATTATCTGCGCTAATCCTGGGCTTATGGCCCATGCATGTGATTTGGACTTACTACTGCATTATCAGGTACAGTTTGCATATTCTTCCCCTGTATTTTAGCCGTCTCATGTAATTAATCAGGATATTACTCATATTTTGTGTCCTTTTCCTTGAAGACAGAACTAAGCTGGTAGGACCTGTAGTAAAGCTTCTGCTCCTTATTGCTGCCACTGCAACCTTAATCTTATGGTTGATAGTTGGCATCCCTGGAAGCATCTTAGCTGGATTGGTGTATGGCTTTCTAGCACCGATAATGGCAACATTTGGTGCGGTTGGAAAAGGAAAAGAAAAGCCGTTTGTTCATTGTTTTGTGGTAGAATTTTTCTTTCTCCATGTTCATTTTTACAAACTTTTATTTTTCATGTGCTAATTATCTCAAATTGCAGGATGGAACGTGGAGTACTATCACTGGGAGCTGTACGATAGTCAGGGACGTGAAAGACCTGCTTTTCCACTCCTATTTTTCTATTATGGACGATCTTCGTCTTCAGGCACCTCCTGATAACAAGCCATATGAGATAAGGTATGCTTCCGGTTCTTGTTTAGTATTTTACCATCACAACTCATAATCGCCAACCTTTCTGGATCATCTTTCCTCCTCCTCTTTCCTCCTTATCTTATGGACCTAAGCTTAATATGCAAGTAACACTCTTTCTACTTGACTTAAGATAACATTCCCAAAGCCAAAAAAGCATTTCAGACATTCCTCTAAGCTTTTAAGGTGAAAGTATCCCCAAATGCTATGCCATTTTCAGGGAAACATGATGCTATACATGTAGGTGGCATTTTTATGAATAATATTTTTGTTGTGTGAGGAATTATGATATATAAAATGAGGAACATTTGTCTTACAGATTGCTCGATATTCCTGGTGCTTTATTATCTGCTGCATGTGGACTCATACTGGATGGTATAATGTTCACGCTGATTGCCATCTACAAATGCCCTGTGATGCTTTTCAAAGGATGGAAACGACTGATTCAGGATATGATTGGGAGAGAGGGACCTTTTCTGGAGACAGCTTGTGTGCCGTTCGCAGGTCTTGCTATTCTTCTCTGGCCATTTGCCGTAGTGGGAGCTGTTCTCGCCTCCATCCTATCCAGTATTCCTTTAGGCGCATTTGGTGCAGTCGTGGCTTATCAGGTATGACCATATGGCTAGACTTTCCCTTTTCAAGTATGCTGATGTCACTGTATTTTTCATGGTAACTTAAAGAAAATATTTAGCTTATGTTAGTGATGGAACTTACTCTTGTTGATATATTAGGAATCCTCCCTAAAGATGGGCTTATCTTATGTTGTCTCATCTGTGTCCATCTTTGATGAATACACAAATGATGTGCTTGACATGGCACCGGGATCTTGTTTTCCGAGGTATAACCAACCATAAGCCTTTAGTCCATATCCTAAATAATTGAAGTTTGTGGTTCTGATGTTTGAACACTTTAGGTTGAAATATAGGAAGAGAGAAGATTCTTCACATGGAGGTAGCTTATCCAGGCCAACCTCATTCAACAAAGAAAAGCAAGAGGGAAAGAAACCTCCAGCACGTGTTACATCTTTTAAGAACAGTATTGAAGACTTCAATCCATTCAAGGTGATCTTTTGGTGCTATTCATTAGCAGATCAATTTGGTAAATTGTAATGACTATGCTTATTGGTGTTGCGGTTTCTGAACCCAAATTACCTTTTGCAATGCCTGAAATAGGTCATTCGATCTTTTAACTTTCAATGATCAATGCATCCTGCAAATATTTGAACTTATGGAATATGGACATTTTAACTGAACGGTTCCACTCTGCAGTTGCTAGAACACCTATTTGTCGAATGCAAGCACCAAGGGGAGACTTTGGTTAATGAAGGAGTCATAACAATGAAAGATATCGAAGAGACAAAGTCGGGAAAAGTTGGCACTGGAGTTCTTAATGTTGGTTTACCAGCATATGTAATCCTTAATGCACTCCTTCGGTCCGCAAAAGCTAATTCTGTTGGCCTACTCTTAAGTAAGTGCAGCAAAGAAAATTGATTTTCTTCCATTGAGAGGGATGTGTTATGCCCTGACTCTGATTTTCTTTGAAAAAACTTGCAGGTGATGGCTCTGAGATTACATCTGACAATAGGCCTAAACATACACTCTATGAATGGTTCTTTGACCCTCTTTTGGTCATCAAAGAACAAATTAAAGCCGAGAATTTTACAGAAGAGGAGGAAAAATATCTCAAAATGCGAGTTTTGTTGATTGGTGGCCCTGATCGCGTCAAGGGCAGTCTTCCCGATGTGCCATCACTGGATGAGCGAAAAAAGGCCGAAATAGACGCATTTGCTCGCAGGTACTCCACTCCCCTTCACCCTCTGAATCTCTGATCCGATGCATGCCATATAACCATGATTGATGTTCCCTGATTCTTCTGCTCCTACTCTTTTGCTTCAAGACTGCAAGGGATCACAAAGTCGATATCAAGATACCCTACCGCGAAGCGACGCTTCGATATTCTTGTCAAGCAGCTCTTGTCTGAGCTTGAGAGGACGGTGGGTGGCGGTCAATCGACCAATGGGTCCCAATCTCAAAGCTTGAGAGGCGGCATTGCCAGAATGCTCAGCCAGAAGTCCATGGGGAAGGCGGCAAACGTCAGAGATGAAGATCCAGAAGCGCAAATGACAAGCCATGATCGCACTCCGTGATATAATGTTTGACAGTGCTGTTTTTTCACTTTGTACCGGACATGCTAGTGAAGAGGAACCTTTCCCTGTAATTACCAGCTACATTGTACAAATTAGTAGATTCTGCAGCTATATGAGCTAACCCTAACCATTCTTCTTTACCTAATTTTGCATGTTTTGAACACTATGTGAATGCAATTGCAATGCAACATCGCTCGTCATGATAAGGCAAACTCGCTCGCTAACCTACCTCGTCAGGATGGGACATTCTTTGCTTGTCACTTGATTTGATGCAGGTTTTGACGCGTCATGACAATTGCAACGCCTGGTTTTGCAAATACAACCAGTCCGTTAAATCCATGTTCCATGGAGTCAGGTCAGATCAGACTCTAAAAGTTTGTGAAATTTCTGTGCAGAAATTGTTACGATACCTGAAGGATAAATTACTACTATATGGTGGTGGTAACTGGGGTTTGTAAGTTACACAAAACCCGAGCTGTTGCACACTGCACTCGGTTATCAAAAATAGCCACGGTAGTAACTGGCAAAACATTTAGTTCAAGGAGCAGAAAAGCCGTGTGGTAACATGAGAATCAGCCAAGTGCATTTTTCTTTCCACTACATGGTATCAAGGCTGGTTGGGATACTAATATGCAATGCTCAAACTCCAGGGCATGCAATCAGGTGGATGAAAATAATGGAAAACCAAAGCTGTCCGTGTTTCTTCTTTCAAGTATCAAGTTCAGTCTCAGAAAATGTCCATTGGCTGGCTATCAGGAACCTCGGTGTCATCCAATTGCACGGCTTGTTTCTGCTTTGCCTTCTTGTAACTACAAGAGCCTCTGAGGATGGAGCCAAGCCCCCCTTTGCGAGATTTCTGTGATCTGAACAAATGGTAAGAAATAAAAAGAAAACGTGTCAGCGGTCTTCAACTAGAGCAAAAGACCAGAAGGTAGCCTTGTTCTTCTAAGTGATTCTCATGACAGATATATCAGGTGATTCTATAAAATTTTGGAAATCGCTATTGATAATGTGAAAAACGTTTTGAAATTTGCATCACCAAAGAACGATTTGCCACTCGATGAAGGCCCACATGTCACTGAGACAATAGCGAAAGATCCTAAACCAGTGTGCACCTCATTGGAGCAGCAAATCCTAAAGTTTCAATTTGTTGACGATCATCAACATTCAGTACCATACAATATCTGTACCTGCTCATCTACATTACTCCCTCTGTCACATAAAAAACCAACATAGTACTGGATGTGACACATCCTAGTACTATGAATCCATACATTTGTCCAGATTCGTTGTACTATAATATATCACATCTAGTCCTAGATTCACTTTTTTTGGGACGGAGGGAGTACATAAACAAAATCGAAGGAAACGTAATTCCTACACCAGACCATTCTCTTTGTAAATTAGAGAACTTACAGTGATGCATTGCCATCGTCATCAGGCTCGCCACTATCATGGGCTGCAGATGAAATACCTGTCACATCAATTAGATCACTTTCATAAGCAAGCTAGGTAGCATATCAGATGCACTGTTAGAAAATATTTCATAATTAATCACACTGAATCAGAATCCCAAGGCATATATCATGAAAAGTCTGCTCTAAACAAAGAGTACATTGCTCCTGACATTCCATATCGTAATCACCATAGCACTAAACCAGCATTACAAATATTAAATGATATTCTGAAGATACATAGAACATAATACTAGCCAAAGAAATATCAACACAGGAATTCCAAGTGAACGTACGAAAATAAATTGCAACACTAGCTGTTGTATGATCAGTTCTCTCAATAATCAAGTCTTCGTTAACTTTCTTTTAATTCATCGCTTTTGCATTTTGCATAGAACAGGGTATTTTCCAGAAGAAGTATAAGAGATAAACAAAGAGGGCATAGTTTTTTATTCCACGGTTAAACAAATGAAAAACAAAGTGCAAATGCAATCGGAGAGAATACTGGTAAGTAGCATGTTCAGTGATACTATTTCAATGAGGTTCCCACCTGAGTCAGCTGATGAGGATGCATCATCTGAAGAAGTTTCAATGGCAGCCTTTTCACTTCCGATGCCCAATTCATCATCAGAGCCATCACTGCTGGCATCATTGAAAATTGTACCAGTTCCTTTGTCTTTTTTGGATTTGCCACTGGTTTGCTCATACCTTTTTCTTGGAACTTTCCGAGCTGCTAGTCGAAATCGACTATTTTGTGGTGTGCCCTGTGTGCTGTCACTTGATGCTGGTGGGCTCATGGAAAAGCTCTTAACAAGATTTCTTATAGACTTAGAATTTGGATCTGCCTTTCCATTGCTAAACCTGTCAAAATTTTTACTCTCAGCATGGGGCTTTGTCTGAGAACTGGACTTTCTTTGTCCTTTGTCCATAAGCGCATGATCCTTATCAATTGGCAAATTACCCTGGTTATCAGAACCACTCTTGCTTTGGTTGAGCTTCTTTACTCTGCTATCACATGTGGCATCTTTTGGGTCCTGTGTCAGCATACTACTGTTCCAAATTACATTATTGTTATTCTCTTTCCTGTCATGCTCCATTCTTCCTTCCTGTGCAACAGAAAACGAAAAATCTTGTACACCATTGTCAATGTCTCGATGATCACTGTTAGGATCCACCTTCTGGGGAACTGAATTGAGCAAATCTGATTTCTTTTTTCGCTTCTTCTGCTTACCTTTCTTCACATTTCCATCTGCTATGTCCACATTTTGTGTTGAATCAGATGGCACACCAACATCACCAGGTGAATTATTAGTTGATGTAGTTTTTTCTATATGATGCGATTGTAGCAGATCATTTGGTTTGGCATTATCAGCGAGCTGAGACTGCAGATCCACTTCTCTTTTGTTACTTTCATCCTCAACTTCTCTTACAGTTTCCTCTCTGCCGTTTTCTTTGTTTTCTGCAGAAACATATTGATCATTAGTCCCTTTGGGGCTAAAATGGTCGAGGAAGTTGATTTTTTCATTTGGTTCAACAGCAACAGCAGATTTTTTAGGACTAGCTGTAATATGTTCAGCCTTGTAGTTCATCAAATCTACATCAGAACCATGATCCAAAGAGGCATTCTGACTCTGAAGTCCAGTCTTGGAAGATTTCTTCCTTCCCTTTAGAGCACTAGGGGTTAAAGTTCTGAGAGCTGTGGCATCTTCCTGAACTGCAAACGATTGTGTTGGAGCTCCTACTGCAGTGTCATTACTATGGGTCCCACTCTCACCAATGTAACTTACACATTTGCCCTGGCTGTCCTTGGCGGATTTACTATCTTCAAAATGTGCAGAAGGGTTAGCCTTTTGGACTTTAGGTGTACGAATCTTGGTAGACCTGCTTTTCTTCTGTACATTTTCAACAGTACCTGCAGGACCATCAATTACAGACCCTCCTTGAACTAAATCTGCTTTGGTAGCATTTGATCCGTTTAAGTCCTCAATAGCAACCTGGTTAACTTGCTCATCCAAAGACTGAATAGTTTTATCATTATCTGTAGGGACATGCTTTAGGGAAATCTTCTTTCTCTGACGTTTAGTGGCTTTGTTTTTGTCATCATCTTGCACTACAACATTTTCAGTTGAAATATTATTAGAAACACTTGTGTTGTCAGAAGGCCTCAAAGAAACAGATTCTCTTAGTTCTGCATTTGCATTTTCATCAGGTACACCACCTGAAAAATGAGACGAGTCATGTGCAGTTGGCAGTACTTCCAATTTTTCTCCTCTAGCCTTATTATGACTAGGTGAGCTGATGGGAGCATCAGAGTGAATTGCCGCTGGATATTTCAGAGGTAACACTGCACTAAGGGCACCTTTATCCACAGTGTTTCCATGCACTCCAAGTACATCGCTGCCCTGGTGTTTCTGTTTTGATAACTGACATTGATCCAAATCCTTACTTGTGTTATCAGTGCATCTTAAATCTGCCAATACCTCATCAATAACTTTTGCTGCTGCTACATCCAGGCTTACGTCAAACTTTGTTTGGTGACCAATTGTTCCTACTCCTGTTGTGGCCGGTGTTATTTGCTTTGGATCTAAGGGAGAAACATTTGTGTTTTGTATTGAGATTTCATTTGTAATCAATGATTTTGTCACATCATGAGTAGGACCAACATCCTTTGACGACTCTGAGTGATGTTTTGTCTTCTTCTTCTTCTTCCGCCTCCCATCACCACATGGGTTTTCTATTACATTAGGACCCTCTGATAGCATATTGCTTGAGATATGTTGATCAACAGGGTCATTAACAATCTTGCCTTGAGTAGCAAGCTTATCTGATTTGACTAAATTCTCTCCATACCCACACTGATCTTTTTCTCCAGAAATATCCAGAGACTCCATGTCAACAGAACTAACCTTTTTTGCTTTCTTGCGCTTCTTCTGTTGAGAAGTATGGCCAACTGACTGTGTCTCCTCCAAGATGCTTTTGCTGGATTTCTCCAATTTACTTGTTTCAATACCACTTTCATCATGTCTTACTTTCGTAGATTCTCCTGCACAGGCAACAAGTTCAGAAGAATTAACCATATCTCCCATGGTTGGATCTTTATAGTCCTTATGTACAAGGTCATCAATCCCTTTATCAGCAACTGAATTAGTAGTTGCCTGGGCATCACTCACAAACTGAACATGTTTAGTACCACACTGATCTTTTTCTCCAGCAATATCCAGAGACGCCATGTCAACAGAACTTACATTCTTTGTTTTCTTTCGCTTCTTCGCTACGCTTTTGCTTGTGCTGGCGCTCTCCATTTTACTTGTTTCAACAACACTTTCATCATGTCTTCCTTTTGTAGATTTTTCTGCACCGGCTACAACTTCTGAAGAATTAACCATATCTCCCATGGTTGGATCTTTGTATTCCTTATGTACAAGATCATCAATCCCTTGATCAGCAACAAGATTAGCAGTTGCCTGAGCATCACTCATCAACTGAACATGTTCAGTTCCACACTGATCAGCAATGTCCAGAGATGCCATGTCAACAGAATTAACCTTCTTTGCTTTCTTTCGCTTCCTGCCTTGAGAAGGATTGCCAGCTGACTGTATCTCCTCCAAGATGCTTTTGCTTGTGCTGGCTTTCTCCATTTTACTTGTTTCAACAGCACCTTCATCACGTCTTCCTTGTGTAGGTTTTTCTGCACCAGCTACAACTCCAGAAGAATTAGTCATATATCGAGTGATTGGTTCTTTATATGCCTTATGTACAAGATCATCAATCCCTTGATCAGAAGCCAGATCAGTAGCTCCCTGAGCACCACTCATCAACTGAACGTGCTTAGTCCCCTCACATCCACTATTGTCTCTGCTTGTCAATTCGACATTGTATGCACCATCACCTGGGAAACAAAAATAATTCAGATATTTGAGGAAATATAAGAGCATAATAAGTGTTTGAGGCAACATATACATGTATTTCAAAAATCCAATTTTGCATTCTTTGTCCAGGACGTGCATCAAAGCCAAAATTCGGACACCAAGATGCATGACTGGTAAAATCAACCATATTATACAATCTTTACGATTGAATACAAGCACAAAGGACGTCACACAGTATCCAATTTTCTTGTACCTCCAAAAAAGAAAGAAAATCCCAACCTATAATATTTCTAGCATGTCATGAAAAAGAATCCATGGGTTTTATTACCTTGCAGCTCTTGGTTGTTTTTCTGAAGCAGGACTTGACCAATGGATCCTGGTACCTCCACTGCTCCACTTGATGGTTTCACCATCTCCTGAGCAGAAACAACTTCCCTGGTAGCCTCTGGTTCACTCCTTTTCCTTTTCTTTTCCATTCCAGCAGTGCTGGAATTTTCCAGCCCAGGAAGACGACGGTTTGCAATTTGTGGTATCAGCGCAGGAATCTTAAGAACACACTTGTCCACATGAACTTCAGCTCCAGGACAACCTTCACTGGATTTTCCTCTATCCTCCATTGAAGTGTCTCTGCAACAGTGACTATCTGTCACTACCACTGTCATCTTAACATGCAGAAAGCATCCAGCCTTGATTTTGGCGAAGGCGCTCCTTATTGTCATCAAATCAGAGAGGTGATACAGTGCACCCTTCCGTCGCACCTGGTGAAAAACACACTAATTTAGAAACTTACACTATCATTTGCACCATTTCAAGATTACACATGCAAGCTATATGGTCCAATACTGTGAGGAAACATCGCGCGCTCTGACTGTCTGAATAAAAATATACATCATCCAATAATTATAAGCATGCATTCTTTTACAACAGTACCAGTTTGTGTGACACACAGTACACACATTCTAAGTTGTCACGCATTGCAATACAAAGACATTAACATCTCCATTTCGAAGTTCACATGATGGGATGGAAACAAAACAACCATCACAGAGGGAAGATTACGTGGAAGAACTACTCCTATGTCCAAACAAAACCCATGGACCTATGGTAGCAGGGTACATCGAGGGATCAGAGGAGCACAACAGTGCATCAAAGTAAATACAAATCAAATCGAGGTACCCATACTCTAAACGTTGGCAGCGTTTCTACAAACCCCATCGACTAAAACACCTGATCGCCAACAAAAACACTGATCAAAATCTCCACCGAAACATCCCTGAAACATCAACTCACCCCCCTAATATATGATAGATGTAATCAACCAAATATATGCGAAATGTAAATAACCACATAAAGCGATCCTTGAAAATAAATAGAAGTTCCCAAAGCCATGAGTTAGGGACCTGGAAGGATTTGACGGCGACGGGGCCGATGTCGGGGAAGGCGGTGGCGTGCTCCGCGGCCACCGTCGCTGCGCTCAGGACAAACACACGAAATCAGTCGAGTTTACTCGCGGGTTTGAGAAGAGGGGGAGGAAGCGAGAGAGGGGGGTCTTACACTTGAGGTCGCGCATGGTGGAGTCGCCGGCGGCGAGCAGGGCGAAGCGGGTCCCGAGGTCGGTGTCGATGAAGAGGGAAACGGGGGCCTCCCCGCTGTCGGAGTGCGCATGTGGCAGCGGCGGCGGCGGCGGCGGCGCCGAGGCGGCCATTGCGGGTGGTGCGGCCGCCGCCAGGGAGGAGGGAAGGGGAAGCGGAGAATGGTGGAGGAGACGAAGCGGCGTGGGGTTTTGGAGGGGTTGCGTTTGTTAATTGTTTATTATTTTATTTTTAGGTTAGGCCAAATTATTCAGGATCACGCTTTGAAATTCCTAAATTGCATTTCCAAGATTCGATCAGAAATAATTTAGGGATTTGCTAATATCTCGGTTGGTTCTGATGTTCAAAAATCGGAAGCGCAGTTCATAGGTAAGGAGATTTAGGAATCTATTATCTATACTATCTATACTAATGGAGGAGGAGTTGTCTCCTTACAATTCTACAGGTGAAATCAACATCTTTTCATTCCTTTCTTCAGCCGTCCGATCTATATATCTAACGGCTCGAGACGGTTGTGGGGCCACTCTGTCTTACGATGCAATGCAACGGTGGAATCAAAAACACTGATTTTCCATCCCCATCCCTACCGAGCGGACGAGCGGACGCGCTATTCTAGCGCAGAAACACCGCCTCTAAGCGCTATCCCCGCCACTGGACACAACCCGATGACACCGCTGCCGAGCCAACGCCTCCTCGCACGCTTCTGTCGCTACTATAGCACACGCTACGGAAGCCGCTACTCCTCCCACCACCTACCTGCAAATTGTGCGCTAGCTGCCGCCGTGCGCCTTCTCTCATTGCAAATCACGTCATCCCACCGCAGATCGTAGCCTCCCCCACCGGCGCCGAGGTAGGAGCGCCCTTCCTGCCGTCCTACTCCGATGTGAAAAGGATTTGCTTACCGTCCTGCACGGTGTTGTTCCTCAATCTTCGCAGTAGCGTCCTCAGTCGTTGCTGCTCCGCCGGCCGTGGTGGCGCATGCTCTTCCTTCAATCTCTCGGTTCATAACTCATGGTTCAGACTCCTTAGCCCACCGACACGCCATCCATCTCCATCTCCACCAAGAAGATGAAGGACGCTTGATTTGGCCGCCTCGCTTTGATTTGCCCGTCGATCATCTGTTGCAGGGTCAATCGTGGATACAGTACTTTTTATCTGAACAAATATTGGCCTTTTGCTTTTTTGTGTGTTGATTTTCAGTATGCATTTGTGTTTTGTCTTCAAATTATGTGGCGAATTGTAATCCATGGAAATCTCTTAAACAGTTGATAGAATTGTTGATGCTAATTCCCTTTGCGTGAGTTGCAGGTGTTCAGCAAAATCCTGCTTAGGTACTGTCTCTTGCAAGCAATTTGATCCATTGTGTTCTCCTTTCTTCACGAATTCAGGGCACAGTCCAGTTTGCTGACACTAAACACTTCAATGTTATACATAGTTCATACTCTTTCTCTGCAGGTAAACAAAAATTCTGATTATAGTCTATAGGAGATGTGAAACTTATTTTCATCACCCACAACATAATTTAATAATGTAGAAGAACAGAGTTATAACCTTGTAATCAGCTGATTTCTCATTGCATGCATGCAAAATATCATCACCTGATCAATCCCGAGATAATCAGTAATCATATTGATCGATCAATGTGCTCATGTATATATGCAGGTGGTCACTTATTTCTACCTTTCTGTCTACTACAATGGATAGCGCCACTGGAAGCTCCACACCAAATCCAGTGGAATGAACAGGTAATGACAAGTTCACGTTTCTATAGTTGGCACATTCACGTTTGCAAAGCCCTAAATTTCAATATGTATAAATCAGCCTCTCCATTTTTTTTATTTATTTCAACATACCTGTGTGTGTTTCCGAATAATTGTGTCAAGTCCTGACTAATATGTTGCCGCATACTGTCCTTTACTGATAACCTCGCTAGCAGGCCTCCAGCGTTGTTTCCAGGTGAAGTGATTTATCTGCCACCAGCAGTCAACACCTTCGTTTGTTTCATGCCTTGTGATAATCTGTGCCTCAGAAATCCTCCACTTCGCCCTACTATTATGTCAGGTATGCAGTTTCTTTTGCATATGGATATACATATATTACATTATCGAATTATGCACGATACTATATTTTTATTAAAAAAAAATAAAATTGTACATGCCAGTCAGGAAGTTCGGGTATCACTATGTACTCCTTCAACCAATGAAGATCACATCATGGTGTTTCAGATTTTGTTCGAGTATGGAGAAATTATACATAGCTTTTTTTGTATTGTAGCAATTAATGTTCAGATTTGCTTAGTAAAATGCTAGCATGCATGGTCAGAATTTTTATGTCATGCATGCAAGTATTAAATCTCTTTTTCTTCCCTTACTTAATAAAACTACAAATTAGGTTTGTAAACTATTTCTGGTATATAACAATAAGAAAAACCGTGATATCAAAAAGTATCTTTGTAATTCTATTAGGCATCTAAATATACTGGCTTACTTCTGTTGTTTATAATGCAGGTTGACATTGTAGACAACAACTGAACATTTTGCTAAAATCTTGTCATGGTTCACCATGGCATTTCACTGTTAGGTACACTGTTTTTAAGAGCTATTACTACAGTATATATTGGACTATTGAGGTAAAATTCATGTTTAAGCTTATTAACAGCATTCTTAGTTACCCGTTATTGTTTGGTCTTTCTCATAAGATTTCATAGTGAGCATTTGTGTAGTCAGAAATGATAAGATACATTATTTTGCTTTTTTTCTTTCTTGGAGAATACTCGACCCCTTGCTCCATATATACATCATGATGACGTCCAATTATGTGTTGCTCAATCCTGAAGAGAAAACCGACAAGACAATTGTGCAGGTATACATGCTTTTGCCAACTATGTGTTTGATAATTAGTCATGTCATGGTATAAGTCATTTCTTTGGCACATATACCAGCAGAAATGCAGGTGTTGCTGCTAAGTAACATCAGGGGTGCTAGAGCTTAGTCAAGATGCCTGGTGGCGGAGCTGATGATTTGGAGGCTTGGAGCAAACATATAGCGTGCTGACGATGACCCTGTATGCATGATTCCTATTGAGTAAATTTCTCTTTGGACAACCTTTTAGTATCGATGTTTCGCTTTGAACCACTCTTTAAGAGATAATCCATGAAATGAGATGTTTCACTTTCGACCAGGTACCAGGTAATTTTACCTTTGTGGCATTTTAGAATACCCTCAACTTTTTCAACCACCTAATCCAACTTGTCATATGTCAAAAGAATTGGTCTATATATTGCTGTGGGAGTTCATTGATAAATAGGAGCCAACGTACTTAAAATCTTTCATATATGTTAAAAGAGAATCGGGTAATCAAAAGTGGAACAAATGCAAGATTACCCAGTCCAAAGCAAAAACGTTAATTAAAGGGTGGTCCAAAACAAAACAATGGTGATAAAAATGATTGAAAGTGAAATTTACTCTATATTTTATTCTCTCCTATTATAAATGTTAAAAAAAACGTGCCTTGCACGTGCACGATTACTAGTATTATTAAAGGAATAGAAAAAGGAGCCTCCACGTTTGCTCACATGGCCTAGAAATTCTCACATTAATCGAAGAAAAAGAAAAAGCAGAGTCCCTATAGAAATACAATTTAGAAATAGTTGAAATTCGGAATTAAAAAATAAGGAATATTAGAAGAGGACACTAGAGTCCATATAGAAATACAATTAGGAAATAACTGAAATTCGGAATTAAAAATCGGAATATTAGAAGTAGAGCATAGAGTCCATATAGAAATACAATTAAGAAAAAAAATAGAAATCCGGAATTAAAAAATAAGGAATATTAGAAGTAGATTATAGAGTCCATATAGGAATTTAAAACTAACTAAAATTCGGAATAAACATAACAAAATTAAAAGTAGAGTTTTGAGTCCGTATAAAAATATAATTTACAAATAACTAAAATTCGAAATTAAGAAAAACATGGGAAGAAGAGTTTAAAGTCAATATAGGAGATACAATTTAGAAGTAACTGAAATTCAAAATTAAAAATTGCAATTAAAAATTAAAGAATATGGAGAGATGAGTTTAGAGTCCACGTAGAAATACAATTAGAAATAATAAAAATTTAGAAATAAAAATAAATAATATTGGAAGAAGAGCCTAGAGTCTATATAGAAATACAATTTATAGAAAATTCGGAATTAAAAAAAATAAAAGACGAGTCTAGAGACCATATAGGAATATATATTATTTACAAATAACTAAAATTTGATATTAAAAATAATTAATAACTAACACGTATATAAAATACAATATGAATATTACACATTTGTAGTTTCGTAAAGTTATTGCAAAATTTAAAATTTTGATGTCATTCTAAAAAAATTGAATAATATAATGAGAAAACATATATACTATTATATGAGAGAAAATATAATGATGCTTGCTGCGAAATCTGCGCGGGGCACCACGTTCGCTGTGGAGGATAGAAATTCCCACATTAGTTGGAAAAAAAGAAAAAGAAAAGAAGAATCCAAGTAGAAGTACAATTTAAAAACAGCTGAAATTCGGAATTAAAAGTAAGCAATATTGAAAGAAGTTTCCATATAAGAACCCAATATGAGATTAATCAAAATTCGAAATAAAAATAAAGTAAAATCCAAAATTAGAAAAGGAAATGAGAGTCCAAGTAGGAATACAATTTAAAAATAGCTGAAATTAGGAAATAAAAATAAGGAATATTAAAAGAATAGTCCATATAAGAACCCAACATGAGATTAATTAAATTCGGAATAAAAATAAATAAATCTGAAATTAGCAAAAGAAAATAAAAGAAGAGTTCAGGTAGGAATACAATATAAATTAGCTGAAATTCGGAATTAAAATTAAGCAATATTGAAAGAAGAATCCATATAAGAACCCAATATGAGATTAATTAAAATTTAGAATAATAAAATAATATAATATCCAAAATTAGAAAAAATAAAAGAGAGTTCAAGCAGAAATACAATTTTGAAATAACTAAAATTGAAAATAAAAAATAAAAACATTAAAAGAACACAATATGGTATTAACTATTTTTTAAAAAAAATTCTGAAATTAGATAAAGAAAAATATAGGAATACAATTTATAAATAACTAAAATTTGTGATAAAAATAAAGATTGTTGAAAGAAAAGACCATTTAAAACACATGATGAGATAAATTAAGTAATAGGCATATAAAGGAGTAGAGTGGTGGCAGTTGATACGACATATAAAAAGTGTTAATAAAACACCAAATAGAATCCTAATAATGATTAAAAGGAGGGACATCAGGCAGGCCGTGAAGCAAACAAGTAAGGCGGTTGCCGGGACTTCTAAAAAGTAAAGAAAATAAATCTCATTGATAATCATATTCAATTTTTAAAATCTCAGTGACAATAAAAAGGAGAAGCAGCGGGCGGGGTGTATAAGAGTATAGTTGCAGAGCCAGGACTTCTAGAAAATAAAAAATAAATTCCAACGATAGTTATGTTCAATTTTTAGAATCACAATGACAACAAAGAGTAGGCGGCGGGCGGGCTGTAGAGGGGCATAGTGGCATCATTTGATGGGACTTCTAAAAATTATAAAAATTAAAACTACAAGTCCAATTTTTAAAGGTTCGGAACTTCTAAAAAGTAAAAAAAAACAACGATAATTATGTTCGATTTTAAAATCTCAATGACAATATAGAAGGGAAGTAGCGAGTGAGCCGTAGAGGAGTACAATGGCAAAGTCACTTACGGTTTGACGGGACTTCTAGAAAGTAAAAATGAAACCAAACGATAATTATATTCATTTTTTAAAATCTCAATGACAATAATGAGTAGAGACAGTGGACGGACCGTATAGAAGTATAATGACAACGTTTGACAGGATATCTAGAAATTATAAAAATAAAACCTAATGTAACAATAAACTCTAAAAACTATAAAATCCAATTTTTAAAGGTGTGGTAGATCGAGCAAGCAAATAAAGGAGATGACATAAGGGGTAATAACTTGTGTGACTTTTAAAAACTATATAATTATAAACACAAGGATGATAAGGTTTGGTCTTTCAAAGTCTTAAGACAATAAGATAGCTATTTAATAAATTTTAAGTAAAATCATATCATACTTAAAAAAGTATATGATTTTGTTTGGGTGCTAGCCGCGCAATTGCGCGGGCCACCCGCTAGTTTTCTATTAAGGCAAATTGCACTTTCCATCCGGTAAAATGCATCTGGTTTCTCTTGGCACCAGTTTAACACATGCTTCCACTTTACATTAGGGTATATTAAAATAAGCTTCGTACTAAGTTCTGTCATACAATTGAAGAAAAAAAAGTAAAATATGAGTAGAACATATGACACTTTTTGAATCTATACCATGTTTCATAACGTTTCTTTCAGAATTATGAAACTTTTATTGGTTTGATGATATATCATAATGTTAAGTGAAACTTTTTGAAAGAAAACCTATGCTCTGTTCGTTCTGGGGAGACAGGGGAGATTGATTCTCGTTTTCCGCGTGTACGCTTTTCAAACTACTAAACGGTGCGTTTTTTGTAAAAAATTTCTATAGGAAAGTTGCTTTAAAAAATCATATTAATCCATTTTTAAAATTTAAAATAGTTAATACTCAATTAATCATGAGCTAATGGCTCATCTCGTTTTGCTTATCTCCCCAATCTCCTCAATCCCCTTCCCCTCAAACACACCCCTAGTTATGCAATATAAAGTGAAAGATATACTTAATTTGGTACAGAGCAAAACACAATGCGTTTTATCTGGTGTAAATACTCCATATGAGTTACTAGTATGTATACAAACTTTCACTTGGAACTTGAGAATAAAATATCTTGTTCCGAAAAAAAAAAACTCTAATAGGGAAACTTTTCGTTGTAGTAAAACTTTATTGGAGGCTATGATTTTAATTCCATTGAAAATCACTTTCAACCAAAAATGCTAAAAGGAAAAGAGAAGAATTAGCCCATCTGGCCCATGTAGTTCGTTGCCCGAGATGGAATGGAATGGAAAACGGAAATTGTATAGGATTCCTTTTTGAGATGTTGTCACGGGAGAATAAAACTAAAAAAAATCCGCCCAAATGCCCAATTGCATTTCCAACAAGTCCAGCCTCGCCAAAGGAGGAGCTGCCATGAGAAAGGAGGATAACATGCCATCAGAAAGGGCATGTTTAGCATTTATCATTTGCTAGTATAGGGTAGCAAATTTTGTCAAAAAGTGTTTCGATACCACGCGCTCTCTCTAGTGCTAAAATGGCAAAATCTTAGAATGCATCTAAACACCAACTCCATACCAAATCTTTTGCCACCAAAACTTTTGCCATTTGTCATTCCAAATGGATATAAACAGGTTGGAACTTACGATGCTTCCCTGCAAGTATACATCTTCAATACATCTTCACAGTGCAAAGTTAGTAGCAGTCGTTTGCCCTGTTCTAAAGACCGCTTAGCTATTTCTGTTTTTTAAACTGCTAAATAGTCCGTACGAAAGTTTTCTATATAGAAGATGTTTCAAAAAATTAAATAATATTTTTTTAAGTTTTCAATAATTAATACTTATGGTAATCGTGTTTTTTTAAGTGCAGCTAATCAGTTTTTTTCTTTTTTGGACATTGCAGCTAATCAGTTAAAACCATTCGTAAAATAACCCCCCTAAAGCTGAAAAGGCAATATATCCGTAGAATCACGGCTGTCTCAACAAGGAAGGTAAACAAATTGCAGTTGCAGAGTCAGGTTAATCCTTCCAACAATCTGCTCGCTTTCTCGCAAAGAACACCATACTTTGTGGAGTCTCAGTTGCTCTATATTAGCAGAAGGCAAAGCCTTTTTCCCGCGCTTTATTAACCAGGCCAGATCGAGTTCGTGTCACATGGTCTTAAACTCTTCAATCTTAGTACATCAAACCAGACACACTGTTTAACCATCAGCTCATCATCACCTTACTCATGAGAAGAACTAATCCAGAGATACGGGGTAAATCAAACGCCCAATGTTTCGGAAGCTGCAGAGGAGAAGAAGTAGAGAGTACTATCGCTCAGATTCTTTGGTGCTGGTTCGTCACTGCGTCTTCTTCCTGGCGTCCTTGGCCATGCCCCTCTTGCGGATGCCGACGGACATGTTGAGGAGGAGCCTGTCCACGATGGGCTCCGGGAACGCGGAGATGAGGAACCACAGCACCGCGTGCGGCCAGTAGGGCGTGCACCTCGGCTCGTACCCGATGTAGCGCACGGCGGCGCGGGCGTACGTCTCCGGCGACGGCGCGAAGAAGGACGCCTTCTTGATGGACGCCATCTTCGTCGCCGCGTACAGGGGTACCTGATTATGAGTTGCGCATAAAAAAAAAAACCATCCAAGTCAGTCGGTGCTCGTTTCTATGAAAATTAACTTAGGGCACCCAAAAAAAACCATTAACGCGTAATTAATTGAATTGAAGATGGATTTATATGATATTTTAAATCAACTTATACATATAGAAAGTTTTCATAAAATGCACAATAGTTTAAAAAACGTTCTAACAAAAACTAAGATAAAATATGTATCTTAATTAGAAAAGAAAGAGACAAAGATTCTGATGCGGCAGCTAAGACAATCTTGATAAACGCCGAACAGCTGACACACATAAATGGTGCCAGATAACGACGTTCCCAACAGCGACAGCGAGGATGTAAGTAATGGAAAATGAAAAACAGGTAGAGGTCGGCCAACAGATTTGTTTTAAATAGGGCTATATGGAATTCTCCTATCCTCCTAATGCTTCGCTGCATGTTATGCCCATTAATTTTCCACATGCACTGTTTGCCTGCCTTAGGAGCAGTTGGAAGAATTGAAAGCACGGTAGAAGTGCATTTAGCTTTCAGCCATGAAGGTTTCAGTTTCTTGTTGGGGCGTTATGTCATCATCGCCATGGCCATCCAGCAGATCGCGGAAGTACCCAATGTAGTACAAGTTTTTTTTTTTTAGGACAGCATGGCAAAACCATGTTCATGTTGAAAGGACATTTCTTGGATTACTGTATAATTCAGGTGATCACTGACCATATAAAAACTTCTACTCCATAGCCCATAAACAAAAATGTAATGATTGCAATAACGGCTTCGTGCAACATATGAAAAAAAAAATGGATAGCAGACAACCGGGAACAATTAGAGAAATTCATGCATCGTCAGGAATGGCTATTTCGTACCTGGCATTGCACATCGATGCCTTTGTTCTTGTACTCAACATAGAGGCATCTCGAGAATTGATCAACATACCTGAAAAGATTGAAAACAGAGTTGCATGAATCACTTAAGCCCACATATGACCCTATGTTGAGTTGAATTCAGTTATATCCAGTTGTAGCTGGATGTCACACAATTGTGCTGCGGAAAATATCTATGCAAAGATTAACCAATGACCACATCACAAAGCATGAATTCCACATTCCACTAGTGAAACATATAAAAAGCGTGCAAGAAAGAGAACCTTGTGGATAGCTAAATATATGTGTTGCTTGCCAAAGTAAAACATTAAACAACATAAACATGCTGTCGTATACATTATCAAACACAGAGCAAATGATCAAGCAACTACGTTTTGAGTTCAATTTTCACAAAACTGCTGGAATACTTGAATATGGCCCTGTTTAGTTCCCAGAAACTTTTTCCCAAAAACATCACATCAAATCTTTGGACACATGCATGGAGTATTAAATATAAATAAATTAAAAAACTAATTGCACACTTAGGGGAGAAATCGCGAGACGAATCTTTTGAGCCTAATTAGTCCGTGATTAGCCATAAATGCTACATTAACCTACATTAGCTAATGACGGATTAATTAGGCTCAAAAGATTCGTCTCGCGGTTTCCAGACGAGTTATGAAATTAGTTTTTTCATTTGTGTCCGAAAACCCTTTCCGACATCCGGTCAAACGTGCGATGTGACACCCAAAAATTTTCTTTTCGCGAACTACACAGGCCCTATATACATAATCCTACACCCTCCAACAAGTTCTCCATCTACATATAAACCCCCAGGAGAAACCTCAGTGCTCTATTCTAGGCTTCTAGCTGAAAACCCCTGAAAATGTTGGTGGACATTTGTATCCACATGACCACTAACTCTCGATCAATAAACCCAAATCACAATATGGAAGCATAATTTTATACTAGTAGTATATAATCAAGTATGAATTTAATTGACTCTAACTGTGCCAGTCCCCATTTCCGTGGTCCATGCCAGAACAACTGATCTGAGAGAGCACAAAAACTAAAAAGCTTGTACCAAAAATCTCACTGAAAGCATAAAATAATTTTCTGCCTCGTCTATGTAGTAGTAGTAAGCAAGAACACGCAGAGAAAAATCGTTACTGATGAAGAGTTGAAAGGTGAAGAAGTGAGAAGCACTCACGCCTTGGTGGCGGCGTAGACGCTGTAGAGCGGGTAGGACGGCAGGATGGAGGAGGCGCCGGAGCCGATGTTGACGATGGCGCCGCGCTTGCGCTCCACCATGCCTGGGAGCACGGCGTGGGTGACCCGGGTGAGCGCCTCGACGTTGAGGCGGATGAGGTTGCGCATCAGCTCCTCGTCCACCTCGTGGAAGTAGCGCGCGTACGGGTACGACATGCCGGCGCTGTTGACGAGCACGCCGACGTCGAGCCCGCGGATGGAGTCCCCGAGCGCGGCCACCTTGGCGGCGAGGCCCTCGGCGGCGAAGTCGAGCACGAAGGTGCGGACCTCGGCCCTGGGGTGCTTCCCCCTGATCTCCCCGGAGACCGCGGCCAGCTTGTCGGGGCTGCGGCCCACGAGCACGAGGCTCATCCCGGCGCCCGCGAAGCGGAACGCGAGCGCGCGGCCGATGCCGTCCGTGGCGCCCGTGACGACCGCCCACTCGCCGTACCGGCGGCGCAGGGGCTTCCCCGGGCGGAGGAACGCCGCGTAGAGCCACCGCGCGAGGCGCGCCGAGGCGGTCGCGGCCACCATGAGGCCCACCCCGGCCAGCGCCAGCGCCCACGCCGGCTGCGCGGACAGCGCGTCCATTTCTGGAGACGGGGCGGGCAGCGGCGGAGACCGCGGCGAAGGCGGCGGCGGCGGCGGCGGCGAGGAGAGTGGCGAGCGTGTGCGAGTTGCGATGGAGGCAAGCGCGATCCGTTCAACTGCAGATATAATAGCGCGGGCGGGGAGAGAGAGAGGAGGGGACGGATGGGGGGCGGGCCGGGCTGGCAAGCGGCCTGCATCGCCGGGGGGAGAGTTGGGTGGGGTTGGCGTGCCACCTCGGCTGGATGAACACGCCACCGTGGAACGGCTCAAGAAAAATATTTTTTAAAAAAAAAGGTAAAAACGCATAGGCTTCATCCTACCGCTATGAATTTCTCTGAAAGACTTTGCCATTAAGGTTCATAAAGTCATTCTATCGCATCTCTGAAAAACTAAGTCGATATATATTAAGATTCACAAAGTTATATGAACGTCTCGTTGCCAACAAGTATGTTGCCTATCACTAAAAAATAGTTAGTCGTAAATACGAGCACATATGTTAAGTCTAAGACTTAAACCCGTGTGGACCACAAGGAAGCTAACCAATTGAGTTATGCTCACTTTGTGACTAAAGAAAAATATGGGTGAGAAACTGGGAACCAAGGAACTTAAAAAGTACAGGCATGGTTGATAGCAACTGTGATAGCCGCTCGTGAATCATGGTAATGGAGTTGATTTCCATTTAAAAGAAATTAAATTAAGTTACCATTTCATCTATAACGGTTAGATTAATATGCTTAGTGATGAAACCATCGGAGAGGGGTTTATTTAATAAATGGTTTTTATAACCCTATGGAGAACATGCGAATTCAATTATATTTTTTACACTCTCCAATGATTCTATAACCCTACAATTTTTACAGAGGATAAATTCATTTCGTACGGAGGAGAACAACTGCTTGCTCTAAAGTCTAAACTCTGCAGCCATGAGCACCTTGCCTCACCTTCACCTTGGGTGCACGTACCGTTCAATTTCGGTGCCAACGGCACATTAGGTGCCATGAACACATTAGGTTGCATGTATGGTTCACCGGAGGCGTGGTGAACCGGGACCAGCAGGGGTTGGGCCGTTGGGCGGACAGGTGGTGCAGTTATGGTTGTTGAGGTTTGATGAGCTGAAGTAAATGGTGTGGTCAAAGTCCCACACAGATGACGGGCACGGCAGGATATTAAAAGCCCCCCCGCCTGATTTCTACTCCTCTCCTCGCACACCACACAATCAACCATCGCACATCGCAGCGCACACAAAACGCACCGCACGCACGCGAGCTCAGCTTCTTTTCGTGCGAACAAAACGGGAGCTCGCTGTTGGTGAGGTGAAGCGCGTACTCGCTTCGTTATTGTGGTTAGCTGTCGCTGGACGATCGGTTGCTCGCCCACCACCACCCGCTCACCACCATCACGGTTGCATCACCTCACCGCAGGTAGTATAGTACCCATCACTGGAGCAGTGGCGCCATGGGCCACCGTACAAAGGTACAAGATGGACGTTTCGACCTAAGAACAGTAGCACGAGCGTATGGGGAGAAAACTTGATCGATATACTCTTTTTTTTTTTCTGGAACAAGATCGATATACTCGAGAAGAAAAAAACAATATGTGTACAGAAGAGTACTCCCTCCGTTTCAACCATAAAACGTTTTAACCTTCGTCAAACTCAAATTGATTTAAGTTTGATCAAGTTTATAGAAAAAAATAGCAACATTTTTCACCCAAGACAAATTTATTATGAAAATATATTCGATTATTGATTTGATGACACTAATTTAGTATTATAAATATTACTATATTTATCTATAAATTTAGTCAAACTTAAAATAGTTTGTCTATAAACGTCTGGTAACCTGAAACGGATGGAGTGAATTTACACCGCACCCAGATACTGTTAGGGTGTACCGTGTTACATCGCAGGCTGTGAACACTGAACAGTAGAGAACTCAAAACTTGTACGTAGTAACGAATTTCCGATGAATAGAACTGTGTACAATCTCTCCATGAATGCTTCCGAGGAATCGCAAATACAGTACGTTGGAAAATTTTAACCATGGATTAAGCCAACCTACACAGGTAGTTATAGGCACCTCGTGTGGATTAATCGATCGAGCTGACCAATGGCTCAGAAAGGAAAAAATCCCAGATGGCTTAAAGCATTGGCCTAAACCACTCTCTATTTCGATATTTCGAACCAAAGCTATCTCATGCCACTCTTCTGCTTGCTTTTCCTCGTGTCTTTCTTGGAACTAGTGGAAGCACTAGCCTCTTCCTCAGCTTTCTGTTCAGCCTCGAGCACAGCCAGCTGAAGAGGGCGTGTAAGAGTCAGTTAATATGTACCAAGTCAGAAATACCGTTTTGTCTCAAAGGGGACACAACATGACAATTTTACCTCGTCGAGTATGGGTTTCAGTTCCTTATATCGAGTTTCGGCAAGATCAAAACCATCTTTGCGGAGCTCCTGGCATTGGATGAGCACGAATAAATACAGCAAACTCATACTGCCAGCAACCTAGAGAATATGATAACAGGTATGACGGGTGAAGATACTTAAGGAGCAGAAACTAACCTTTCCAGTGTGTTGAGTGTGCTCATATGCAGCCATCTGCCAGTACATATCCGTTCTCTTGTAGAAATCTTTTAGTGACTCTCCTGGCTTTAAAAGTGTGAATATGGGAATTAGTGATATATGGTTTTAATTGTTAACTGTGTGTAACAAATTATCAGCCAAGAGTTCCTCTGAGTAAACAAAGTATATGTACTTTGTCGGAACAACTTCAAACAAATTTAGAACAAAAAAAATGTTGATTACAACATCACCATTGGAGTCCTTTGAGAATCAGAAAGACCGAGCATAACCCGAATTTGCTCTATCCGAGCACGCTTCTCTTTTCTTCGCAAGTTCTTACGTTCACCCTTTATTAGCGATACAGCAGTGGACATATCGACATTCTTCTCGGCATCTTCATCAGACTATGAAAACAGTTTTAGGATTACAGATTAATAACCACACAGTATGATTGAGAGGAAATGAAAGATACACAATAGCTATAAATCTCAGAAGGATGCCATGAGAACCATGGACTTCATATTAACGTATACAGTATCCGTAATAGAAGATGAACCATCATGCAGTATTTTGGTCAAACACCAAGATTCAACTAGAAACAAACAGGCCAGAGACAGGATGTTTGGTTTGTGGCAGAATTGTGGGACACATCAAGTCAACATTATCTTCCCCATTTTCTTAAAAAACATTTTTTGAAAATCTGTTCTAATTTGTAGAGAAAATGTAAACGTGCCTAAATCAGATATAAAGTCCTCGCCCACGCGAACTTAGAAAGATTCTATCTAGTACAGCCATTAATCATGAACTTAGCAAGATATAAATCCCAAAAATGTGTGACCAAACCTAAAATAATTTTGCATACCTCTTCATCATCTTCATCGGTCTGATTAGCGTCATCCTCGCTATCATTCTCATTATCATCATCATCATCATCTTCATCATCCTCATCTTCAGAAATTTCTAGCCATTCAGATTCAGATGCCTGCATAAGAAAGGTGAGTAAGGCAAGTTCAGAAACCAATGTGAATAGTAAAAAATGATAACAGATAATTTTCTGTTATCTCTGATTGAAATAAACAACACTATCAGTTAAACAACAAAATGGCAAAAAGAAGGGGCCAATCTGCAACTGACCGGTATGATACACTTCCACTCATCTAGTTTGCTAAGGTTAAGTGAATACATATCATCAAGAGTAATTTCTCTATCTTTCAATTCCATCATTCCTCCATATAAATAGAGTGTATCTTTCCCTACAGCCAAGCATGCATTGATCCGACCACCGGGTTTCACTGCCTGTAAGCAGCAAATGCTAATGAGAAACAAAAGATCATTAGAATGTAAATGTCAACATCTAAAAGAACAGCTGCAATACCTCTGGGAGTACTTCTTGTGTTGTCGAATCAGAGAGAATATCAGAGCTATTGCCTGAGCCAGCTTTATTTAAGGTTAGACTCTTGGTCAAGTGATTCGAAACCCCATGGACTTCGGATTGCCCTCCAGTAGTTTCTGAGTCCTCCATGATCTCATCCTCCTCATTACCAAGATTATCTTCCACATTGTTCGATGGTTCTTTTCTTTTGATGTCCTTTGTCTACACATGGCACCCAAAAAAAAAAAAAGAAGCACAAACTGCTTTTAAGCAATGATCCAAATATTACTATATAATAGTCAATGTGAATATGTCGACAGATCGCATATGCTTATTAAGAAAATAACAGTATAATAGTATATGAGAATATGTACATATCGTATATGCTTATTAAAAAGAAAAACAGGCATACCCTATACTACATGCTTAGTCTTTATGTCTGAACTAATGAAATAGATTCCTGCAGAGTAGACTGTGTATCAAGTACCTAAAAAATACAAACTGTAAACATGAGATGGCTGGTCATATGATTGAATTCGAGGAATCACCTTATTTTTAGCAGGCTTGTCTTTCCTGAGCTCTAAAGGATACCTGAAACAGCAAGGAAAATAATCTGAACATAGACACACAAAAATGAAGCTAAATAAGAAAGCATAACATTTCTCATCTATGCACCAGTGTGGACAATTGAAATTGGAGAATATGTGAGCCGTGGACCAGTAGTTTCAACCAAAATGAACATCGCTGAACAATTCCGCTGAAGTAAACAATAATATGCTACGAAGGGATCCCAAGAGTAAACAATAATATCACTGAACAATTCTCAAAGTAGTTATGTTATCTAGATAACCACAAGATTACAAACAAAGTTCATCCTAAGACGATAGATGAACATAACCATCAATCAGCCGAGAAAGATTTAGACCTTTAATAATTTTAAACCTAGTTAGAAGCAGTTTGCATATCGGAATAGGAAGTGACATTAGTTAGCTGCACTGTTAAATAATAATAAAGAAAGTTGCAACAATACACAAAAATAGCAAGGAACAAAATAAGCAGGGATAAAACTAGCCTGTGTTACTTAAAAACACAAGATACTCAAATGGAGTATTGAAGTATACCAGCGATGGTTGTCCAGCTGGAAACCATAGAGCTCATTCATAAACATGCTCATAATGACATCCCCTGCAATCACAAAATTGGGTTCTACAGTTAGGCCTTGAGAACTTCTACAGAAAAGGAACAAACTTGACACGCGTGGTATTTCAAATACTTAGTAAAATAACCTAAGTAGCTATGCACAGAGCAAAATTGAGCTGAAAATAACCTTCAATTTCCATATCTACCACACCACCGAAAAGAACAGCCCTTTTCTTGTGAACGCACATAGAAAACCCAGCTCTGGGGCCAGGTGGCATCCCAGTTTTCTTAACCTATTAAGAAATCAAGTGAAGGTAATAATATGCAAATCACTCAGTGGATATATGGCTTAAAGTAAAACTCGATACACTATCATGATGGAAGTTGATACAATGTTCTAAAAAATTGCAAGAGATCACCTTATTCCACTCCCAAGTACGAGGATCAAGAGTCCACATATCTGCATGAACTGTTCCTTTTTCTGATGCAGATTTGTCAGAAGAAACTACTTCTTTAAAATATCCGCCATACAGATATATCTACAGAAATAAGGGCCATTAATACTCTTGTAAACAAAAGTAGTCGAAGACAAGGTTGGTTTATAGTTAATTTAAACTCTTTTTATGAAGTATCAATGTCCTAGCTTTAAATCCAAAAAGACCTACCTGATCTTGGTATACCATTAGCTGAAAGCCACTTCTTGGACTTGGCCACAAGCACCCAGGGCGAGGCTTGATCTCCTCCCACTGAAATACAAATATTCCCAGTAAGAGTATTAAAATAAATGACTTCATGTGTTACTACTAACAGTATTAAACAAAATATTAACATGGTGTACTCACCTTGAAATTATCTAAATCAAAAACATGTAAGTCATTGTAGTATCTGCAGAAGGATATTATAAAAAAAATGCAGATCAGATCATGTCATGTCACACTATTTATTCAGAACGTACTCTACGCCACACCATTTCATTCTTTGCGGATGATCAGCTGTAAGAGTGCTACACTGTTATTCAGGTAGTGCATAATTTGTAGTTTGGACATAATGACTCCACTACTTCTAGACATGGTCCAAATATAAATGTTACTCTAATAACAAGATTACCAGGGTAGAGTCATATAAAATGTAACTGTACTAACCTCACTTCCCTAAGAGTGTCATAAAAACCACCAAATAGCACGATCTTGTGCTTATAGAGGACCTGTAGGAAAAAGAACACAATTTACTACTGCTCATAATACAGAAATATTAAGGTGAAAAGAGGGGAGCAGAATAGTTGATGACTGATTTTAATGTAAAACCACTAACCATCCTGTGCCCTGAACGTGCACTTGGACAACCCTTCGCAAGAATTTGCTCCCATTGATTTGTTTTTAGATCCAATGACCAAAAGTCCTACAGTACAAAATCAGACCAGAAATTTGAATAGAACCATAATAATGAGTTTTCCATCTAAGATAGCTAATCTCGAAATAACCCCATTAATATCACAACAGAAAGGAAAAAAAAAGGCAATCAGGAATAAAAAGTGATGTTATATGTGCAAATCCAAATAAAAGGGCAGGTGAACCCCGCATCCTCTACATCTTAATCTTAAATCAATAAATAGCAGAAGAACTGCACATATTAGTCTCCATTAGTCATATTTCAACTTATAATTATGTAAGAACATGGGAATCAGTACCTATCTCTTGGTTTAAAATTGAAAAAAAATCATGCCAGATATGTATTGCTTATGAAGCTACTGCTTATATACGAATTGTGCAAATGCCTTGTGCCAAGAGAAGATACTCAAAACAGTCACAAGAAATAGACTGACAAAATTAGTCTTCTACCTTGTAATGATGAAAACGTTCTTGGTTTGGCGAAGTGAATTCCCCACCTGAAACATCAACACAGAATAAAAAACTAAATCATACATACTGAAAAAGCATTTTAACTCATAGAATGCCTTCCCAAAGTTAAGTTATGTTACCAAACATGTATATATTATTCTTCCAGGCAACTGTTTGGTGAGCACTTCGTGGAGGAGGACTGTTAGGACTAGATACCAACTTCCACTCATTTTTCTCTACATCGTAGCGATAAAGATCACCATAAACAAAGGTCTGCAGAAATAGATTGTGGCGAGGAAAAGAAATACTATTTCAGTACTCAAAAACCTCTAGAAGCAGAATAGAGGCAAAAAGAACACTAGATGAACATATCTCATTCAACCAGCAGTGAAATCGTGAAGGATATGTCTCCCACCTTGCTGCCATTGTAGAACTCTCCTCCATACAGAACCAATTCTGTATCTTTCAGGGGATTTATTGTAAGCTGCATTTAAGAAGGAATTAACTTGGTCAGCTGGAAGATCATATGCAGGTTTATTTGTTATAGTTAACATTTAGAGGGAGGATCTCTGTACAACATCAAAAACTTTTTCCAACAGTTAACAAAAAAAAAAACAAAACGAACATCTATCTTTTAACACATTTTGCCCCTGAATTGTAATTTGACATCACCTATCCGGAACTGAAAAACCAATCGGTTCAGTATCACCAAAAGATCATCATATTTGATCAAATTACTTCATAAAAAAATCCATCTTGCCTGAAGAAATTTATTAATCCTACTGGAGTATATAAATTCTAAGCATGCAAACATGACCACCACAAGCATAAAAATGATACCTAGTCCACTTCAAGTACATAATCACAAGAATACCGAAAGATTAACTTCTTTAGCTGGCACTTGCTCTAAAATGTCTTACCGAGCAATTGGACCGGGGAGATGGTGCAGGGACATTCTCATCTATATGTACCTCCTTCTTCTTAGCCTCCTCCTTTTGTATGCTCCTCTGCAATGAAAAATAACCAGAGCAAATAGATAAATCAGCAAAAAAAAAAAGTTCAAACAGCACACATAGCAACACCAAACTCATCTAAAATCCATAGCTGCTACGCAACGAAATGTGAAGGGAAAAAGGTGAGCCAGTGCGAAAATCGCTTCCAATTTTTCAGCCACCGGAGTGCATCACGAGACGCAGAAGGTGGTGGTGAGCAAACAAAACCGCACATGGAGACGCCGATCGAGCTAGAGCGCACTGAGCGAGCGTGAAGAGCTGACGCAGAGGAGGGGGGCGGGAGGGAGGGAGCACACGTACGAGGATGGCGTCGATGTCGTCCTCCTCGCCGACCTTCCGGGCCTCGCGGCGGGCGCGCTTCTCCTCGCCCTTGGCCGTCTTCCGCTCCGTCTTCTCCTTCCCCTTCCTGGGCTTCTTCTGCTTCTTCCCCATCTCGCCCCGCCGCCGCCGGCTTCTGTCTCTCTCCCCGCGCTCACTTGCTGCCGGAGGCGGAGGCGGAGGCGGAGGCGTGCCTAAAACCCTCGTGGGGAGCAGCAGGGACAACGGTGGCGCCGGCGTTCGCACCGTGGGCCGACGGCCCATCTTGGACTTAGTTGGGCCTCAACGGGCCGTGACGAACGCGTGCAAGCGGGAGTCGGAGTCGGACGCTGGGGTTGGATACTACTCCCTCCATTGGAAAAAGTACACCGAAGGTCCCTCAACTTGTCATGGGGATAAAAAAACATCCTCGAACCACAAAACCAGATATACGGGGTCCCTTAATTATACAAAACCGGTCACCGAGGTCCTTCGGTGGTTCTGAATCCGGTTTTATCCGACGTGGCGGCTGAGTCGGCGCGGGACCCACGTGGGCCCCACATGTCAGCTGGCCACGTCATCAAACTCCTCTCTCTTTTCCCCTCTTCTCTCTCTTCCTCATCTCTCTCTCCCTTCTGGCTGTGCTGCGACGCCGCCGCAGGTCGGGGAGCACGAGCGTCCGGTGCGCCCACCCGAGATGTGCTGCGACGCCGCCGCCGCCGACAGCATGGAATGGAACGCTGTGTATGCGGCCTGCACGAAGTCGCCGTAGCGGAGGACCTCGCGGCGGAGGTTCTGGTCGAGCGGGTCGAGTAGCCCGTCCCAGCCGCCACTCGTCGGCGATGGAGCCCGAGCGTGAGGAGGCACTGCAGGTGTGCGAGGCTGCGCGGGGACATCTCGTCGACAGCCGGCTTGCGGACGAACGGCGGTGGTCGGCGACGGTGTCCTCGCCGTCTTCTTCCCCTCCTGACAAGAGAAGGATTTGGCTCCGCGGACACCGAAAGGTTGTTTCTTGCTCCCTCTTTAATTCTTCATCTAATGTGCCACAAAAAATGATGGCAATTTGGGCGGTTTTGCTCCCAATTTAGATTTGCCTTTGCCTTTGGCTTCAGCAACTGATTTGTTGGTGCTCTGCATTGTGCAGCAGATCATCGGCGACTACCTCATTGAGGCACGGGCTGCTTTCGCTGCCGCCGCGCCGCTCAATGGGGAATGTGGCGACCACTCAGCGGCCACGACGGCGCTTGGACTAGTGGAAGCAGTGCTAGAGTTGTCGCCGCGCATGGAGGCCGCTCTCGAGCTCCGGGCGTGCTCTCTCCTCGCGTTCCGCCGCTACCGCGGCGTCGCTGACATGCTCCGCGACTACATCCCCAGCTGCACCAAGCCTACATGCTTCCTCTGCTGCTTCGACATATCCAACCTCAAGCACCGCGTCCTCGCCGACGGGGAGGCGGCGGCGCACCGCAGGCGGTGGGCGCAAGCTGCGGGGGGAGGAGCTATGCGTGGACGGCGACCGGCGGGGAGCCCGTACGCCGCTCCCCCCACCGCCGCCGCCATCACCGCCGATGCCCGCCGCCGAGGCACTGCCGGCGGCAGAGAAGGGAGAGAGATGAGGAAGAGAGAGAAGAGGGGAAAAGAGAGAGGAGTTTGATGACGTGGCCAGCTGACATGTGGGGCCCACGGGGTCCTGCGCTAATTTAGCCGCCACGTCGGATAAAACCAGGTTCAAAACCACCGAAGGACCTCCGGTGACCGGTTTTATATAATTAAGGGACCCCGTATATCTGGTTTTGTGGTTTGAGGACGTTTTTTATCCCGATGACAAGTTGAGGGACCTTGGGTGTACTTTTTCCCCTCCGTTTAAATTCCGTTTAAAGGTTAAACGACGCTTTAACTTTAGTCAAAGTCAAACTACTTAAAATTTAACTAACTCTGTAGAAAAAAAATAGTAATATTTACAACATTTTGTTAAATCTATAATTAAATAAATTTTTCATTATATATTTGTCTTGTGTTAAAAATATTGCTATTTTTTCTACAAAATTAATCGAATTTATAGTAGTTTGATTTTGACTAAAGTCAAAACGTGTTGTAACCTGAAATAGAGGGAGTAGGTCAGTAGGACTGTAGTCGGAAACGAGTACGCCGCGGCCAGCGGTAGCGTCGCAGATAAATACAGTGTGACAAGGGCACTTGCTCTCGCCGGCTCGCCGCAGGTTTGGTTTCGGTTCAGAAATCAGAACTACAGACAAGCAGGTTTCCTGCTGCTGTTCAGGCCTTGAGACGGTGGGCTGTGGCCTGTGGGCATTCACGGTGCAAAAGCAAGTAACCAACGCCAGCGACGACAAGACAACACGATGAGCCTGAGCGATCTGCCGGACGAGGCCCTGCTCGTCATCCTGAACAAGCTGGACACACGGGAGGCCGTGAGATGCAGCGTCCTCTCGAGGCGGTGGAGACGCGTCCCCGGCATGCTCCCCAACATCGAGCTGGACGTCGACTCGTTCACGCCCGACCACGACGACGGCTTCACGTCCACGCTATCCGACGCCGCGAGGAACAACTACGCGATGGTGAGCGCGGTGCAGAGCCTCCTGTCGCACGAGAGCCGGCACGACATCCGCCGTCTGGACCTGAGCTTCTTCTCGAGGGACGAGTCCGTCGGGATCATCCACGCCATCGACGACGCCATGGCCCGCGGCCGCAGAATCCTCGACCTGCGGTTCGACGTCTTGTCAGAGAAGTCATATATGGAATGCCCGGACAGTGACAGGGTCAAGCAAGGGAGGCGCCTTCTTCACTGCTTCGACCGCTATCCACGCGTGTTTGCTGGCCTCACCAGCCTGCACCTGGAGTGCGTCACCGTGCAAGGACCCCGCTTCTCCGACGTGATCACCGCCTGCGAGAAGCTCATCGACCTCTCCCTTGTCCGCTGCAACTTTGGAAAGGAGACGGCGCTAACGATCCAACACGAGCAGCTCAGCATGATAAACCTCGAGTTCTGCACATGTGACACCGTCGAGCTTGAGTGGCTCCCGAAGTTATCGGAGCTGTCGATGTCCGTCTGGTTTTGGTCGCCGCGTCAGTATCCGCTGGTGTTTGGCCATGCTCCTCGGCTCCAGCGGCTAGAGCTAACTCATGCCGGTTTAGTTCATTCCAAAGTGCTCCGGTTGAGCAAGCTACTTGACAATTGTACAAGCCTTCGCGAACTGTGGTTGGACTTCGAATGCGAAAAAGTAAGTCAATACAAGCATAGCTAATACTGGTATCGAATCTTTGAAGGGAGGTCACAACAATTCGTATTTATCCTTGGTTCTTGTTTCTTTTTATCTTTTGCAGATATGGATTCAGCCAGAGACCCCGACACATTTAGCTCCTATTTTAAGGAATTTTGACGTTTATGGATGTCAACCGCATTCATCCAAATAGTGGCATCATTTGGACACTTTTTCTTTTGGAAGCGGCACCTCTCTTGAAGATTCTTAGTATTATGGTACTATTTTCATTATTCATTATCACGTAATTGAAAATACAACTTTTCAAAAAGAACATTCAAATAATTTGTCACCAATATCTTCTCAAATGCTTAGTTTAAAAGGGAGAAAAATGGTGTGTAGATTTGGCATAGAAGTATTATCATACTACCATAAACTTATGCTAACATAAAATCAATAGACAAAGTTTCAAAAAAAATAATCTTATGATTGACATCAAGTATTTATAATTGGAGGGAGTGTATATATTCACTTTGGTCCTTCTTTTTTTATGTTAAACACTAAAATGTGCTATCTTTATGTAGGTAACGGACCATCACTGTGTGCCCCTTGAGGAAGAGCTGCTAGAGAGAATGTTCATTTGCGAGAAAAACAATATAAATTGGGAACCATCTAATTTCAAGCACAACAATTTGACGAAGCTCATCATTTATGGCTTTCGACCTGAAAATAGATTCATGAGCTACATAAGAAGGGTCATGAAGGCAGCAGTGAATTTGGATGAAATATCATTGCACGATGATAGGTGTGAGATTTGTGAATCTTATTATCCAATTACACGATATCCACATACTAAAAAAGAGAGGGATTTGGTAAAGAGAGCTATCAATGAGGGAAGAACGTCCCCTATCAAAAGTATTCAATTTTTTCACACATCAGAAGCTAGAACTATCAAAATCATTGATTGATTGGTCATAAACAATTTTGTACTATGTTGCAAAAGAAAGGACTGCACTCAACAGTACAGTAGTAGATATGTATGTTTTTCTTCTGGAGTTGTTTATATGACGTTCAGCTTATGATTAATTCTACATCGTCACCAATTACATAATAAACTACTTTTAATTATATAGTAAACTATTGTTTTCATTTAAAAAAACTTCGGTTTTGACTTTGAGTTACCATGTCTTTTGACCAACAATATATTTTAAATAACTTAATGATTTAGCATCAAAGATGTGTCATTACATTCAAACCTATATGTTCTATGGTTGCTTAAAAATTAGAGGGTTTTCACCTCATTACATTCAAAGTCGTGACATTCATCCAACACTAGGCTAGAAGCGTCGGTTTCCTTTTCATTGCCATCGGATGTGCAAGGAACGACGATACGTGGTCGAACGTCTCTGACTTAGAAGAGGATCTGGTTCCACTGCTACCACCGATATACTCCCTACCCCATGCTGCAGACACTAGCTCCGAAGGCTATGGTGGATAGCGATCGGAGAGGAATATCGGAGCCGAAACGACCAAGGAGAGGATCAGAGAGGAACAGGAACCGATTCCACTGCCGCCACTGATGTACTCCCTACCCCACGCTGCAGACACTAACTCCGAAGGCTATGGTGGATAGCGATTGGAGAGAAATATGGGAGCCGAAACGACCAAGGAGAGGATAGAGAGGAACATCGAGTGTGCGTGCTCAACGTCAACGGAAATGGCCAGAGGAGGTTCAAAACTTCCAATCCGCAAGCATAACATGACAAGCTCAGATTTGCGTCTCGCTCCGCCAACGCGAGGCAGCAGCCATGGATATGCCCATGGAGAACCGGCCATAGCTGGCGACAGTCGACGACAAACAGTATTCGGGCATATTTTCGAGGGTAATTTGGAACCATGCCATTATAATTTTGCAAAGTTTGAGATATGTCATCGGTATCTCAATGACATGTAGCATCCACATGAGTCAATGACATGTGGGTCAGGATGGTATATCTCAAATTTTATAAAATTATAATGGCATGGTTTCAATTTTTCCTATTTTTATTTTCGAAGGACATGGGCCTTACCGTGGCAGGCCTAAGCAGCCAGCGTCGGAGTCGGATGTTGGAGTTGGAATCGGAAACGAGTCAAACGACTACGCAGCGGCAGCGTCACAGACAAATAGGAGGTACGGGCAGGTTTTCCTGTTCAGAAACACATTATCGCGCCGTAGGTCGTCCGTTCCCTCTTGCTCCCAAAGAACATAAGTACCCCTGCTGCAGTTCAGGCCTTCAGAGGACAAGGCACGATGAGCCTGAGCGATTTGCCGGATGAGGCCCTGCTCGTCATCCTGAACAAGCTGGACACACGGGAGGCCTTGAGATGCAGCGTCCTCTCGAGGCGGTGGAGGCGCGTCCCCGGCATGCTCCCCAACATCGAGCTGGACGTCGACTCGTTCACGCCCGACCACGACGACGGCTTCACGTCCACGCTATCCGACGACGCGAGGAACAGCTACGCGATGGTGAGCGCGGTGCAGAGCCTCCTGTCGCACGAGAGCCGGCACGACATCCGCCGTCTGGACCTGAGCTTCTTCTCGAGGGACGAGTCCGTCGGCATCATCCACGCCATCGACGACGCCATGGCCCGTGGCCGCAGGATCCTCAAAATGTGTTTTGACGTCGTGTCGGAGAAGTGTTACCTGGAGTGCCCGGACAGGGACAGGGTCAAGCAAGGGAAGCGCCTTCTGTACTGCTTCGACGCCTACCCGCACGTGTTCGCCGGCCTCACCAGCCTACATCTGGAGTGCATCACGGTGCAAGGACCATGCTTCTCCAACGTGATCACCGCGTGCGAGAAGCTCAGCTACCTCTCACTCGTCTACTGCGACTTCGGTGAGGAGACACCGCTGACGATCCACCACGAGCACCTCCGCGTGGTGAAGCTCGAGTTCTGCACCTGTGACACCGTCGAGCTGGAGGTGCCAGATCTGTTGAAGCTGATGATGTCCGTCTGGTCATGGTCACCTCGTCGGTATCCCTTCGTGTTTGGCCATGCCCCACGGCTCCAACGGCTAGAGCTAGCTCATGCTGGTCTAATTGATTCCAAAATGCTCCAACTGAGCAAGCTACTTGACAATTGTACAAGCCTTCGTGAACTGTGGTTGAACTTTGAAAGAGAAAAGGTAAGTCAATCGAAGCACCGCTAATATTGGTAGCAAACCTTCACACGAGAATTTGTATTTATTGCTAGTCTTGTTTTCTTTTATCTTATGCAGATATGGATTCTACCTGAGACCCCAACACGATTGGCTCCTCTTTTAAATAATTTGACGTTTGTTGGTGTGCACCGTATTCATCCAAACAGCGGCATCACTTGGACACTGTTTCTTTTGGAAGCGGCACCTCTTTTGAAGATGCTCAGTATTAAGGTACTACATTCATTCTTCATTCTCGTTTACCCGACAGTTATTTAATACACCCTATAGTCATAAATATTTAAAGTTTAGGATGAGATTTTATTCAACTCCCGAAATTTTTACCACTAATAACTTCTCAAATACTTTATTTAAAAAGAAAAAATGGCTTGTGTACATTTAGCTTAAATCTATTTATAGCCAATATTTTGGCTTGTCATAAACATCAAATATTTATAACGAGATGGAGTATATATTCACTGTTGATGCTTCTCTGAACTTTTGTGTTATTGAACACTAAAATCTAAATCTGATCTTTATGTAGGTGACGGACCATCAATGTAAACCAATTGAGGGAGAACTGCTAAAGAGAACTTTATGTGAGAAAAACAACATATACTGGGAACCGTCTGATTTCAAGCACTACAGTTTGACCATGCTCATATTTTATGGCTTTCAACCTGGAAAAAAATGCATGGAGTACATAAGACAAGTCATAAAAAGGGCAGTGAATTTGGAAGACATATTATTGCACGATGATAGGTGTGAGGTGTGCAAGTCCTATTATCCAGTTACACGATATCCACGGACCAAGAAAGAGAGAGATTTGGTAAAGAAAGCAATCAACGAGGGAAGAACATCGCCTATCGAAAGGATTCAGTTTTTTCACACATCTGAAGCTGGAACAGTGAAGACTATCGATTAACTAGTCCTAAACAGTTTGTATTTGTTGCAAGTTTAGTACCATATGCTCATAGTCGCAAGTTGTGTAAATCGCAAGCTGTGTAATAGTTATTATGGTTATTGATGAAACCAAATAAAATTTGGATAAATGTCGTTAAAAAAAATGCATTTTAGTATAAATATTTATAAAGTAGACTGATTTGTGTAGCCATCTCGCATAACGTATCGCGTTGATAACTCATATTGTGCAATGACTATGGTTCTGAAACCCTACGTCTCACCCGTTCCTCCATATACCGCTGGAAGTCTACTCGAAATGTTCCTCCCATCATGTCGACCCTGTGCCACAAGCTCATTGCCGCGGCCACCTCCTTGGGCAATGTACTGCTTCACAGAAGCTGGCCTTAGTCAAAACAATGGCGAATAGTGAACAAAACTGCGGTCAGCTTCAATGTGCCTGGGAAAAACCTATCGTGTTGCTCTCCCCCAAAGGCCACTCGCGAGGCGACGACCCGGCCGCCCCCTCTCCTTGCGGCAGCGGGGCTTCTTGCTTCTAGCGCTCAGGCGGACAGGGGACCCGCCCAGGGCGGCGACGGCAATGACCACCAGATCCGTACCGCTCCGATCGAATCTTGCGGGGCGGCGGCTGGCGACGGGGATGGCGATGGCAGCGGGGATGGCGACGGTCGGGGTGAGCAACGCCGAGCAGGGATGCGGCCGATGGCGGCGGGGATGGCGACGGCGGTGGTGGAGTCCGCGGATCCGGCGGCGGCGCGGCGTTGGACGGTGCTGCAAGCGGCCTGCCCCACGTCTGGCGCTGGCGTTTGTGGTGCTCCCACGCTGGTGGTGGCGCTGTGGCGTCAGCAGGCGGTGGTGGTGAGGAGGACGGCTAGATCTGGCTCTAGGTTCAGATCCGACGCGTCATTAGTCAGGTCAGGGGTGGCATGGAGTCCGGTTGTTGTGATCTTCGATATGTAGGTGACATCTGGTGGCTTTTGCTGTGGATGCTATGGTTGATGGGGACTCCGAGGCGAAAGCCTTGCTCCACTTCCGGTGCTAGCAACGGGGACGCCCTCGGCGCCGTTCACCTTCTTGAGGCATTGCTATTGGACCCCTCGTTCAACTCCACTGCAAGGAAATTCTCCAGGTGAAAACCTAGATTTGTTAGGATCGGACGATGTCGCTATTCTGTCGACGCAACGTTCTTGAAGACTTCGTTTAGGAGTTTTTTTTCCCTTAGTGGGCTGTTGTTCTTAGGTTAAGTATGTCAATGTCATGGTTCTCACCGGTTTTCCATTAATTAACCGTGCTGTTATAAGGTTTTTGTCCGTTTTTACTTATAAACTGAATCAACTCTCTTCTTCTATAGTGAATTGCAGAAACTCCCAACCTGTCCCCTCGAAAAAAAAAGCCTCAATGTGCCTGATAGAAGCTTTGGTACTCTGCTTCTCTGTGGTGTTTTTGCTTACAAATACTGAAATAATATTCTGTAATCAATTCAATGCTCTACTATTAATGCAAGGAGATTTGCATGAAGTTGGCATTTGAACTTCTTATGGCAAACTCTTTAAGGCAAGCATCTAAACGCGAAGTGAAGACTTCCTACTAGGCCAAAAGCTCCCTAGTCAATCTGTTTTTAAATTCTTGCCCCTTGCTATTATGAGATTTATTTTACATTTTCTTCCTAGTCACTTTTACAATTTCTGAAGTAGTACCTTTTTCTGAGCCATAACAATTTATGTTTTTCTTTTGGGTTGATTGCTGTAGCTACACCGAGGTCTGAACTCTGAAGTATACCTGCATTCAGCAGGGATTTTCCATCGAGACCAGAAAACAGGGAACCTCCATTTTGCGAAGTGCGTGATGTTCATAGTTTTGTAGTGTAATGTTATTTTATTTTTTTTTGTTGTGTGAATGCCGTGTCATATACTCCCTCCGTCCTATAATATAAGGGATTTTGAGTTTTTGATTGTACTGTTTGACCACTCGTCTTATTAAAAAAAATTGTGCAAATATAAAACCCGAAAAATTGTGCTTAAAGTACTCTGGATACTAAAGTAAGTACCAAAAAAAATAAATAATAATTCCAAAATTTTTTGAATAAGACGAGCGGTCAAACAGTGCAAACAAAAAATCAAAATCCCTTATATTATGAGACGGAGGGAGTATATATCTACTTCGGTTTATATTTCCGTCACACACTTTGCACCTCACTAAGGGCCTATTTGGCACAGCTTCAGCTCCAACTCCACCCCTCCTGGAGCTGGAGCTCAGCCAAACAGTTTCAGCTCCACCAAAATTGGAGCCAAACAGTTTCAGCTCCAACAAAATTGGGAGTGGAGTTGGGTAGAGCTCTCTCACAAAATGTACTAGAGTTGTGGAGCTGGGTTTAGCTGCTCCACGACTCCACTCCAGACTCAACTCCTGGAGTTATATTTAGGAGTTGGAGCTGTACCAAACAGGCCCTAATAATAAGTGTTGAGCAAATCTCTCATGGCTTATCCCTTCAATATATACACATGAGATGCTATCATATTTTCAAATGCATCCCTACGACAAGTGTAGTGTGCTAGTTGGCTGCGTTGTACAATGATATATAGATAGAAAAGATTTCTTTAATCTGCGCGCACATTTCCAGAACTACTAAACATTGAATTATCTTTGTTTAAAAAAAATCTATAGAAAAGTTGTTTTAAAAATCATATTAACCCACTCTTAAATTTAGAATAATGAACATGATTAATTAATCATGTGTTATAACTCACCTCTTTTTACGTATCTTCTCTTTTCTCCTCCTCTCAAACACAGTTGTTCATTATATATAAATGGTCTGAGCATCTAAAATACGATTGTAGATATCACTACCAGATGACTACATCCTTTGCAGAAGGGGCACAAAAGGAGATACGTACTTTGGCTGTCCAAACACAAACTACAGCTTCAGTGTGTGTGACAGCTTGAACTTTTTCAATTTCGTTGGTGTTTCATCTCAATGCATACCATATTGACGAACTATTTGTAGTTCTCACGATAATTCAAGGAAGGACATGTGGATTCACTTTATAGATTGACAATGTCAATCAGAACATGATGGTGGAAGAATAACTGAGGCTGAAACATGTCACTCCCCAATTTTCTCAGGATTTAAAAATCATTAAACAAATCAATTCTAGAATCTATATTACAATTTAAATGAATTATCAAGTGAATTAAATATGGTAAATAAAATTTTCTTTAAAAGTCATGGCTAGGAATATTTTTTTAAATATATTCTTGATGGCATAAAGTATTCTTTGGAAATTTCTTGGAATTTTCAGAGCTCAAGATTTAATTTTCATAATACAAATTTCATTTCAGACATGCCATCCAAGGCGGCGGAAGTGTGGGTCGATCATGCCCTGGCCGCTGGCGGCATCAGATAGATGAGTAAATTTACTGTCCTTGAAAAGGTATCACAAGGTACCATATTTTTTTAAGTCTAAAATTTGACATCTTTTGTTAGGAGGTATCAAAATTTATACTAAAAATATTGGTACCTTCCGATACCTCTCAAGGACCGTAAAATTACTCCAAATAAATCGATTGAGACAGGAACGAAGACAGAGCGGAGCAAGAGGCTGGGCTCATACCAGCTCGACAAACCTCGGTGCGAGAAAGCCTGACTTTTGTTCGATTTTTTTTGTGGGCTAGGGATTTTTTATTTTCCATAAACAGCCCATCCTATCACTTTTCCAACTAAAAATAAAAACTGGCAGATACTTTTACACTGGTTTTAAGCTAAACCCAGGCTTCCAAGCAAGCCTAAAGCTTTGAAAAACAAACTGTTTTGTTTTCCTGTGATTAAAAAGCATGCAAAGGACAATGCAAGCCCCTAAAGTGGTGTACGTGATTTTCGACAGGTGCAAAGGGTGAACACTGTATCAGCTCGCAGAGCCTTCAAAGGGTGCTGATCCTACTCATGAGGTGACCAAATCAGCTGGATACAAATGAAATCTCAATACAGAAGACAAATGCTTCTCCCATAGATACAAATTCCAAAACAAATAACACCAACCATGACAGGAGAGGCCGAGAGGGAACAGTTAGTGACCAAAAGGAGTGAGAAATGCTCAGGGGTCTTCCGGCTAGCTCCACAAGGTGGTGGGCTAGACGACCTGGGTTCAAAGCCTCACCCCTTCTAATTATTTGATATTAT